AAACTCTTCCGCTGAGTGGTGGGAGTCCGACATGATATGTAAAGCTGAGAAAGGCTGGATCAGATTAAAACCAGCAAGATCAGTATCGCGAGATCGACGACATCAGCAACATGGACGCGCCGCAGATCAGGCACGATTAGGCCCCGTGGAGCGTGGCAATACGTAACAACGCATTTCGCTCGTGGCGTGCATAGCTTTCACACAAAACCCTGATTTCCCTGAAAATACGAATTATTCCTCAATCACTAAGGGTCTGTGAATATTTCATTTTCACAAAAATATATGTGAAAGTTTGCGAACAGGCCATGAGGCGTGAGGACACCACACGTGAAGATTCTGGTCCATCTGTATCCGTATGGCAGCAGCCAACGTGGAGGGAGCTGCTGAAGCGGGTGAGGCGCCTGCGCGGCTAAAGATGGCGGACTTGAGCAGTAGCTGCAGATGGCTGTAAATGGCTATGGTATATGGTAAGATGGTACTGTCAACATGATTGCGCCAGCCAGCAGCCAGCAGCCAGCCGATCAGCCTATCCTTGTCGCCACTCAAGGCGACATCATGATACCACGAGACCATCGATATCTCGGGATTATTTGCGGAAAAAGAGTGGGCCAAAATAAATGCCACGAGGTTGGGGCGTTACCCTGCATACTCGCACCCATCGGTGCTGGCTGAGTAAAAACTCGTAGGCCCGACCGGGTTGCTGGAACTTTCAGTCCATTGTCAAAAGTGTGTGCATGCCTCTCTCCCGCATCGCACGCTCTGCTACACGCTCAACTCGTTCGCTCTCCTCTTTAGTAAAGGTCCACGCTCCTCCTCGCGCGCTCCTTCTCATCCCCTCCAACACCTACAGCTCTTCCCTCGTTGGCCAGAGCTCGTTCCACGTACGCCCCTTCCACTCCACCTCCCCCAGCCTCAAGAAGAAGATGCCACCCAAGAAGAAGGCCGTTGAGGAGAAGAAGGTCATTCTCGGCCGTCCCGGCAACAACCTCAAGGTATGTTTTTGGGTCCTCACGTCTTCAGTGGCCTCCGCTCAAATGCTGACGTGTTTCAGATCGGTATTGTCGGTGTACCCAACGTCGGCAAGTCGTCGTTCTTCAACACCCTCTCGAAGACCGACCTCGGCAAGGCTGCCAACTTCCCCTACGCTACCATCGACCCCGAGGAGGCTCGTATTCCCGTCCCCGATGACCGCTTCACTTGGCTTTGCGAGGTCTACAAGCCCAAGTCGGAGGTCCCCGCGTTCCTGACCTGCATTGACATTGCCGGTCTGACCGCCGGTGCGTCGACCGGTGCCGGTCTCGGCAACGCCTTCCTGTCGCACGTTCGTGCTGTCGACGGCATCTTCCAGATGGTCCGTGTGTTCGACGACGCCGAGGTCATTCACGTCGAGGGTGATGTCGACCCTGTCCGTGACATGGAGATCATCTCGACTGAGCTCCGTCTCAAGGACACCGAGTGGCTCGAGAAGGAGGTTGAGCGCCTGAGGAAGGTTGTTCGCTCGTGTGGCAGCGTCTCACTCGCCGACAAGGCGAAGAAGGAGGAGCTTGCGACCGTCGAGCGTGTGCTCAAGCACGTCGCCGAGGACAACCGTGACGTCCGCAAGGGTACCTGGACCAACAAGGAGGTGAGTTTCACTTTTTGCCCCACCTACCTTTTATCTACCGGATGAGAACGAGCGATACGCTCTACAAACCCAGCTCGTCGATGTGGGAGTAACGCCCCGTTATACACATGAGAAATTTCCTTTTACTGATTCCCCTTCCTTCCCATCACCACTTCCTCAACACAAAGAGTGCTAGTGCTGACATCCCTAGGTCGAGATCATCAACGGTCTTCACCTCCTCACGGCCAAGCCCATCACCTACCTTCTCAACCTTTCGGAGCGCGACTTTGTCCGGAAAAAGAACAAGTGGCTCGCCAAGATCAAGGCTTGGATTGACGAGAACAACCCAGGAGACCAGCTTATTCCCTTCTCGGTTGCCCTCGAGGAGCGCCTCGTGTCACTGTCCGAGGAGGAGGCCGCAGAGGAGGGCGAGAAGCTCGGCCTTGGCAAGAAGAACCCCTCGGTTCTCGGCAAGATCACCACCTCTGGCTACCAGTCGCTCCACCTCATCCGCTACTTCACTGCCGGCCCCGACGAGGTCCGTGCGTGGACCGTCCGCAAGGGCATCAAGGCGCCCCAGGCTGCCGGTGTCATCCACTCGGACTTTGAGAACAAGTTTGTGTGTGGTGAGATCATGTCGTTCGAGGACCTCAAGGAGCACGGCTCTGAGGCTGCCGTCAAGGCTGCCGGCAAGCTGCGCCAGCAAGGCAAGCCCTACGAGATTGTCGACGGTGACATCTGCCACTGGAAGTGCGGATAGACGTGCTTAGATCAAAAGTGTACGCTCGCGCGTTGGCCAGGTTGTGATTGATTGTCATAGCTAGGGCAGCGGAGGGAGTCGAGTTATAGTGTCCGTGTGCCAGCGCGTGCCGTGGACTAGCATCAGCAAACATGCATCTTGTACATTTGTAACGTAAACTACCGAGAGCTCCGGAATGATTGGGAAGCATCACAGGATACCGAGTTCGGCGAAGCTCTGGTGTTCAGAGGCTCGCGAAGGTTTGATAGTGGGGAAGAACTGATGTGGGGTCAGGGGTTGTGAGCGGAAAGCGGTGTCCGCTTGGACCCCTCTAATGACACGCCTGACACGACGGCGATCGGCGATCTCGCCGGCGACGCCGCCGCATTCCCGCTTGACTGACACAATTGCAGCCACCCTGCACCCTGCACCTTGCACCCAGACAGGTCTCACATCGTTCCGCGCCCGGCTGGTGTTGCACTGCGTTTTGCATGCAGCAAGCTTTGCGTGAATCACCTCGCGCGTTGCGGCGTTGACTGCCTGTTGAGGCTAGAGGCATGCGGCAGTGGGCGGCTCGATTGTGCCTGGACGCGCTTGCTCTGGCACCGGTGTGCTCCGACCTTTGACCTGGGGTTGCTTTGCGTATGTGCGGATCAACAATCTCTGCATGGGGTGCCTTCTCGAAGACGCCAGCCCGCCAGCCGACCGGGTGATGATTTTTCTTTTTTTCTTGGTCCCCATCGAAAGCTCTGGCCAGAAGCACCGAAGATACCGAACACGCACCGTTCCGTGCCGCGTGCCGTGAGCCGTGCGTGCCGCGACGCCATGCCTCGATGCCTCGATGCCTCGATGCCAGCAATAGCAAAACGTGCAGCGCGTGCAGAGTGGGCGATCCGAGCGGCGAGGAGGTGCTGCCACGCGCGATGCCGATCATGGTATCATGGTGATACCTTTACTCTGCCCCTTGCGCTTGGCCCATGGCCCTTGAGGCCTAGAGGCTACTGTAGAGGGCGGCTTCCAGCTGAGTGGTGCATAGCTTAAGATCATGTCGTTCCCACACTAGTGCGCGCTCCGGCTCCATGCTCCACCTCACCACCTCGAAATAATTTCACGAGAATGTCAGTGCTGTGACGAGGCATGCGGCATGGGCGGGCGGTGTCGGCACGCACGGCAGCGACACATGAAAATGTTGGCCCGGCCCGTCCCTCCGGCCTCCCCGGTAAAACTGGATGGGTGGTGCTGCCTCGCGGCCTCGCGGCCTCGCGGCCTCGCGCGCGCTACACGCGCCGCAATCCGCCCCTGATCCCCCCACCCCTAGGATGACATGGGGTGCGTGGGGTGAGAGCCTGAAAGCGCAAAGGGAATCCCCCATGCTCCCCCAATTATGATGACACCTCGGTCGCGCCTCCCAGCCTCACTCCTCTGCCGCACTCTGTGCCTCCAGCGTCCGTCGCCAGCCCCGCTCGCATCCTCCTCCATTGGGGCACATCATCCATCTCTCTTCTCTTCTTAATCATCATCATCCTCCTGCTCCTCCTCTCTCCTCCTTTTCTTTCCTCTCCCTCCCCATCAAAAACACTCTTTACAATGGCAACCCTCACCGCTCAGCAGTCGTCTCAGCGCCAGCGCGGCCACTCGTCCATCGTATGTCCCTTCCGCAACGCTGACACGTCATAGGACGTGCTCACCATTCCCGCTCACCTCCTTCCCGCCGTCCACCTTCCCCAAGAGTCCACTTGCTAACATGACCAGGACTTCAAGTCGGCGACGACTGGTGTCGCCGCCAAGGCCATGCGCAACGAGCTCAACCGCATGGTCCAGGGCGTCACTGACCCGGCCAAGAAGAAGGTGCGTATTTCTCACAACACGTGCTACCATCGCGGTGCGAGACGGCACTGCGGCGACTGCAACTGTTGGCACTCTTGGGTTGGGGCGGTTACGCGCCGGGCGCTCTCTTGCACTCTGCATGTGACTACCGCTCTGTGTGTTGAGCGTCTACACCCCGACATGCATCCCCGAGTCGCCGTGTCACGTCTGCGATCCGCTAGAACCCGGCGGAAATCTCGGAAACACGCCGCTGACGTTACAGATGTTCAACGCCGAGATGGAGTCGTTCTTCCTCCTGTTCAACCGCTACCTCACTGAAAAGGCCAAGGGCGAGAAGATGTGAGTGCATCGTGTGAGAAGGGTGGAGAGGTTGCAGCAAGTGCGACCACCCCAGATGTGCCAACGCGAACGTGTGTGGCTGCGGGGCTGTTTCGCGCCGCGTGTTGCGATCCGCGCCAAACATGCGCGTTGCGCATCCTGTGGTGGCAGGTACTTGGCGGGCGCTCTCCGGGCGCTCGCTCTCACTTTCGCCAATGCTTGTCTTGCACTCTGCCCTCGTTGCTGCACTGTACCCCCATATGCTGACTAGTCAGTGACTGGGAGAAGATCCAGCCTCCCAAGCCCGAGCAGGTCCGCCCCTACAAGGTTCTTGACAAGGTCGACCCCTCCATCCTCAACAAGCTTGCCGTCCTGAAGCTTAACGGTGGTCTCGGCACCACCATGGGCTGTGTCGGCCCCAAGTCGGTCATCGAGGTCCGTGAGGGCATGACCTTCCTCGACCTTTCGGTCCGCCAGATCGAGCACCTGAACGAGAAGTACAATGTCAACGTTCCCTTCATCCTCATGAACTCGTTCAACACGGACGACGACACTGCTCGCATCATCCAGAAGTACCAGAACCACAACATCAACATCCTCACCTTTAACCAGTCGCGCTACCCCCGTGTCAACAAGGAGTCGCTCCTTCCTTGCCCCGCCGACGCGACCTCGGACAAGGCCAACTGGTACCCTCCTGGACACGGCGACATTTACGATGCCATCAACAACTCGGGTCTCCTCGACCAGCTCATTGCCGCTGGCAAGGAGTACATCTTCATCTCCAACGTTGACAACCTCGGCGCTGTCGTCGACCTCAACATCTTCCAGACCATGATCGACGCCCAGGCCGAGTACGTCATGGAGGTCACCGACAAGACCAAGGCGGACATTAAGGGTGGTACTATCATCGACTACGAGGGCAAGCCCCGTCTTCTCGAGGTTGCTCAGGTCCCCAAGGACCACCTCGACGAGTTCTGCTCGACGCGCAAGTTCAAGATCTTCAACACCAACAACATTTGGTGCTCCCTGAAGGCGATCAAGCGCGTTGTCGACAACGACGAGCTTAACCTGGAGATCATTGTGAACAACAAGGTCACCGACAAGGGCGAGGCCGTCATCCAGCTCGAGACCGCCATTGGTGCCGCCATCAAGCACTTTGACTCGTCCATCGGCATCAACGTCCCTCGTTCCCGCTTCCTTCCCGTCAAGTCGTGCTCCGACCTCCTCCTCATCAAGTCGGGGCTGTACAACCTTCAGCACGGTGTCCTGACCATGGACAAGTCGCGCGAATTCGGCGGAACTCCCGTCGTCAAGCTCGGCGACCAGTTTAAGAAGGTGGCGGTGAGTGGCAGAGTGGCGTGTACAAGACCATGAGCCGTTTGCTGACATACAGAACTTTGAGAAGCGGTTCAAGTCGATCCCAAACATCACCGAACTCGACCACCTTACTGTCTCTGGAGATGTGTGGTTCGGCAAGCGCGTCCGCCTCGCCGGCACGTGTATCATTGTTGCGACCGAGGGCAACAAGATCATGATTCCCGACGGCACCGACCTCGAGAACAAGCTCATCACGGGCAACCTTTCCATCATCGACCACTAAAGCGCGCCATAATAGGAGGCGCGTTTGCATAGGTAACCATAAGTAGTCACGAACGCTGTTGAGGCGTCGCATTCCAGGGCATAATGCGCGGAGTTGTCATGCTTGCATGCATAGGCTTGGCGTACACGCAGGGGTCGATAAGATGTGCTTTGAGGAGCCTTGCCTTTCCATGAGCTTCTGTCGACGGAGTGATGAAGGCTTCGGCAAGTTGTGTATGGTCAGCGCGGTCAGCGTAATCCGACTAGGGCTCGATTCCAATGCCCACTGAATATTGATCGTACTAATCAAAGTATCAAGTACACCTGTAAATCAACTACACAAAAGGTGCCTGCCTTATTACGCAGTTCCTAACTACCTCTGTGCCTGCGCATAATGCTAGAGCCCACGCGCGCCCAGCGCCCAGGGCCTCGCACGCCGCCGCCGCCTCGCATCCCAACAACTCTCAACTCGTCTCTCTTCTCTCTTCGTCTCATCTCTCTCTAGACCATCGCGCATCGTCCCGGGCTCTTTTCGTTTCCTTCTTCTCGATTCCTATCTCTTCGTTTCGGGCTCTCGTGTTCGCATTGATCAACGCACTTCACTTCTCCAACCCTTACCCAGCAAGCAATTTCCCCCTCGCAACAACAGTCACTCCAACGCTCTCGATCGCACGCGACCAAGAACCTCACCACCCCCTCACACAAGTCCCCTTCTCCCCTTCCCCATCTCACTCCCATCCTCATGGCCGCGACCTTTGCGCCCTATGGCATGACGCCCGGCCAGCCCGCCGAGGCCCCCAAGAAACCTCACCTCTATATTGGCAACCTGAGTCCTCGCGTGACCGACCAGATGCTAGCCGAGATCTTCCAGGTCGCCGGCGACGTCGTCTCCGCCAAGATCATCCAGGACCGCAATTTCCAGCACGGGGGATACAACTACGGCTTTGTCGAATACGCCGATATGCGAAGTGCCGAGCAGGCGCTGGGCACCCTCAACGGCCGCAAGATTTTTGACGCGGAGATCCGTGTCAACTGGGCATACCAGGGACAGGGCAACCGCGAGGACACGCAGCACCACTTCCATGTGTTTGTGGGAGACTTGAGCCCCGAGGTCAACGACGACGTGCTCGGCAAGGCGTTCCACCAGTTCCCGACACTGTCGGAGGCGCGCGTCATGTGGGACATGAACTCTGGCAAGAGCAGGGGCTATGGCTTCCTCTCATTCCGGTGGGTAGCGAGCGAAGCTTTGAGGGGCACCGCGCGCACCGCGCGCGCACGCGCCGTGGGGCGCTCCACCTGACGAGGAGCGAGCCGGCCCGTGTGCAGGCAAAACGGCTGACATCAGGGACAAGGCCGACGCCGAGAAGGCCATCGCGACAATGAACGGCGAGTGGCTCGGCTCGCGCGCCATCCGCGTCAACTGGGCGAACCAGAAGACGCAGACGGGCGGGAGCCGTACGCTTGTGGGCGGCGCGCCGGCCATGGGCAACGGCTTCGCAGGCCAGCTGCCGTTTGAGCAAGTCCTCGCCCAGACACCAGAGTACAACACGACCGTGTACGTCGGCAACCTGATCCCATACACGACACAGGCCGACCTCATCCCCATCTTCCAGGCGTACGGCTACCTCGTCGAGATCCGAATGCAAGCCGACCGGGGTTTCGCGTTCGTGAAGCTCGACACGCACCACAACGCCGCGATGGCGATCACGAATCTGCAAAACACCCTCGTGCACGGGCGCCCCATCAAGTGCTCGTGGGGAAAGGACCGCCAAACAGACGCGCCGGGGTTCATGGTGCGTTGCAGAGCTCGCACGCGCTGACAGCAGATGTACAACCAGGGCAATTTCCAGTACCCGGGCTGGCCGGGGTACGGGGGCATCCCTGGCCAGCCTGGGTCGCTGCCCGTCGGCGGCACGCCCGAGACGAACGGTGACGGCTGGGACCCCGCCGCCGCGCACGCCGCGCCCCCGTTCTACCCCCAGTCGCAGACTTGGGGCGGATACTACAGTGAGTCGGTCGCATCCCCGAGTGGGGCAGGAGCGTGCGCCGAGAGGCATTACTAGTACCTAGTTGACACCAGGTCAAGAGGCTGTCCCCGTTATCCCGACGCCGCCGCCGCAGCCGACCCCGCCGAACGGGCACCCATCGGCGTAGATCGCACGGCGCTTGATCGACGAGCCACTTCTGCCACGTTAGCACGACGTAGACTCACATGCATGTCACGACTAGCACGAGTCTGGCCTACACTGACGGGCGGGGGACTAGGGTCAGAGGCTCAGAGGAAACCTCACACCGCTGACACGCCGTGTCCCTCAAGGAGGGGGACCAAAGGCCCTAGCTACATGTGCAAGGTGGAGTGAGTGCAAGTAAAGCCACGCCCTCGAGCTCGTGCTCCAGCACGACTTGGCATGCAGCTCCATGTTGCAAACGGCGCAGAGCAGGCGTGCCCGTCCCAGCCATGTACGAGGAGATGCGGGACTGATGGCTTCGATACGCCTTCGCTGACCTTGTCGGACGTGGTTCGCCGCTTGAGACGGGAACAGAGGCTTCACTTGTCAGAACAACTTACTGCCGGGTGACTGGTAGATATCACATGCCTCTCAACACAGCGCGTTTCGAGCGCTTTCAGCTGTTCATGTCGGGCCTTTCCCCTCCGTCCTTCCTCCTCCATCCTCGCCATAATCCGCAGTCTGAATGGTCCTAGAGCCCATGCGTGGATCGGGTTTGTGTCCGCCCGCACACTCAATTCAGAGGCGCAAACTGGCCTAGGAAGCCGGCACTGCCTATGTCGGCTTTGCCACACACCGGGTCCGTATGCTGCGCACAGTAATAAACGCGGCGAGTAAAGTGAATACTTCTCTACAGGTGAACCGATCAACCCAAATTGCTCACTCAACGGGGGCGTCCCCCGAGAGGTGAAGTGAGTCTGGTCGACTCAACCCATTTAGTACACCGTCACAGCCTGCGTGCGGACGACAACTCGTCACATTCCTCGATTCCAACGCCACCCATCACTCGACGAGTCAACGCGTCAGCGCACTTGCTGTGGACAACTATACAAAAATGATTTTCCGGTAGAACCGGGGCATCCGCCACTGTGCGTGCACGCACTGGAGCCAGCACAGCTCGGTTCGCCCACAAGCAAGGGGTCTTTGCCACAGCAGCCGCACGGGCCGCTTCCGGTGCCAATGTAATCGGGGGCGTGGTTGCGACTCGGCGCAGATGAAACTCGAGTAATAATGCTTTGAGTCAAGCCGGGGCGATGCATGAGATGAGATAGATGCCAAATATGTAACGGCCGTGCACGTCGGCTCGCGGCTCGGTGGTGCTCCTCACCTCCATGGGCGCAGCGATCGTCTCGGTGTTGACGCCTCGACTCTTTGTCCACCGTCTGCATTCCATCTCCTGGCGCCGCTCCGCCAGCTGGCCCTTGCTAGGCCTGAGCCTCCCCACCAAGTCTCCCCGACAGATGCACGTTCTGTGATGACCGCACTTGATCACAGGTGTCAAGATCACTATCGAGGTAGGATGAAACAAGGTGTCGTGGTCAGAGCTGGGTCACGCGCGGCGGCGCCGATCACGAGATTCCGGGAGCAACAGGGTCGTGCCGAAATTCTGGGCACAGCCGGGCGGCAGAGGCCGGAGTCGATCGAGGCGAGCGTAGGGACAGCTACGTATGAGAGGACAAAGAATGCAGGACGGGAGACGGAGAATGATGAGAAGAGACGAGGTCAGATGAGATTTGTGATGCAAGATGTGTGCCGTGTGGAGGGATTCGAGAGGGGCCCGACGGGGGGCAGATGAGTGCGATATGCCCTGAATGGGCACAGGGACGAGGTCGTTCACCCAACCATCAGGCACCACCAGACCGGCAGTTGGCCCAAAGTGAGACCAACAACACACTCATCCATCAACTCGACATTCGACTTTAATTCATTCTTTCTCCATCTCAGTCTCCGCCGAGTCTCCATCTTCTCATCGCGATACCCCCATCATCCACTTCTACATCTCTCTCCCTCTCATTCGGCCAACTCAAAGCGCTCCTCCACCCCGCACGCGCAGCTCGAGCCTGTACCCGACCGTCAACTAAATGGCGCGTCTGGGCAACGACTCTCCTGCCGTGGAGCCTGATGCCGGCCCCGCAGAGGACCTCTCAGGCGACGATGACCTGCTCAACCACATTCTCGTCAACACGATCGCGCAGAACAGCCCCAAAGGCATCGGGCTGCACCCCCAAACCGTCGGCTACGTCGGGCCCACAGTCGCGTACGACGAAGTCTTGGATATTCTACAGCGCGTAAGTTTATCCCCTTTCCGTCCTCCGCCAAAGCGTCCGCTGACCGCGCGTAGCACGTCATCGAGACCGGAAACATCGCCGCTGCGTCCGATGAGTTCTTGGTGTGCGTACAAGTCCGGTGTCCCGGGATACGCGCGCTGACTTGCAGATGGGGTCCCATCAAGGATCATCTCGAGACGCGGACAACCAATGTCCGCAAGGGACGCTTCATCAAGTGGACTTCCGTTAGACCAGCGCTGATGCCAGACACCTTCGCCGCTACCTCATGATCTACGGTCCCACGTCGCGCGTCGAAATCTTCAAGACAGACCGCTACAAGGAGGTCACACTCCACGACGAGCTGGGCGTATATGCGACGCGCAACCTCGAAGAAGGAGCTATTGTCGACGAGCTGCAGGGCTCGGTCGTCAAGTTCCCGAAGTCTTGGGAGGCCGACCTGGAGCGCGGTCGCTTCCGGGACGGCGCTGCGGACGATCTCGAGGAAGACGAGGACGAGGAAGGGAGCGAGGATGAAGAGGACGACGACGGCACGCGCAAACGTAACAGGAAACCGTCTGCTCCTCAACGGCGTAGTGAACGCACGGGTCGGCGCGACTTCTCCGTGCTGCGCTCGTCTCTCAAGAACTGTTTGCAGCTCTTTCTGGGTCCAGCGCGCTTTTTGAATGTGGGCCTGTCCACAAGCTTCCTCGGCTGACCTGCTAGCATGACTGTGACAATAACGTCGAGCTATATCGCAAAGAGGGCTACGTGACCTTCAAGGTCTTACGCCCCATCAAGATCGGGCAAGAGCTGACCACCTTCTAGTACGTCTGTCCCCTTTAAAAATGCCTGTGACGTGCTAACATCACAGCGGCCCCGATTACTGTACGTGTTTCCACACACCCTCATTGCTAACATCCTAGTCGGTAGAGCCAATCGAGAATGGTGAGTTATGATTGTTTACCAAGACTGACACTTCCAGTATGTGCCTGACATGCGAAATTAGCGGAAGCGGTTACTACAAGGATAACCCATCCAAGAGGACGCTGGCGGAGGCGGCAAAGCGCGCTGCGTCTGAGGGAGCTACGTCCCGTCGCGCTGCGGACTCGGACGACGAGGCTGCTGATACACCTCTATCGACACCACGCAAAACCCGCAGACATCCAGGTTCTGCCATGGACTCGATGGCGGCATCTGAAGACGAGGAGAACGAGGAGCCGGAGCGTCGCTGCCAGCCTAAGCGACGTGCGGTACTGAAAGCCAAAAAGATCGACTGGGGGCTTGGCATCCCCGGGCGTCGCCGCCAGGCTTACCAAGAGGAGACCGAAACGCAGGCTGGTGATTCCGATTCCGATGCTTCGGGTGACGCCACTGATGCAGGTCGCTGCCTCACGTGTGCAGCAAAGACCAAGTCATTATGGGTGCGTAATCAGGAGTTCCTGCTCTGCCAGCGTTGTTGCCGGCACGCCATGATCTTCTTGTTACCGTGGCCCGCCCATCGCAAGGCCGATGTCCGCGAATATCCTCCGCCACACCTTCTCCCTCGCAAATACTATCCGCCGCAGAAGGTATCGCAAGTCGAGCTACCCACCTATCTCCCCAAGCCCCGTGCTCTGCAGCGGGTGGAGCAAACTGCGGCCGCCGCCGCCGCCGCCGCGACCGCCCAGGCAAAGGCGCTACTGCGTGCTGCCTCGAGCGAGATTCCGGACACCAAAGAGCACCGCCTAGCGCGCCACCGAGCGACCGAGACCGCCCGCAACGAGTTCGATTTCGAGATGGCCGCCCGAAGCGCTTGGGACAAGGAAGACGCGAGACGCGAAGCCTTGGCGTCCGTTGCCAAAGCTCGCGAACGCGCCAAGGCCCAGCGTGCCGAGTCCAGGCGTAAGATGGATGAGGGCAAACAGAAGGGCGTTGGCCTCTGGAGCCGGTACACGACCGAGACGCACGAGCAGCGCGAGGAGCGCGAGCGCAAGAGGTTCCAATTTGTCACTGGCACGCGCTCTGGGCGCAAGATTCGTGCACCATCCGAGGGCGAGGCTGAGGTGGAACGGTTAGCTCGCGAGGCCTTGTTGAAGGAGCGCGAGCGCGAGCTCCTGCAGTCTGAGAAGCAGCGCGAATGGAGGGAGCGGGACAAATCGCGCAGGGTGAAGGCTTCGGGCCGCGCCTCAGACAGCGAGGTCGACTCAAATGACGATCTGGCCGAACTGGACGACCTGGACGATCTGGACGAGCTGAACGAGCTTGGAGCCAACGTGGCGCAGATCGAAGCAGCAAACGTAGCACAGATCGAGGCAACAACCACCGCGGTGGAAGCCGAGTTTCCTGAACCCGACCCCGGCATTATTCAGGACAAACTTCTGCTGGCCGGCGGCGAGGAGGGAGAGGAAGACGAAGACGCGGAGAATGAGGCGCTGGGTCGTGAGGCCGGCACTGCCCAGAATCCCTATTATATCGACGACGACGATGACGACGACGATTCCCCGATTCTTTTGTCTGACCCTCCTTCCTCTGTGAAGAATGAAACTTCGCGGAAATCGCCACAGCAGCGACGACGCCGGCGTTCATCTCGCCCGGTCGAGGATGATTCTGACTCCGACTCGTCCGTGAGGCCCGGGGCTAGTCGCCTTGTGACGTACCGGTCTCTCCATACCCCGCTACAGAATTTGTCGAGGGCTCCTCCCCACGACGTTAGCGCAACGAGAGACTCTGACTCCTCGAGCGCGGACGGCAACTCGCCACAGAAGGCGATCACGATCGAGGACAGCGACGATGAAGATTGGCCTGTGCGCCCTCCTAGGCAGAGTCGTCCGCTCATGTCCTCCCAGCACCGTCGGAACGGCCACCATAGTTTGCCCTTACGCGGGACACTCGGCGACACACTTCGGGCGCCAGCGTCCGGTCTGGAAGGAGCGCCAGCTACCTCGGTAGTTCTTGCCGCACTTTCAGAGCCTGCGGAGCCCGCACCCCGCTCGTATTATACTGCATTACAGCATAAGCAGCACGGTGGCACGCTCCGCCACGAGCGGCACAAGCAGGTCACTAGCAGCTCGAGTGCGGCGCGGCAATACGGCCTGACGCGGAACGGGGCACTCGCTCCATCTGGCAACCAGTTGCCCCGCCGTGACCTCTCCGAGATGAGCATCGACGAGGCTTCACCGCAGGACGGGGTGAGCGCTGACGACGACCACGAGGCGCGCTCGGCCGAGGGCGTGGAGCGCGTCGTCGAGTCCAGTTCGCGCTCCAATTGCGATGACTCTGCCTCTGGACCGTCGAATGGGCACAAGCATCACGCTCCACTCAGCAACAACCCGCCGAGCATCACGCCCGCTAAGCGTTCCCAGAAGCACGACCGCCTTTCCGTGAGTGGCCTCCACGGGCCTGTTAACATACAGAACGAGTCCCATAAACCGCGCAAGAAGAGTCGGACCTTCTTCCGAGTTCAACAAGGTACATCTCCCTCTTTTATCCCCTCCAGTATTGGAGAAGGCTCACGCAAACAGAGTTGAAACTTCCCCGAGTTCCCCCTACACTGCCTACCCCGATGACGTGGTCGGGCCGCGACGGTTTCCCCTTCTGAGTACGGACATGCGTTCTACACTGTATCCGTGACCTGGATGCCTGTATCATTATGCACACTTTGTAATTTGACGAGGTGGGAGTAGGCGAGAGCGGTGAGAGCGAGCCTTGCGTTCTAGTGCTGCATCGTTTCTACTGTGCGGGTTGCAACCTCCCCTTCTCCTCCAGCGCGGCCTTGGCAGCGACCTTGGCTTCGGCGACAGCGTTGGTTTCGGCGCGCGCCATGGCCGCGGCATCAGCGTCCGCCTTGGCTTCCGCGAGCTTGGCTTCACGCGCCGCCTCTCTCCTGGCACGGTGCTCGGCGCGCATCTCTCCGACCTTGGCCTTGGTCGCGGCCCACCCCTTCTGGGATTCACGGCGGATGTGGACCCATGCCCAAGCACCTCCTCTCCGCGCAAAAGCGCCGATAAGGCGTAACCCCGCACCAAGCGTGCGCACGCCAGCCACAAACAACGGCTTGGGCTTCCACGTCCCGCTCCGCGGGTCGAGCTGGACCGCGGGTGTGTCCGCCGTCCAGTCGGCCCACGCGGCGCGTGCCTGCGCAAGAGGGTTCAAGCGCGCCAACCCCGCGGGGTGGGTGCTGGGCGGCGGCGGCGGGTCGATCCGCACGAACGAGGCGAGGCTGCGCGCCTGCTCCGTATCCCCTGGTGCGAGGTAGTGCTCGAGCTTGCGGAGGGGGCGCACGTCCGCGGGCTGCGGGAGCGCGGTGGTGAGGATGGCGCTGGCGTGCGCGCCGTACAGCTCGAGGCGGCGCGCGAGGAGCACATCCGTGAACTGCCTGTCGCCGACGACGAGGACGCGCAGCGCCTCGTCTTCGGTCGCGGGCTTGGCTTCTTCGCCCTTCTTCTCCGTGTCGCGCTGCATCTCGGCGCGCGACTTGGTCTCCATCGCCGCGTCGATGCTCGCGTCCCACTCCGTCCCCGGCGGCGGGACGCGATACTGCGCCGCCACCATGCGCTCCTCCAGCGTGCCTTTGAGCAACCGTCCGGCGAGAGGACCCTCTTCCACGCTCCACCGCCATTTGGCGAGCAGCTCCTGCTCCGCCGTCTCCTCTTCGACAGCGGCGTGCGCGAGCTCGGGCACCGTGTCTCGTGTAAGCTTTGGCGCGCCTAGCCGGCCAGCGAAGTACGCTATCACGTCGGCCGCGCATGCCGGCTTGGGCTGGCGGTGTGCGAGAACGGGCACATGCAAGTTCATGGAGAGGGCTTCGGCGCCGATGCCCCCGCGGTCCTTTGCTGATCCAGCGCTGTTGGACACCATCAGCACGCGGCCGGGGAAGGTGGCTTTCAGGTTCGCCCATGCTGATGTGTAGGCTGGGAAGCAGGCGTCGGAGTGCGGGAGGGTCTGGTGTCAGCTGCCAGAGATGGAAAGGAGGGATAGGGGAGCACGCACAACGCAGTTGTCCTTGTCTATCACGACAGCATTGTACCCCGCGGCGCGCAGACCCGCCCAGTCAACTTGCGCTATGCCTGTCGTCAGCTTGATGGCTCGGATGCTGAGAACTCACTCGGAGCGCGCAGGTCGGGGCGGAGCAGGGCCGGCCGGAGCAGGCCCTGCAAGTATATCAAGGGCGCGGGGAGGCGGGCTGGCATGCCTGTATCCCGCGCCAGAAGTGTGAGAAGGGAGGTCGGTGAGGAGTAGACGGAGGAGAGAGGATGGGTAGAGTGGGAAATTCGGGTGGAGGCGCGATCAGGTGATGGACGGAATGGCACAAACACGTCCGTGTCACCGTCACTCCGTCTTCTGTCCGTTCTTCCAACAACTTCATCTTTATCCACTCTTTCATTTATCTCAGCGGTGTTCAGACGCGCAAGCAGTGCGGGTGATATTAGACTTACGCCTCTTCTGCCTTACTCTTCCCGCCCCTCTCCTTCTACACCTCCCCACCACCATGTCCTCCACCGCCGCCCTCGCCCCCGGCTCCAAGCGCCAGAGCATGCTCGTCCAGTCCACGCCTGGCTCGCCCGAGGTGGGCAAAGAGATTGATACTTCGACGACGACGACGGGCGCCGGAACAATCACGGCCAAGAACGTGGCCTCGCCGGGCGAGCTGTGCGGCTTTGTGAGTTTGAGCGTTGAGCAGGTGGCGCGGGCGTGAGGGATACGGAGCGCGGGAAACGAGATGAGGACCGAAATGCGCAGGGCCGTGGAATGGCGGGCGCTGGGAATCCGGGCAACTGGGCAACTGCGGGCGAACGAGACGCGAAGGAAGAAAGGCGTTGTGAAACGCGCTCTCTTAGAAGCTGAAGCAGATGAGACGCGTCCAGACAAATTCAATCACGCTAACATTAGGTCGACACGTTGCTCAACACTCTCGAGAGCCGGTTCGACGAGATGAGTGAACAGGTGCAGTACGTTTGCTGTGCGCTAGATTTGTATTCAAGCTGACAGCAGGTCGAGGAGTGAGTGTCCGCGAATTCAAAGACGCGGCCAACCTGCGCGGTGGCCCACCACATCGCATGCAGCCTGCTGCATTGCGCTACATCCAATCTAGCACATCGCGCCGCCTCTTTGCATCTCACCCGACAGTCGCTGACCACAGTGAACGAAATGGCGGCCCGCATTGACAATCTGGAAACAGCTATCGCGGATTTGATGAACAACGGCGCCGAGAGCCCAACAACCACACCCACGAAGAAGAAGTAGACATGAGTAGCGCTGTGGCACGCGTAAGGACAGTTGTATGCATATAGTTCAGCCCTAGAGTAGACCCATTGATGGCGATGGCATGACGCGCCACCACGATCTGCGCCGCTCTCAGACTACCCCGGCCCAACTGCTCATGCTGCTCAGCTGGAATCTCGCTTGGACATGGCACGTCATGGTCCATCCGAGCTAAGCGCGGTGTTAAGGTTGACATGTCATGGCAACAACATTCCAGCGTGGCATGTGTGGGATCCACTCGGCGTCTGTAGATCTATAAGACTTGTCAGGGCGCACGCAGCACATCCCCGTGCGCTCCGTGAGGCTTCAGCGCACAGCATCTCGGGGCCTCGGCGCAATATATGATGGTCTGATCGCTCGAGGAGCAGACTGGCGAAAGCGACAGGCTGGATGATCAGCAAGAAAGAGTATGAGGTGTTAAGTGGGCGGATGCAAAAGTGCCACATGTGAATGCCACGCCGATGGAATGATCGGCGACGTCACTGTTGGCTGGCTGGGGGTGGGGGGGGGGTCAAACGTCACTCCCCTTGCACCTGCAGCTGGAAGAATCCCCCCCTTCCCCCTGCCGCACCACTTCTCTCCGCACTTCCATCGTCCACTCGTCGTTACCTTTCTCTCTTTCATCCACCACCTCACATCCATCTACTCTACACATCGCCTACTCTCCGATACGACCGACACACCGCTCACCGCCCTCTCGCAGATCGTATCCATCACCCACAAACGCACGCGAGGCGCACACACCTTCTTTGAGATCTCACGATGGCCCCCGTTATTGATCCTCACTTCGTCTGGGCATTTGGGCACGTTACTGTGCTCATCAATGCTGGTGCGTTGTTGGCTGTCGCAGACAGCTCATGGGAGGGGAGGGCTAGGCCCAGTCGGAGCTGGAGGCCAGGTGCCGGATGCCGGATGCTGCATCGACTTGACACTGAACATGCTCACCGGTTACGATCACGCCTGGACTGGGCTGGGCTGGCTGGGCTTTTGCTGATCTCACCCTCCCTGCCCACTTGTCTTCATTGCCCCGCTGACACCAGCCTACATCATCGTCCAGACACTGCTGTTCCGTGGAACCCCAAACATCCCATACCGTCTCTTGTACATGGGAGCGCTTTTGAGCTACTCGATCGTCGTATTCAAGTCGCTCGGCAAGCCAACTGGCATGCCCTGGGTTCGCCGCGCGTTCGTTGACGAGAACGCTCAGTACGCTTTGCTGGCGTTCTACTGGTGAGTCACAGTGCTACCGAGTCTGCGATGCGGTGGAGGGTTACATCAACTCGGAAGAGGCGGGTCGCTGCGGTGAAACTGGCGCGACGGTGCCGGAACGACGGAGGCGAGGTTGCACACTTGCTCAGATGCGCGCAAACCGCCGCGGGTGGATGGATGGTGCCACCCAGACCTGCCAACATGCCGACATGGCGCTGCGCAAGCGTGTCGGCTCTTGCCGCATGACGCAGTTGCGTTATCTGCGGTTATCTTGAGGCGCCGGCTGTGACCCTCCACGCCAGCTTCCAGCACATCATGCGGCAGTCGCCACATGTTTGGCTGGCGGCCTAAGCTGTCCACCTGTCCAGAGCACAGAGCACACCACTAATTTCCAGGCTCATCTCCAAGGCCATCGGCATCACAATCCTCCCCTTTGCGACCTTCTCGCTCTTCCACTGCGCCACTTTCATTCGTACCAATGTCCTTCCCAAGTTTTCCCCGTAAGTTTTGGATGAGGGGATTGGGCTCTGGCAAAGATGGTCGCTGATCTTTCAGTAAAGTCACGGCTGGCCAGCAGCGCCCGCCTCCCAACTGGGCCGATAGCCTTGGACCCAAGATCCAGCAACTGGTCAAGGGCAACTACGACCAGGCGATGAACTTCGTCGCGTACTCCGAGCTCGTGATCCTCCTCCGCGTCTTCGTCGGTGCCATCACGTGGCGTTCGTCCTTCATCGCCCCGATTTTCCTTGCACACTTCATCCGCCTCCGTTACCACGCCTCGCTCTTCACCCGCCACGCCGTTAACACTGTCGGTGCCAAGATTGACGGTCTCGTTGCTGGCAAGGCCCCAGCCGTCCAGAATGGCTGGGCGACTGCCAAGCGTATCCTTGGCCAGTGGGGCGGCGGTCAGCTCGTCCCCGGCGCTCAGCCCGCGGCCCGGCCGGCCGCTGCTGGTGCCCGCGCTCCCGGTGCTGCTGGCACCGCCGCAGGTGCGTCGACGGGTACGGCAACCGGCGCTGCGCCGGCAGCAGGCGCGCCTGGCACGACCGGCGCGACGCGCCGCGCTTAAACGTGTGGCTGGCAATTTGAAGCAGCTAATACACACATACAGCAGAATACGCTGTACATTATGTATAGCCGGCGCAGTTAGCCTATGAATGTTCTGCGTCGAGCGGGGATGATGGCCTTGCACTGACCGAGTTCCCATGACGATCGTAAGGGATGGGAAGGTTAGAGCCGGCCGTTTCACCCATGGCTGGCGACGTGTGGTGATTCATGTCATGTACAAGCTTCAACTAACCATGTGCTATCTATCTAGCCTCCGTTGTCCCGTTACCCATGCAACAGGACGCCCTCAAGGTTCCAGCCCCGCAGCGCGCAGCTTGGCCTCGAGTTCAGCGATGCGCTCGTTCGCTGCATCGAGCTGGGTGCACAGCGAGGTGCTGGGCACATCCACCCACGTCCCGTCGGCCTGTACCCCAGTCCAGTCGACCTTGTCGAGGAACTGAGAGATCGGGTCGTCGTCGTCATCCTCATCTGCACTTTTGTCCTCCACCGCAGCCTTCCTCCCCCTCGACGCCCCGTTCTTGTCCGTGATAAGCTATGCATCAGTCTACGTTCTCGGCATCTAACATGATCTCCGCCCGCGCGCCGGCATGCTGCGGCAACTTTCGGCGCTCCCAGCATGCCATGCCCCGCCACTTACGCGCGCTGGCACCACGCCGGCGCATGCGCAGACTAGTACGGTTGGAAGCGCGCGCCGGGCCCGCCCCCCGATTGGAAGTCGCTCCTCACCCTTCCGCCGGCCGGCTCGTCGGCGTCGTCAAACTGGTCGTCCTCCCACTCATCATCGTCCTCCTCGTCCGCGAACCCGAAGAAGTTGCTGGGTTCGCCCGAGGGCAGCAGGCTGGCGTGCAGGGCGGAACAAGCCGAGAGGGCGTCAAACAGCGGTGTCACTGCGGTCAGCTCAATCTCAAGAGCGACGTGCATTGCTCGGGCGTGACGAATACTCTCATCTCGGCAAGCGAGCTGTACTCGTCCTCGTCGGTGGTCTCGCCCTCGTCGATTTGGCAGTAGATGTGCGCCGGGAGGAGGCCGGCGGGCGTGAGTGCGTGCAGCGTCAAGCTGGGGTATGAGAGCGCGAAGCCCTGCTGCTCGCGCGGAACGAACGCGACCGCCCTGCCGTCAGCGCGCCCCCCTCTCCCACTCACTGCTCAGTCACATACAGCCGCCCCGGCACGCGGTGGCTCACGCCGTGTCCGCTGTCATTGTTATCGCCGTTCGCGTCCCCGTTCGCTTCGTCTCCCGTCTTGGACCATGCGGTCCAGCTCGGCACGGCAAGGCTGACCTCGGCATCGCCCTCCCAGCGCAGAACGGGGGGGATGTCGTCAAAGCTCGCGGGCGTGGACGACGTCAGCTGGTCGTGCTCCTCAGCGCTGATCGAGTGGGGTGGCTGCGAGATCGGTGTGAGTGCTGGCATGGTGGTGAGTGGATGAAGTCGACGCGTGAACGGTGCAGGTCATGTGTGGATTGTGCCGGCCGGCGCTTGCTGGCAGCCTGGCGGCAAGCGGCTGGCGTCAACAAAGTTGGGACGGGCGACGTCACGTGAGCGAGTGTGGAGGTGGAGTCTCCACGTTTGTTCGGATCCGCGGCGTCGTGCCACGGACAGTGCTTCTTGTTGTGTTTGTGCAACTGCTGCTCTGGATCTGCTTCCCAGTGAGTGGGAAGCTGTGCATTGTGTTCAGAGTGGAAGATTCTGGCAGGACAAAACGCGGGAAGTGCCGACTCGAAACCGACTCGACTCCCGGGATGAGAGGGGTGCGAGCTTGGCGCTCCCTGTCATAAGCGGCATGCCTCCCGCCTCCAACGCTCCAGCTTTCTCAACATCGCTGCTCTCCGACTAGATGTCCGCAGAATACTAGCAGCTCGCGTCCGGCCTCCCGGACGTTAATCTCTTCGACGACTACATGCCCTGCACAGCAAACGATACCGGCGGGCGTTGTGCATCGCCATCTGGCGGTAAAACGAACCAGACGTCCCATCCGCGCAACAAGGAGAGTCATGCAAAGACGAAGCACAAGGCAGAGCTCAAAGTGTCGGAGGAGCGACTTACGCCTGCAGGCACGCGCTATCCTTCCGGCGATGAAGTACGACCCCATCCCAAGGGCGCCCTATCCAGGTCTGAGCGCCTCGCCGCTGACCGCGCAACGCTCGCTGCCACCGTCATGGGCCAGCGGCACGACGACGAGACCGCCGGTCTGACAGGGAAAGGTGGGCGCCTGTACGTCCCGCACCGTTGCTACGTCTGCAGCCACAAGTATACTGTTGTGCACGATCTTTACCACCACCTTTGCCCGCCATGCGCTTCGCACAACATTGCGAAACGTGCCGCGGGCGCCGACATGCGCGGACGCGTGGCGCTCGTGACGGGTGGCCGTGCCAAAATCGGGATGTACGTCGCGCTCCGGCTGCTGCGCGATGGCGCACGTGTCACGATCACAACCCGCTTCCCACGCGATGCGGCGCGACGCTTCGTCGCGCTCGCCCGCGCGGATGCTGAGCGGGTTGCCCACGCGGTTGACGACCCAGCGAATACCGCCGACTGGCTCGACCGCCTCACCATCGTGGGAATTGACCTCCGTGACCCACGACAGGTGCTTTCGCTCGCTGCAATGTTCCCCGTGCTCGATGTACTCGTCAACAATGCTGCCCAGACCATCCGCCGCAGCGCAGACGCGTACGCGCCCCTCGTCGAGGGCGAACGCCTCCCACTACACGGGCCAACACCCGAAATCCGCGTGCTTGGAGGGTATATTCAGAGCCTGCTGCCGGCGCTGGACGCGATTGCGCCCCCTTACAAGGTCGAGGCGAGCGAGAATGCTGCAGTCGTAAGGGCCGACGATGTCGTCAAGGACCGCCGCCTAGCATACGCCGTTGAGCCGACCTTGCGTGGAGTGTCAGGCCCGCCTCGCTTAGACGTGCTCGACGCCGCTGGCCTCCGCCCCGACGCTGGGGCAGCGAACACATGGTCCAATCCCATTGGGTCCGTTCCTGCCGCCGAAGTGCTCGAGGTGCAACTCTGCAACGCCGTTGCGCCGCTCCTCCTTCTCAACTCGCTGCGGCCGGCTTTGGTGGCGGCTGCGTGTGCGCCGCCAGTGTCGCCAACCGAGTCCACCTCCCGCCGTTACACTTATGTCGTGAATGTCACTGCTGCCGAAGGGCAGTTCAGCCACTTCAAGACACCGGGCCACGCACACACCAACATGGCCAAGGCGGGACTCAACATGCTCACCCGCACGGTGGGCGCAGAACTCGCCAAGCGCGGCGTGCTTGTGACCTCCGTTGATACCGGATGGGTGACCGACGAGCGGCCTTGGAAGGATAAACGTGCCGCAGCTGCTGCCGGTTTCGCTTGCCCACTAGATCTCGAAGACGGGGCCGCACGCGTGTACGATCCCATTGTGCGTGGCGAGTTGGGCGAGGCACTGCATAGCGTGCTGCTCAAAGACTACGGCGTCGCGTCGTGGTGAGCGGGTGCCTACTTCGGGACTCGCTCTTCGCGCGACAATCTTTCCGATTCCGAGTGCAGAGATGAATTGGCGAGATTACCGCCATGCTCATGGCGACAAGGGCAGTGGGCGACAGAGGCGGAGAGGATGGTTGAGATAACGGGGTCTGTTTTTTTTGCCAAGCACTCTAGTTTTCCAGCTCACGGCAACAGAATAGGAACTGCTGCGCATGAGCTGTGGAGCCGGGGATCGCACCGGCCAACGTGAAGTTTATATCCCGGAGATCGCGGCGTAAGCTCGCGCCGGTATGGACGCGAGCCACAAGGCCTGCGAGATGCCGGAGAGGCTCCGCGGGAACAGGACAACGGGAACAGCACGACGAGGCACCGACTTCGGCCACCACCATTCATCGCTGAAGTGATCTGATGTACGCTCACGTGGGTCACCATTCATCGCTGAAGTGATTGATGTACGCTCACGTGGATATGATGCGCGTACTGCAGATCCCATCGCCATCGAAACAGCCGTTCGGCGGGACACTCTGGTCCGAGGCACGCCATTCCCATCGCCGAACCGTGAAGCTTGCACAAATCTAATCGGCTGAAGTGCGGAATGCTAAGCTATAGCTTGCTAGTGCGACGGGGGACAACTGCAGATCATCATGACGCGGCACGCGACGCACTCTGCCCTGCGACACCCGACGACGAACCCTAAGCTAGTTTGTCGCCACTCTTCGCCGAGTCACCCAAGGTTCCAGTCTGATGTTCCCGGGATTGCTTCGGCGTCGTCCCATGGGGCCCGCAGCGGTCTCCAGTGGCTCGGCTTGCCCCCCCCCCCCCGCGTCATTTTCGTTGACATCACCAAAGACATATTCCACACCAGTCTTCGTCGTGAACGCCCAGCCACTCGTGCCGTCCGCAATGTTTGTGATGAAAAGCACGAGGTTGCTTAGAAACACATCCCGCTGGAGGCACTCACCTCTTGGCCATGAGACACCCAGCCGTCATCGCGATACTTTCTCTCGTCGCTAGTTTCGCGATGTGGCGGAGGTGTTGTGAGGGCATTCTAGAACGGGGTGCACCTCAGCGCGTCAAACACCGGTGACCATCGTCTGGGATCGTTCGATGTTTCCATGGCACTTACGAGCGGCGTGCTAGACTACAAAGATGGGCATTGGCGAGACATAAAAGGCGGCGCTCAGCTCGCTCAAAACCCAGCTTTGCTCAACACATCAGCTTGATCTTCCGCAACACAATCCACATCCAACTCATCCACACAAGACACCTAAGTTTCGCCTCGACATGAAGCTTTCAGCCCTCACCTTTATCCTGCCGCTTTTAGCGTTCGGCGCAGCGGCCCCGGCCCCGGCCCGCCCCGAGCCCGTTTTCGGCGACGACGCTCCGGCCGAGCTCAACGACGCCTTCCACATTGAGGACAACGTCCTTATCGGTCCCGGCGGCTGGTTCGGCTCAGACGGTTTCCATGCCGGCAAGTACGGCGGCAAGTACGGCGGCAAGTCTGGCGGCAAATCTGGCGGGACCAGAAGGTCCGGCTTCGGTGGCTTCGGTGGCTTCGGTGGCGGTGGGGGGGGCGGTGGGGCCGGTGGGGGCAAGGGCTTCGGCGGGGGGAAAGGCTTCGGTGGGGGCAAGGGCTTCGGCGGGGGCAAGGGCTTCGGTGGGGGCAAGGGCTTCGGCGGGGGCAAGGGCTTCGGTGGGGGCAAGTCCCGCGGCGGGAAGAAACGCAGCCTCGAGGAGCGCACCGTCTGCGTCTCCTGCAAGGGTCAAGGTTGGGCCATCCTCGGCAAGGACTGGCGGGTCGACCACGGCAGCCTCGTTGGCCCCCACGGTTGCTGGGGTCTTAACGGCTGGGGCCAGTGCCGTGGCGGCTGCTCGACCGGCCAGTGCGGTGGCCAGGGCGGCGGCCAAGGCGGCGGCGGCAATGGCGGTCAAGGCGGCGGCGGCAATGGCGGTCAAGGCGGCGGCGGCAATGGCGGTGGCAGCGGCGGCAACTCCGGTAATGGCGGAAACGCTGGCAACGGCGGAAACGCTGGTAACGGCGGAAACGCGGGCGACGGCGGAAACGCGGGCAACGGCGGAAACGCGGGCAACGGCGGAAACGCGGGCAACGGCGGCAATGGTGGCAACGGCGGTAACGGCGGCAACGGCGGCAATGGTGGAAACGGAGGCAACTCGGGCTCAGGCGGCGGCGGCCAAGGCGGCGGGAACGGTTCCCCGGGAGGCGGCGGATCAGGCGGGTCGGGTGGCGGCGGTGGAGGCGGCGGGAACGGCAGTGGCGGCAACAACGGAGGCAACGGAGGCAACGGAGGCAACGGAGGCAACAACGGAGGCAACAACGGAGGCAACAACGGAGGCAACAACGGGGGCAACAACGGAGGCAGCGGTGGCAGCGGCGGCAACAACGGAGGCAGCGGCGGAGGAGGAGGCGGTGGTGGTGGTGGTGGTGGTGGCGGTGGCGGGGGAGGGGGCGGCTCCTGCGTCGGCCCCAATTGCCCCGGCGGAAGTGGCAGTGGTGGGCACCACGGTGGAGGTCACGGTTGGGGTCACCACGGTGGTCACCACGGCGGCCACCACGGTGGAGGCCACGGCTGCAAGACAGGCAAGTGCCACGACAAGTGATGAGCCTTTTCCCGCTCGTGCGTTGCAAAACAGAAAAAATGAAGACCAATGTAGCCCGGTGTTTGTGAAAGGAGATGGCTCAGCTCACTGTCATGCTTACTATCATGCTGACTGAACGCTCGAGACTTTAATCGACTAGCGGCTTGCGTGCATTTATTGACTACCACAGCGCGAGACGGTTCACTGTATTCGGTCTCGGAACAACTCTCAAGTTGACTGTGATCTGCGTGGTAGCTTCAGTGCCTTGGGAGGAGGGGCGAGCCTGTCGTCGGTGTGCGTCAAGCAACGTGGAGAACGCCATGGGTATTGTCTCAAGGCGAACTGCGAACAAGGGGTGGAGCACTTCCACGTCACTCTTACCTTGTGTCAGTGTGAGTCATTGTCAGTGGCGAGGGAGTGGCGACGGGGTCGCACTATCTCTCAGCGGCACGATCATCCTCGGCCTGCATGCAATGCTGATGTGGACCTGACTGCGCGTGGCCATTTGCAACGCTGAGAGTCGCGGTTACAATCGGGCCCGATCTTGTGGAGGACTGCGCAGTCAGCACCGTTCCAGCACGAAGCAGCGAAACACATGGGGAACTGCAGGAACCGGGTGTCACGCGCTGTAATATCAACACTCGCTAGAGTGGCATGCCGGCAATGTATCGTACATGTTGTCACTCATCAGCTCCCGTTCCGCTCGGGAGCTAAACCCAGATATGCCAAGACGCTCATATCTGAACTTGTGATATCTCTGACCAAGCGATTGCCCAGGCGCACAATCGAACAACGCGGAAGATGGTGTGCGTATGCGACTATGAGCGACGAGCATCATCATGAACTCGGCGAGCACAGCTGCCGCCACTCTCCCCCTCCCGCCAGCCAGGCACTCGGCGGGACGGATTTGGGTCGGGGCAAGTGAGGCACTGCCATCACCATAGTTACTGGATCTCCCGGTACGTCAGTTCCTGGTTCCAGGCTCACGGGCGCGCCGACACACGGTATGCGCCACCCCACTTTAAGTCGTGTCGCCCAGAGTTGCGGGTGCATCTGCCGACACCCGGTGGCTCGGCACGTGTGGCACACATCATCAGCCGGCTGAGCAACACCCGTGGTCCCTTGGGGTCATGCAAGAAAATGTCGGGGGCCGCACGACGATCATGCGAGCTGATTGTGCAGTCCTGCGAGCCACTAACCCCCGCCTGCCCCCCTTTGTGGGATCCGGGGTACGGGGGAATACGCACTCCTGTTCCGCTCCGATCCGCCGGTCCGCAGCACAACATCGGCTGCTTGCGTCACTTGTAACCTCTCGGCAAGGGGCCTGTTGACATTACCTGTGTGTGTCAGATGCCCATGCCCATGCCCACGCGACCGTGGCCAGCCACTGTCATGTACTATAATTGTTTATTTTGCACGGCTCCAACGTCTCCAAGTAACAACCTCCCGACGGCAGAGGCACTTACATCACGCCAAGAGAGATGACCTTGTGCTTGATTATATTCGCTTTTCCCGAGGGTGGGAACGGGAATGTAACACGTTTCGGATCGTGCTCGCGTGCACGGCGCGCCATCGCGTAGAGCAGGGTAGTGGACGCGCCGCGCGGCAGTAGTGCTCACAACTCGCTCGTCACTGACACTTCTAGACGGGGGTTGTCATGGGCGTTGGGGCCGTCACGAGCGATGGGGACATCGTGGGCATCGTGGGCGTTGGGCCATCGTGGGCAGTGAGACCGGTGAGAGAATGGCCGCCGAGTCGGGGACTGTTGCCTCCCCGAGAGACATAAAAGGCGGCTCACGCACCCCCTTCTCCTCATCCGTCAAGACATCGACAAAGCACCAAACATGAAGTTCACCGCCCTTCTCCTCCCCCTCGTCGCCGTGGCCATGGCCGCCCCCGCCCCCAACTCGCAGGAGGCCCGCGCCCCCGACGTCGCCGACCAGTTCGACATCATCAACGGTGTCATCGTCGGCCCCGGCGGCTACTACGACGAGAACGGCTTCCACGAGGGCGAGTACCCCGGCAACAAGCGCGACCTCGCCGAGCGTGACGCCGACGTCTACGAGCGCACCCTCGGTCTCGAGGAGCGCACCTTCTTCCTCAAGGGCAAGCTCCTCGGCTTCCTTGGCAAGGGATGGAAGTGGGGCAAGGGCGGCCTCCACGGCCCCGGCGGTCAGTGCTGGGGCTCGGGCGGCATGGGCCCATGCAGCAGCTGCGCCGCTTGCCAGTAGAGTGTAACCCCATATACCCGACCGTATGAATCGGAGACCCTGTAGCGTTGCCGCGGTGCATTCTGTTGCTTGTTAGGCTTGGCTTGAACGGGTGTGAGCTACTGCAGTTTAGACGCATGTGTCTTCGGTCAATGCGGAGGATCTCGTCACCCCAAAACAAGGCCCCTGCAGCTGTCAGCCCAAATTTCTGTCGAGTTCGACTTGCACAACATGCTCGATGTTCTCCATATAACCAAGCGTGTGGGCGGATGCCTACTGCCTTGGCTTATGTGAAGGCGGCGGTAGACGGGGTAGTGGTAAATGGCATTCACACGGGTTCCTCTCGGGGAACGCGTCCGCCGCTTTTCCGCTCTGCCACCCTTCGCTCCTCCGGCTCTGTCGATCACCGCGTCTGGACACCTCCTGTGCTGTCAGCTGCTCAGCGCCGTGTCTGCCTTGACACTTCGACCGATATGCTGGGGTGACTTCTTCTGTCTACCGCTTGATGTTAGCCTGCGCAAGCAGTTGCCGCGGTTTCCGGCCTAGTTTGCTCGCCCCCCGTGCCGTTCTGGGAGGGCATTTCACGTCGCTCATTCGTTAACAATTATTTGAAGGTCTGGAGCCGCGAAATTGTCGGTACGCTTCCGCTTCGGACGGCAAGTAGACTCGGTTTCGACTTGACAAAACCATTGCCACACAGTGGGAGTTGTCACAGAGTGGAAAGTTCGAGGGAAGCTTTGGGACAAGGGTGGGGGATTATATATGAGCGTTCAGTAGTTATTTCCACAGCCCAGTGTGTTTTTGCACTCGTACGAGTGGTCTTGACCCGCCTACATCGTGCCATTTCTCACAAGGTGTGACCCCTGATGTCAGACGCCGCAAGTCTCACTCGGTAGTTGGGAGTTCCGAGATCGAGATACGTTGAGTGGTTCCCACGTGGCAATCGGTGATTGAAAGGCGAGTATGCGGATTGCAGGACCCAGAGCAGGTAGGTGGAGGTTGTCGATGACGGTGTCACAGTACACTGAACTGAAGTGTTCTCCCATGAGATTGTATTGGTCGTCTCGTGTGCACGCCCACTGTCATCAGCATTCGACGTACCTGTGGGCACCACAAGGGCTGCTGATTGTGGGCATCTTTTTCAAAAGCCTGATGTTCCTCTCAAAGTGTGGCAGAGGGCCGGATTCCCGCTCGGAAGCGCGCACAGACGTGTCGAGGGCTCCGGCGAGGCCAACATTTGAGATCAGCATCTCGAGATGGCGAGGTGGGCAGTGGGCGTGCACGTGAGTGTTCAAGCAGGTGTTACAGCACAGGTGTGCGGCGGGTGCCTTATCGTCAACGAGCCTTGTTGCAATCGCCGGCTCGATGCCGACGCGCACAGTCAAGCGCTGGATAAACATACCTCGGAGGCATAGAAGCGGATGTGCAGTGAGGCGGCGCGTCACCTCGCGTGACCGATAAACAACGGTAGCGATAATTAAGCCGCACAGCCTACGCCCTGAGTGAGATGGGGCGGCGTGGATCTTGGCGCGCGGTATGAAATGGCATGTCCTATCCGCCGGAGTCAGCTGGACGTGAGTGAGGGTTGAGTCTGGGGCGTGAGAGTTGAAGCGGGGCTCACGTCAGCATAAAGATCTGGGTCGAGGCACTTGGCGCCCATCACGCTGACGTATGTTAATCAGTCGCGTTCCGTCAATCTGAGGGTCGCGCGTCAGCATCATCAGCGCCAGCCTTGAAACTACGAGGAGATCTGGGTTAGCGACAGGCGTGACGCGCCATGGACGTGCAGTGGCTATCGAGCAACACTCAACGCGTCCGCGACGTGTGTCGGACGCGGCGTGACGTGGTCACGGTGACGCGGCGGCGTCGAGCGGCGGCCGCCCAAGGAAGGGGTGCGATGGGACTCAATAGACAACGGAGACCGTACCCCTTGCGCTGCATCCGTCCGGCAGTAATGCCTCACTGTCCAGGCCCGTCACGCACCCGTGGAATGATCACACGTCGACATTACCGCGCGCACGGGCAAGACCTTCGCGGGCCGCGTTTCCAGGTCACATGAGCATTGCGGAGGCTCATGAACACGCAGTCACCGTCACGCATCAGCTGATTATCAATGTTGTTATAGTCTCCGAAAGCTAGTCTTGGCTTGGCGCGCGTTGCGTGACAGGCGTCATTGACCAGGGTCGTTCGTGGACACGCTTGCGGTGAGTTTTATTCGGAATGCAGGGCAGGATTGATAGAATGCAGAGGACGGCTAGCGCCCAAAAGTACGGTAGGGAACGGTGGTTCGCTCAAAGGCGCAAGGACTGGATAATTGGGGATTACTGCTTCCTCTCAGAGAGGAGCGCGCAAGTAGTCGTGTGATCGGCAGAGTAGCTGCGCAACCATCGGGTCGTGAGGTCGTTTCGGGTCGTTTCAAAGTCATGCGCCAATGCAAGTTGATGTATTATTGCGGCGGGAAGAAGTCCAAGAGAGTGGGTGGGTGGGTATTGTAGGCAGTTGCGTGTAGATTTGCCATAGATGCAGGTCGGAAGAAAGATAACATGAGACGAGGACGCGGATCACTGAGCGCCAAGCTGGAGCATCTCGTCGCCCGGCTGGCGGTGCACGGGGGCTTGGGGCACACCTGCAGGAGGTATACCAGCGGGGCCATAGTACATCTGCACCCCAGGCATGCCGTGTTGGGGGTGGACGTTTGGCGCAAACGTGCGCGGTGCCGCCTGGGTAGGGGTCTGCTGGAAGACACCGGGCTGTACGGTGACAGGGCTGTGCAGCGCGGGCATTGGTGCGTTCGATGGCGCGTGAATCGGGGGCGGTGGAATTATGCCGGCCTTGCCGTCGGCCATCATCTGGCCAGGCATCGGCGGGGGGTATTGTTCGCGCCAACCGGCCTCGTACATGCGGGCCGTGTGTGCGGTCCACGTCTGATTGATGTCATGTGGGGGGAAAACGCCCTGATGAGAGACAGGGGTCTGCAGAGTGGGATGAGCGGGCGAGTTCGACGACGAGCCGCTGCCGATGTGCTGCTGGTGCTTGGGTGTTTGAGGCGGCCGGCCAGCGGACGCAACACTGATGGTGGGATTGGAGCTGGGTCTGTGGCTCAGCCCAGGCATGCTGTGGTGCGAGTTGTTAGAAGACGTCGACGGCGAGGCGGACGTATTGTCCTGGCCTACTCCTCGCGTGGAAGGCGTGGCGAACGGTTTAGGAGGCGACGCGGGCGATGGAGACACGCGGCCACCATTCGAGTCGAGGCTGCCTCTGCCCCTGTTCTGTTCGTAACGCCAGCGGTCATAGGTGGCTGCAAGGCCGGGACCCATGCTTTCGAGGTCGGCTCGGTCCATACCTAGACGGTTTTGGATCTCACCAGACCACTGAGTCTGAGATAGAGCCATGACGACCGTCGAAGCGAAGTAGTTGCCATCGCTGGACGGTGGCTGGCTGCCTTGCAAACCGTTGCTTCGAGTCCCCAGGGGAGGGGGCGTAGGTGAACGACGTGACTCTCCAGTCAAAGCCGGGTCGATGGGAATATTGTCCGTTGCAGATTCGGTACGACGAAGGTTCCGGCCTTGCCGCCATGCCTCATTGTCGCCAGCGCCATCCTGTTGCCCGAAGTTTACGCCTAGCCCGACTTGATGATCGCCGGCTTCCGATTTGCGACGCTTTGACGGGGACTGGACTGTCGAGTATCCGTGTACCTCGGCGCCAGAGTCTCTTCTCGAGCCAGCAATGCTGCTCAGCGCGGCGCTTTGACCTCGCGGCTTCGACGCGCGAACAGTAGCGTCGCCGCCTCCTGACAGAGTGAGGGTACTCAACATGGTGTTGTGTTCCCAAGACGAGTCGTCGGACGCAAAGCCGCCCATTGTAGGGGACAAATGGCCAGGCGACGACATATCCGACATCGAGCCGGAGCTCGACATTCCAAAGGAGTGAGACGGGGACGATATGGGGATGGCCATTGGAGGAAGGTTCGAGTAGGTAGTCGACACGGATGAAGGCCCCTCATAGGACGAGACAGAAGTGAACGAACTCCTGTCGCCAGCAGACCGGCCAAGCAATGTGGACGTGGAGGATCCCGGGGGATGATGCTGGTGCTCCAGAGCCTGATGGTTAGTTGGGTGTCTCTTGGCTTCGCGCGACTCACCTCTCGCTTAGCCTTGTCGCGCAAGCGTTTGCGACGTTGGCGCTCACGGCCCATCTCGCGCTTGCGCGCCTTTCTGGCCTCCTCTTCCTCGGCCGTCTTTCCGCGCAGCGAGCTCTTTGGCGGAATTGGGGGCATGGGAGGGATTCCAGGTGAGTACCTCGTTGGCGACATGCGTCCGTCCATGTTGTAGGGATGAACGGCCACCTCGAGGGAAGCGCGGTCTCCGGGACCGCGGCGAGCACGAAGCCTAGTGGGGGCGGAGCCTCCCATGTGGAAGTCGGAGGGGTTATTTGGGTCCATGGGATCGTTCATGGTGTAGTAGCCCTGGTACATGGCCGACTGCTGGGGCGGTGGCGGCGCGTCATAGGTGAAGGGCGCATACATGACCTGGTCAGCCTCTCCTGGCCGGCCATAGGCCATGTTGTGGTCGGGATACGATGGATTCATTCCGTGTCGCGTCGCTCTGCGAGCTCGAGGTGCAGGTCAATAAGAGGTGTCGCAGTCAAGTGTTTCGAAAGAGACGCCCGAGGTGACGTGCGTCGAGGGTCTTGTATGCGTGTGTGCGGTGCGTGTGCGGTGAGGGAGATTTGGTACACCCGTGTATGACTGACTGTTTGGAGAGGCGTAGCAGACGACGCGAGGGCGTTGGAATAAAAGCATGGTCGAGAATCCGCAAGCAATGTGAATACGAGGGAAGGTAATCATGTTCAAAGAGCGAGGTTGGTGGGCGGGCAGGCAAGACAACAGGCAGCCAGAAAGAAGTGTCAGCGAATGCTACCTTGCACCTTCAAGACAACGGTTCTCTTTGGTGGCGCCTCGAGGACGAGAGTCCAGCAGACTGTTGCCGTCGGTAGCACGAGAAGGTTACTCACGGACTGTCCAGATATCAGAACCTAAGGCGTTGACGAGTCCCGAGGTAGTCGCGTTGAGAAGAAAAGGAGGAAAGTGTCAAAGTGTCGCGCCGTGTGCGTGTTGTGCGAGGGTGCGCGACGTTACACTTGACACGAACAGTCGGGCGCGGGCAAGTTACTGGAGTGGCCAAGATTGAGACAGACGAGTTGAGAGCAAGAAGGAAGTGTGACGGTGAGGAAGGGAAGGGTTTGGAGGGGGCGTGTCGTTCAGAGGGCAGTGGGGGAGGGGGGGGGGGGGGGGGGGGGGGGGGGGGGGGGGGGGGGGGGGGGGGGGGGGGGGGGGGAAGGGGGAAAACGACGAGCGGGTGGCAATCAGTGGGCGGAGGCGCGCCGAGAGGCGTATCCTGATGAATGCCGGTGGTGACTTTGAGCAACTGTATTCTGTGTGCCCTTACTTGTCACTCTGTTTTTGATGATGACCAGAGTGTGTAGGTCGTGGGTGGTGATGGATGAGACTGGCGTCTTGCAATGCCGGCGGGTGTGCGGGAGGAGGGGAAGAGGGGAGGAGGGGAGGAGGGGAGGAGGATTGCGGAAAGGCGACGGTGAGTGACAAGGGGAGGGGTAAAGGAGTGTGACGGGTAGAGTTGTAATGCCAGAGTAGTTCCAGTAGTCGTCGAGACCTCTAGTTGAAATGAGCCAAAACCAAACGTCAAGCGGTGGCGCTCAAAGTACCAAAGGGTCGGGAGAGCGGGGTGTTACGGGCCACTGGTCACTGGATCACTGGGTCACTGGCCACTGGCCACTGGCAGGCAAGGGCTAATGCGGGGGGGGGGTGAACGGGCGGACGTGTCGAGGGTCGTGCACTTTGGTCGTTAAAAGGGAACGCTGTGATCGATTGTCGACAGGAGCAAGGATCGGAATAGAATGTACTGTAGAATGGAATGGCGAATGTTGGAGATGGGATTGGGATGAGTGTGGAGGAGAGTGGGGTGTCAACGCGACTTGGAGTGGGGAGTGAGGAGGCGGAGAGCAAGGAGGAAAGGGGGGGGGGATGAGCAAGACGAGTCGCGGACCGAGTAGGAGTAGTAGTGGGATGTATAAGAGAGCGAGAGAGAGAGTGAGAGTGAGAGAAGAGCCGTCGTGAGTGATCAAGACAGCCGCCATGAGCCCAAAGTGGTGGCCACAGGCTGCTGCACAGAGGCGGGAGAGAGACGGAGGAGCGCGAGGAGGCCGAGGGATCGCGAGAGAGAAAGGCGCCGAGGATGGACCGGGGAGGGGAGTGAGAGAGGGGAGAAGAGGGTCATGAGCCATGAGCCCAGGGTTCAGCTACATCTCAATCCAGGTCCATACAGGTCAGGTACGGTCCGAGCCGAGGCGGCGCAGGGGGCACAACAGGCCCAGACGGTCCAGCGCACAGGCAATAACCCCTATATCCCCCATACTTTGGACGAAAATGCGGGAGCACCGTCTAGGGTAATCATCCTCTCACATCCTATACTCAGGGCTTGAGTCTTTGCCCTGCTGCTAGTTGGAGAGAGGCCAAAGTCTACAGTATGCTGGCTGTCTGCCACTTGCAAGGTGCCAACGTGCCAAGGATGCAACTCGACATGCCAGAAGAGTCCTCATCCAACGCGATCCAACAACAACTGAAATTGGACGGCACAACGCGGGCGACGCGGGCAACACTGGCCACGGGGGAGCCGACACGGGCATTGGGGCTTCTGCACGTCGAAAGATCTCCTTTCCTCTTTCGGCCCTCCTCCCTCTGGCCCTCTGGCGCCGCCTCTGGCTTCGTGGCTCGTGGCTCATGGCTTATTAGGCTCGACATGCGACATATTCCATACCGCTCATCTTGCTCTCGCTCTCCGCTGTCTCCGTTGTCTCACCGGTCTCACCTGTCTCACCTCGGCTCCCTCGGCGCTCTCGGGCTGTCCTCTGATCCTCAATATCAAGCCACAATAATGAATCAATGCGTTTCAAACCTCAAACCCATCCCTTTCCCCCCGTCCAGGTCGCTGCAATGCACCTCGGTGCCACCTTCCACCATCACTCCCATCATCCATTCTCACCTCTCCCTCTCTTATCTCTGTACATCCTGCGCAGGCGCCAGACTTGTTCGTCTACACAGTACCCATGCGCACACCCGTCATATGCATCCCTGACCCGCGGCAGCTACGGCGTGGCGCTAACCCTACTCCCCATCTTGCACTATGCACTAGCCCGCGTCGCCGCATTCGGCGCTTTACCAGACGTCAGTTTCGGCCTTGGTCGCTTCCGCCCATACCTACGCGCTATCCCCGGACTCGGAGCCACCATGACGAGAGGATACTGTGTGGCGGCGTACATTGCTCGGATGAGCGGCATGCAACAGGGTCCGATCATCGAGTCGTCAGGCTGGAGGCCGGAGGATTGTCGGAATGGCAACGGCGCACATCAAGACTCTGGATGCCGGGCGGATGGCACATCAGTTGGAGAGTCGAGATCGTGAGTCGCGAGTCGCGAGTCGGACGTTTGCACATGCAATTGCACAGGAGCACGGCTCGCTCGTTGGCCGCAGGTGCGGATCGAGGGATCCAAAGAACGCAGGGATTCCAGCGGGACGCAGCAGGCGTCGTACTTGCGCCCCCAGGCCCAGTGGCCGCGACAGTAGACTGATCGCAGGCCCGCAGGATCGAGGGCCTGGCCCGACATCACGATGGATGTGGGTCCAGCGGCCCAGCGGGGCGAGGCACCGGCGCGACAGGGGCGAGGCAGTGCATGTGCTTGTGCGTCTCCTGCTCATCACACACGTCCTGTCCGTTCGGCCGTTGCTCATGTCACCGTGGCGAAAGCTGGCCGGCCAGCTGGCCAGCTGGGAATTGGCAGATGGACGCCGGCAGCCGAGGCATGCACGACACGACACGGCGGCACGGCGGCACGGCACCCGCAGCGAGGAATGCTCGAATGTCTGCGCACACCGGTGCAGGCGTCCATCCGACGTCGCGTGCTGCACCCGCCCCGGATTCCCGTCGCGTCTGCTCGTCCGATGCGCATTCTGACGCGGTGGCGCATGCCTCTCCTCTCCTACTGTACAATCGCCAGACTAGCCGGTGGCGCACGGGGAGCCGGCACGGGACCGGAAGCAACGGCACGGGAGCGAGGCATGATGCGACGCGAGTCTGCTCTGGCATACGCCGGAAGCCAGAGGCCAGAGAGGAGGGATCCAGAAGATCTCATCGCCATGAAGGCAAAAGGAGAAATGGGGTGCCGGGACATCTGGTGGGACGGATGTGCCTGGTCGTCGCCAGAGGCAGGCACGCGTCCGCATCGCTTTGGCGAGATGAGAATGTCGCGTCCGACATGACGGCGCGCGTCCGAGTCGCCAGGCGTGCCGTGGGCCCGGTGCCGCCGGGATCATGTGCGGGCCGGGCACGATGGCGAGGCGAGGGTCGCGCGAGGGGAAGAGGGTAAGGTGCTTGGAGGAGGCCAAGAATGCACCTGCCTTAAAGCATCAGCTGTCGTGCTATGGCGAGGAATTGCGACTTGCTCCTGCATAGCAGCCATTTCATGTGGCAATTCGCCGGCCGCCACGCCGCCACACTCGCCTGTCGCCGATAAGCATAAGGTTCTCAGTTCCTTCGCCCGCTCCGGCCTCGTGTTCTCGGAGACTAACTCGACCACGACGCCGCCCACGACGCCCGCGCCGAGATACTGGTCGACGTGACGGTCTGCAGTGATGTGAGTGGGTCTCGTGCGGCACCAGTATTCGTGACTTTGTCACGCGATAAGATGAGGTTGCAATCAGCCGGGTGCTTGTTGAGCATAAACAGAGCCTGGGATGACACGGCACTGCAAAACGTTGAGATAATGCCTGTGTATCGCAACAACACTTCCACTTTGCCCATGTCAGGCGAGATCACTCGGGGAAAGCGCCGGCTCACATATGGCCTGCTCCCACAATCTTGGACTTACCCAACATCATATTGAGCCTGACAGCTCTCATGCACTTTACCTAGAGCCTGACGCGCAGTGGACGCGTCGTGACCGCTCGGCCCATCGCACCCAGCTCACTCGGACCTACGGCCGTCACCCTCCATGTACCGCTATACGGGAACTCGCCAACGTCTGTGTGCTACAACACGAGACCGATCGATCACGTGCTGACCCTGCTGCCAGGAGCGCAGGATCAGTGGCAACCCTGCACGGACAATGGCAAGCACATGCTCATCCCCCACCCACTCGCCCAGTAAGGACGGAAGTGTGCCGGTCGGCGTCCAACTGCGTGCGCGCAAGTGGGAACGTGGGCGTGGTCGTGTGCCGAACTGATCGGAAGCTGCCGAGACGCGGATGATTTGTGTCACGCTTCAGGTGGATTGTGGTGACTCGCATTCAGGTGACTAGGGCCAGGGCCGCTCCGCACTCCAGCTGCGCGGTGGCAGCCAGCAAAGGATGGAGTGGACGTCGATAGGTGGTCTTTCACCGCCATTCTTTTGTTCGAAAGCTCGAGAAGAACCGTCCCTCGCAATACACCGTTCCCATACAGTACGGCTCACCCCTCGTCCTCATTTCGCTCGCACCCTTGACATCAGAAGGTCAAACCTGCCTGCCCATAAGCCAAGCCAAGACCAAGCGCTCATCCGCATTCACTGGTATCCTACCGGTTCGCAGGAACGCGCGTGACCGCGGCCCGCCCGTTCACATGCTCGAGGCACTGCAGATGTCCTAGACCGGGTGTAGCCCGATCGATCGCTCTGACGGATCTGACCTATGATTCCTACGCACCTACGACCCCGGCCTGCGGCATACGTGCTCACTGTTGCGCCAATTCCGTCCACTCGAATACCTCATGAACTCATGAAGACACGCCGCCCCGTGCCGCCTGACGTCAGATGGGATCGCGCTTCGTGGGTGCGTGGTCCAGTCTGTGGTCTGTGCGCACGCCCGGTCAACGGTCGGAGGACCCGACATCGCGTACTGGGGTTCAGGTTGCCGAAGCGCACAGCAGCGACTGTGGATCGCGGTACCCCAGCGTTGAGCGGGCGCCCCAAGCGCATCGGCGCCAGATCCAGCTGCCTGATCGCGACGGAGAAGCGGAGACGAGGGTGAGTCTGAGATCAAGGCACGGGAGTAGAAGTTCTGCCAAGAGGCAGGACATTGTGGCAGGAATAGAGTTTGCGGGTGTGCGGGACAAAGGAGCGCTATTTGGACGGCTCGGACTCTTGATGGATAGGGAGGCGAGGATGCATTCAAACTGTGTAAATTTCTCGCAGGATGGCGGACATGCTGGATGGGTAGCGAGCAGGAAGTAGCGACAAGTGGAGAAGAGAAAGAGGAGCATGCGATGAGGCATCGAGGCATGTGAGGTGGATCATTCCCCTGGGCGGTCTCACAGTGAATCCAAGTGGACGCGGGGGGTACGGGTATGCGGGGGAGCGGCCACGTGTAGCCGTAGGGGAGTGAGCTACGAGAGGAGAGGCGGAAGTAAATCTACAGACAGGGTGAATGTGAAGAGGGAAGGGGAACGCACCTGGACTGGCGCCTCACTGTCCCCGCTGCTGTACCACTCGAGGGCCGCACACGCCGTCGACGACACCTTGACCCATCATCCTCTCCACCTCCATCTTGCATCGGCCTCTCCACTCTCCTCTCTCCACTCCCCACCATCATCTTGCCCTCCCCACTCCTCTTCGCCGTCTCCGTCTCCGTCGCCGTCGTCACGCTCTCCCCCCACTCCCCTCCACGCAATACCCCCTCCCCTCCCCTCCCCTCCACACTCGCCATATTCCCCCGATCCCGGCATCGAGCATCGCTCGACCTCCACGCGTTCAGGCCCCTTCTCGACCGACACGACACGCGCCCTCGACGAACATTCACGCTCCCCGCCTTCTCCCTCACATCAATCCCCCATCAACACCGTCTTTGCTCCTTCCATCTCCTCCGGATTCCAACTCTCCTCCGTCCCCTCCAGCACTTACAAACGGCCCACTCTCCCACTGTCGGCCCAAAGCACGGACTCCCCTGTCTTCACCACCACCATCGCTTGGTGGCCACGCATTGCAATCTAGGCCACCATCACCATGGCCACCGCGCCCCCGAAGAGCATTAAATGTGCGTTGATCCCCAATCACGCGCGACATGTCCGCTAACACCTCAGGCGTCGTTGTAGGAGACGGTGCGGTCGGCAAGGTTAGCCTTCCTCACGCGGCGCGCGCTCACCCCAGACCTGCCTGCTCATCAGCTACACGACTAACGCCTTCCCCGGCGAATATGTCCCAACGGTGTTCGATAATTACTCCTCGCAGGTTATTGTCGACAACCAGACCGTCCAACTCGGCCTGTGGGACACGGCCGGTCAGGAAGACTACGAGTAAGTCAAAGTTCGCGCAGGTTCTCCTCGATCGCCTCTTGGCTTCGGAACGCTTCAGCGCTGCGCACCCGGGGCACGGGGAAGGAAAGAGCCTTTGTCTTCTGCTTCCTTGAGGCCTTGGGATCAGCTTTCCCGCGTTGCGGAACCTCGGCGGTGGATCGGCGCGCAGCTCGCGCCTTGTCGACTGTAGCAGCCCCTTGGTTGCCGGCGCTAACACTCAGCCGTCTCCGTCCACTCTCATACCCCCAGACCGACGTCTTTCTGCTATGCTTCTCGGTCGTCTCACCCGCATCCTTTGAGAACATCCGCACCAAGTGGTTCCCCGAGATCCAACATCACTGTGAGTTGCGCGTGTTAGACGAATGACTGACACCAGCGCCTGGAACGCCCATCATTCTCGTTGGCACCAAGCTCGACCTGAGAGATGACCCCGCGGCGCTGGAGCGCCTGCGCGAGCGGCGGTCGCAGCCCATCCAGTATACACAGGGCGCGGCCATGGCCAATGACATCCGCGCAGCCCGCTACCTCGAGTGCTCTGCGCTCACGCAGGTCGGGCTCAAGACGGTCTTTGACCAGGCGATCCGGACGGTCCGTGAGTGTTCAGCTACATGTACAATGCTGAGCGAAAACAGTCAATCCCAACCGTCGCAGTAATGGCCGCAGGAAGGGCAACAATTGCGTCCTCATGTAACGAACGACAAGCCGTGACCCTACATCTCTCTACACCAGCCACTACCACCCCCTCCTGATCTAATACTCTATATCTCTTTTGCTCATTTACGCGCGCTGAGCAATGATCCCATGCGCCAGGGCGCTCGTCCTGTCGCTGGCCCCCCCAATTTCGCGGGGACCACGATATCTCATGTTTCCGTTTGTACCACCAGACGTCCTGCATCACCCCGCCTTCGTGTTTATAGATTGGTCAGAGCGCGATGGAGTCGTGCTCGCGAGTCGCTAGACGGTAGACGGGATGTGACTGACTTGTGATGATGCAGAGGCAGCGAACGAAAAACCCAGTGCATGTACGGGACATTGTCAAGCCATGAAATGGGCACAAGGCTACGGTGCAGAGATGGAGTCTAGAGTGAAGGTGGTGAGTGCAAGCGCGCGTGTCTAGGTGGCAAACCTGGCTGTCAGCTGAAATCTCTTCTGTGCGACCCACACTCCCATCATCTTGAAAGGCGGCAGTTTGGCGCCCTCCTTGCCAAGTACGAGGCACTCGACATAGTGGTCGCCCGCCTCGACACCCTCGTTGATAGTAGTGAGCGTTGGGGTGGGCTGCCCAACGTTTTTGTTGATGCCGTTGAGCTCGACGCGGTTCCCAAAGTCGTCGTCGACCCAGCAAGCGACGCGCCCGCTCGCCGTGCTATCAGGGTGCTGGAGGTAGTAGATAGCGACGTCGCCGGCGGATGTCTTGATGGGCACACGCATGCGGCTCCCGCCGACTTCGGACCACCAGTAGGCCTTGACCTCTGGGCCCTCGTTGACGGGCTTGTACGTCTGCCATCCCGAGCCGAAGAAGTGGCTCGGCGGGATGGGGTTGACGATCTCGTTCGCGATGACGCAGTACGGCTCGGCCTCGCGGAACGTGAGGATGTCCGAGGGGCGGTTGGCGAGGCGCGCAGGCGGCACCCGCATCGCGCGCGCCTTGGCTGCGAGACCGCCGCCCTGCGCTTCGAGGTCGTCCGCGTCGACGTTCAGCAGGGGGTTGACGCCCGACGACTGCCCCGCGCCCATGTACGGCACGTCGAAGGCGTGGCCCATGGTCGTCGCCCAGCCCGCGCAGATCTGGCTCTGGAAGTAGCTGATGAGCAGATCGGCGAGCATGTCGTGGCCCGCCGGCGACGCCAGCACCATGTCCGAGTAGTATGCTTGGCGCGTGCCCTCCGGGTCGGACATGTAGTCGGCGTACAAGGCGCCCTTCATGGAGATGTGCGGGACGTCGTAGAACTGCGCGACGATGTCGTGCAGCATCTCGGGGCCGGTGAACTTGTTCTGCACGAGGACTTGGGGCGCAAAGTGGCCCAGGAGGATGACGGCGGGCTGCTCGGGACGCGTGAGGATCGAGCGCACAAGGAGCTCGAAGTGGTTCATCCACAGTGGGTCGTTCGGGTCCGAGGCGTCAAACTCGAGGATCACCAGATCGGCATGGTCCGGCATATGGTGCTTTGAGCAGTAGGCAAAGTAGGCCGAGTCGGTGAGGCGCGCGGCGCCGTTGTACAGCTGGCTGAGCGGGTGGGGGAATACACCGTTCCACCACTCGAAGAACTTTGACGGCCAGCAGCGCGGCGAGACCGGGTCGTCGCCGGCGCCGTGGCATGCCGTGATACTTCCCCCAAGCACGGACACGGTCACGGGCTGCCCCGTCATGGCCTTGTGGATCAGACGCTGGACGCGCGCACCCGTGCCGAGGTGCAGGCGCGACTTGAGGAGGGCGACCTGGCCGCGCTTGGCCGCGACAGCGTCGTCAGGCCCAAAGTCGGGGCAGAACGCAAAGGGGGCGGGCTCGGATGCGCTGGCATTCAGGTAGTCGGCCGCGGTGAGCAGGCCGCGCGACGTCGAGTAGTGCCCCGTGAGGGAGGAGGAGGAGGGTGCTGCTGTCAGATAAGAGTATCGACCAGCGACTCACGGAAGACGAGGCGCGAGAATATCATCAGGCCGAAACACCCTGCGAGGAGGTACCATACACGCCGGGACAGGCCTGGAGTCAGCGCCGGTGCCGGTGCCGGCCATCACATCGCTGGGCACCTACCGAATACTGGCCGCTCGGCGGGCACTGGCCGCGGGTCGTCACTCTTCTTCTCCATGGCAGATATGGCCGATATGGCAGTCCGAGGTCCGGTCTAATGTCGCGTTTGGAATTTCGTGCCGTCCGTTAGGCCTACTGTCTCACTCTCGAGCGTGCGTGTCAAAGCCGTGCTGTGCCGTCTCCCGTGCGTCTGCCGTGTCTGCCGTTTTTCGCTCCAGGCGGTCCGCTGCGCGTGCTTGTGCAGTCAAGTAGACGAGAAGAAAAAGATGCGGATGGGCGGGAAGAGTGATGTGCTGGACTCTTGGTGGCGGTCACGACGACCAACTCTATCTCGACCCTGACAGAGGATCGTCCGGAATCAATGCCGCCCGCACGTGGCATGCCCTGGCCGCGGCTGCTGTCAGGCAGGCGCAGGCAGGCGCGTCGGACGCGTTCCTGAGGCGTCGGGCTCATGTTGCATGTTGTACACTGCTCCTCGCTCGCTCTGTCTGGTATCTCTGGACAGTCCACTCCGTCGCCGTCTCCGCATGGCCCTCCCTAAACAGCTCCAGGCGGGGCTCACTCCCGACGAGCTCACCTTTCTCGCCGAGGAGGACGCCGTCGACATCGTCCCCCTCTTCTCCATGAGCCGCGTGCGATTACTCTCTGGTGTCTACGGCCCATTCACGCCCCCCGCGCGATCCCGCGTCCCCCTGTGGCTCGCGCTGAGTCTCAAGCGCAAGCGCAAGTGTCGGATTGTGCCTCCAGCATGGCTCTCTGTCGGTGCGTCCCACTTCTAACGCAAAGCGACTCCTACCCGTCCATCAACTCACACCAGAATCCCTCACAGCCGTCATCAAGGACGAACGCGAGGACGGGGAAGGTTTCGAACCACTGCCGAGGCGATTCTACGAGATCTCAAAGGTGCTGCTTGACGTCGCAGCCGACGACCTTACGGAACCGGGGCAGCTGCGCTCTCTGCTAAAAGACCTGCGCGAGATGCGACAAGGCAAGATCCGCATCGGATTGCAGAGCGAGGGCGTGATGCGCAGCAACTATCTCCAGGTAAGCTAGTTGGCTACATCACTGGCGCTGACAAAAGGTCACAAATCTCACGCCCATGGAACTATGCGAGCTCAAGCCGTTCCTCACAAAGGCCATGGGCATGATGCAGGGCCTCGAGCGCGACCCAGACGAATAATGTTGTACATGTACTATATGCCTACACCCTACATAATCACGCACCCCCTGTCGCGCTCGGTGGGGCGCACACCCGCCGCATCTTCGAGGCTTTCGCGCGCAATCTCCGCCGTGGCCTCGAGCTGTTTGGCGCGCACCTCGCGCGGGAACCAGTCTTTCATAAAGTTCATGAGTGTGACATCGAGGCAGCCTGTAGTTAGCACTTGCCTCTCGACATTTCAGAAGCACGTACCTCGATCAGCCAGCAACACAGTATTGCTCCGGCACAGCGGGCAGCTGTCGTTGCCCCGCTGCTGCATCTTAACAAGGCAGCGTACACAGAAAAGATGCCCGCACGTCAGGCGGATGGGTTTGAACGCAATCGACATGCAGATGAGGCACGCAAAGTCGTCGAGCGACGGCAAGATCGGCAACAGCGTCTCAGTCATACTGGCGAGCAGCACGTGCGGGAGCGACGTGTTGTAGAATGTCCACATGTTGACGTTACCGTGCTTGTCGACATGCGTCGCGAGTGTGCTGCGCACAAACGACGCCAGCCCCGTGCTGGCCGTGAGCGCCGTGCGTTTGTCGTGCTTCTTGAGAATCTTGCGCGCCGCGTTGATGTTGGCCAGCTGGAACCGCTTGAGATCCAAGAGGCGCACATTGAGTTTCAGAAAGTCGTCCCAGGCCTTGCGCGTCTTCTTGCCTCGGATCGTGCGCCGATCCCCGAGGCCGCGACGCACTACCTCCGCTGCAAACGCATGCAGCCGGCGCTCGGCCTCGTCCACGCTGCGCTCGCCTCGGTCCCGCTCGCTGCTGCTCTCGAAGATCTCGCTTTCAACCCATAACGCAAAGATGTCGCGCCAAGCGTACAGGTCCTTCTGGCTCGGTGTCGTGCTCTTATACTCGTACTTAGTCACCGTCCCTGGCCCGCCAGAGTTCAGGGGCGTCGGAAGCACCGTGACGCCGTCGCCTGGCGTGATGCTCTCGCCGATGGACCGGCAGAGAGCTTCAACATCGGCGTGAAATTGCGCCTGCTGGGCAGCATGGAACCTGGACAGAGACGTGAGCGCCGCCGTGAGCACACTGAAGAAGGCCATGTCCGACTGGAGGGGGATGATGAACTCGCGCGGCTCCGGCGACGTGCCATGCGACAGGTCATCAATTGGATCGATGGCGGCGTTCCCTATGTCAACAGAGACAGGTGCCGCGCCGCTGAATGGGCGCATCGTCGGTGTGGCATCGAGGTCCAACTCCACATCAGCGCGCCGTCGTGGCGCAGCCGCCTCCCCGAGGTTAAGCTCGGCCATGCCCTGCGCAGCTTGTCCTGCCGAAGCTAGCGTCCATATCGGCGACATGGCAGTGCGCATCTTGAGCAACGCGGGAGACGCAGGCAGCTCGGGCTCGTGCGGAATCTCCAAGATGTCGCTTTCCGCGTCCGTCTGGTCCGTGAGATCAGTGTCGCTGTCCCCATCCCGTGGCGAACTGGAGAGCGCAGTAGTCGACCTCGTCATCGGCAGCGACTCGGCCAGGACACTCAACCGGATCTGAGGGACGGGATTGCTCTCGTCCCCCGCGAGCACGTACTGTGCCGTCACGCCGTCCGCCTTGACCACGCGTCCCAGGTTGGACGGGCTTCCGACTCGCGCCGGCGACATAGAGATCGGCGACGATGCCCGGCCTCGCTCGCTTCGCAACATGAGATCCGCGACGCTTATCGGCGCAGGAGAAGTACCGAGGCTGGTGCCCTCGCTCTCCGACAGCATGCGCACGCGGAATCGGGGTGTCACGGGTGTTTCCTCATCGTCGCCGTCGAAGACTGGGTCAAGCAGCACCTCCTTCGGGCTCGATGGCCCCGCAGGATCAAACTCGAACTCGAAGAACTCCGGCTCGAACTCCGGCTCGGAGGTTGGGTCCGACGCGGCCGTGCTGCTTCGCGAAGGCCCCGGTGCTCCCGGTCCGGACGATGCATCGGTGACGAGGAGCTGGCGCAGAACGGCCGGAGAGAGGCCCATGCCCTCGAGCTCGGCTTGAACATTCTTAATGAGCTTCTTGAGCTTGGGGTCAGCGCGATCGGAGAACGCAAAAATTGCGGGGCAAGCGGGGCGCCCGCTTCCGGCTTACCTTGCGGTATTCGATGGCGCTCGTCTTCCAGTCGTCCGGAAAGTCGGAAGCGTCGAGGATGTGCTGAAACTCTTTGCCGTATTTCATGGCGGACGCGTATTAGGAAAAGATTTAACTGAAAAAAAAAAACAAAATACTGGGAGTGGCTACGGGCGGCGGCGCATGGTAGCGTTGAGAGTGGGCAGGAGCAGATGCAAAGGAGAGGAGTGGCGAGGCCGTGGAAATGGGCGACGAGTATGCCAAGCGGAAGATGGAGAGAGGACGGATCCGGCACGTGCGTTTGATATCCATACAGCATATAGGATATATAGGGCGTTATGAGATGGGCCGATACGAGACGTGGGGCCCATGTCAACCGTGGGAACTCTACCTCCACCAGTGTCCTCCACTTCCATCTCTTCGATCTCTCTCCGCAATCTCGTCTTGGCCCTCTCGCACCATGGACCCCGAGCAGCTGCACAACCTCATTACCCTTGCGTTCAAAAGTGCGCTGCAGGTTTGTTGAGCTGACAGTAGCGCGGGACCGCGCGTATGCACCGTACTCCAAGTTTCGGTGAGTCCCGCGCGTGACCGACGCGGTGTGACGGGCGCGGGTGACTTGACCACAGCCTTGGCCAGCTGACACCAGCGTCGGCGCTGCGCTCCTAACGGACATCGGGCCAGTGGGAGGGTGTAACGTCGAGAATGCGAGCTATGGTGAGCCTCATCTTTCTCAGCTGACAGCAGGCGGGGGCATTTGCGCCGAGCGAACGGCGGTGACCAAGATGATTGTGAGTGCTGGGTGTTGCTGGAGACCTTTATCCACCTTTTCCGCATCGGCCATCAGCCAGTTGTCGGATGTGCGCTGATCTGACCGCAGTCTGAGGGCGGGACCCGCGTCCTCGCCGTCGTCGTCGTCTCTGACGTGCCCGCTCCAACCACGAGCCCCTGCGGAATCTGCCGGCAGGTCCTGCGTGAGTTCTGCGCCCTCGAAGTGCCCGTGTACATTGTAAGCGCAGCGTACGAGGCCACAGGAGCGGGAACTATCACTGGTGGGGACAAGTGGCCAATCATGGACAAAGATATGGGTGTGCGCATGACGCTAGGCGAGCTGTTGCCCCTCAGCTTTGGGCCCGAGAATCTGCAGTGATGTATTCCTCGACAGCAATTCTTGATTATCGTGCTCAAGCCCAGTTCTGACACTACGCAACGCCTGTCTGTACTGACACCCTTATGTTGGCTTGGTGCACGGGCGCCGAAGGAGACCGGCTAGATGGTAAGGCGTGAAACCCGGTGAACACCCGGCGGACTGTCCACGACGTCGCCTTCGGCTTGAGAACTATCACAAACAGCAACGTGGGGGCGGAAGGGATAATAATTGAGAATTCGCACTCGGGAGCTGTCTTGGGGATGGCCGTGCCTTGACACAGTGCCTTCGGCACTCGGCGGCAACAACGTCCTCATGTCAGAACATCCACATGTAGTATGGATGATCTGACTGGGGCGGATATCTCTTTGGCAGCTAAGCCAGGCTCTCTCCAGGAGGGAGGGGCACAGTATCAAGAACCTCCGGTTCGAGGCCATGGCCGGGGGCCCACTGCACACAGCAGATCTCATATTATCGTGACACTGCTCGAGAGGAGGTCATCCATGATTACAGCAAGAGACACTGCCTCAGGCCCGACCACAGATCGATAGCTCTCTGTCCTGTCATCCTGCACTGGCTATGATGGCGTTTCTCACCGATGGCCGCTCCGCTCGGACGACGACTCGGTAGATGATCTCACCAAGTCCACATCTCCGTGTCGATGTCAACTCAAATCCCAGAACAATTCATGATACCCAACAAGGTGACCCAACATTTCAGCTGGTTCCTACGCCATGTCAAACATGACAACCGAACTGAGGCCGGCAGGGCTCACTCTTGGGACGGCCTACTGATAAGACAGCACGTTGCTCAGGCCATGGTGAGCATTCTCGTGCCATGAGTTGGGTGGGTATTTGATAATTGGCGCCAGTGGTCACCGAGTGCCGAGGTACTGAATGCGGAGGCGCGCAGGAGCCATGTTCTCCTCGTTCAGTTGCCTCGCTCCGTGTTCCAGTCCCCTACCAAGGTGCCAGTTCCCACTTCAGTCAGGTCCGAAAATGAAAACGGGCGCGTCGGACGCGTCGCATACCGCACCGGATGCGATTCCTCTGACACGTCAGGGGGCCGCCCTGCCCAAAGCCATCATCCGAGCCGAGGACTCTGACCACAAACAAGCACTTGCTCACTGCAGAGCACCGTCAGAATCGTCAGAAGGGCTTGTTGGCACAAGGCACTAGGCAACTAGGGGAGTCGTAGCGGGCGTCGTCAAGGCCCAGAGCTGATCTGGGCTGTTAAGCTTACGGCGAGCGCCAGATTGAGCACAAACATGGGAGCGAGAGAGTTCATGCATGGAGGCATATAATGAGCTGAGGGGTGCTGTCCTGCTATTCTTTACCTCAAGCTCGACACCGGCCTACTTACGCTCCTTCGACACACACTCCTTTGCATTCGCCTTCTTTCTCTCCTTTCTCCGTTGGCTAGGTTCCCATGTTCGTCACCCCCCTCTTAATTGCCCTGGCTGCCAGTGCCAATGCTCGCGAGCGCCCCGCCCGCCTCCCTCGCGCGGAAGTCAAGCCCGTCGATGTAGGCTTCACACTTAAAAAGGACGCATGGTGCATCTCCCCATCCGGCGGCCAAGCTGGCGACTTCGTAGTTGCCGAGAACTGCACCGAATCGGCTCAGTTTCCTGGATGGAATCTTGGCGGCTCGGCGATCGAAAAGGGACACCATCTGCGCGTCGCGAACACAACGCTGTGTCTCTCAGCTGGAACTGATTGTAAGTGTGGCTGGTGCCCTTATATTCTTTTTATTCTCAGCCTTGCCCGGTTCTTTTCCTCCACGCAAGAACTCGGTGTAGAGGGAAATACTGACCCCAGGGGCACAGTGGGACAACGGTCTCGCGCTTACCCTTGAGGAGTGCGTGTACGCAACAGCCAACGAGACGTGGCGCAACACCCAGGTCTGGCGAAAAGACATCGCCAATGGCCCCGGCTCCTATCGCCTCATGGATCAGGAGACGCTGAGCCCATACGACTACTACTCTTCCGAGTGGTGCATGGACGTACGCGATGGGTGGACGCCCAACGACGACAGCTCGTGGGACTTGCAAATCTGGAAATGGCGAGTGCAAACCCTTGGGCGATGTTGATGGCAGTGCGAGCACCACGAATACCAAACCCAACCCGAACCAGGTCTTCACCGACAACTGGAAGTCTGGGCCCGGCGCGTAAGCCGCGTTCAAGCACATAGGACAGTGTATCACAACCAGTCCAATGAGGGATAATAGCAATGTAGTACAACCGGGCGCTGGCGCCCGAGTAATTGTCCGATGATAGTCATCGCAGTCAGTTTGTCGAATTAGATAAGACGTCAGCAGAGCGGGGCAGAGCGCTGCTGACGCGACGGGAGGCGCGATATGCGTCACGCGACGTGTCCTGCAAATGCACAAGCGTGCCGAGCGGTGAGAGTGGGGGTGGTAGAAGACCAGCGCGGCAGCAGACACAGGTGTATTCGTTGGATTGCTGGCGATGGGCGGGTCCTGATGAAGCTTGTGATGTGGAGGGTCACAGCATTCGATGCCAGCGTCAGCTGCCGAGTCATCAGTCGGACCCGTAATAAGCCGAGACCGTTTAAGGTGTATCCCAAAGACCCACCGGCCTCGCCTCGACCATGTCACAGCTCGACTTTGGTGTTGGCGGGCATGTCGTTGTCGTGCTACCGCGATCGCCGACACATCTGGCTCAGCATCCAGACACTTCATGGGTATTGGTATCTGAGGGGGGCGAAGAAGAAGATTGGGTGAGGATTCCACAGCTGGATCCAAATAGGTTCCGCTACTCCACCACCAGCGTGGCAGCATCTCGGCCCGGCAATCATCTCGAGCTCGACACCTCAATACCACCAAACCATTCGTCCTCGACATCTCGCCATCGACGCGCACACGCGTCCCCTCATCCTCCCCCACCACTTGAAACGGGGCTACGGCCCCACGCCGCTCCTTACCACCCTTTCTCCATCCCCCTCCCGGCCAACATGAGCCACATCGACCTCTCCCCCGTCACGCTCCTCCTCCAGGAGGTGCAGACCGTCACGTCGGCCATGCGGCGCAACATGCGCTGGTCTTCGTCCGTGCCCGCATCAACGTTTGCCTCCTCCGGGCTTCCTTCCCAGCTCTCGCGCGACAGGCGCGCTGGCACCCCCATCGGCCGGCGGCGCGATGACGAGGGCGATCTCATGGGCAACTTCGTCGCGCTCCGACGCGCACTCACCGGCGTCTCTGGTGAGCCTGCCTTACCTGCATTGCTTACAACAGATGTAACGACGCTCGATCCACTCGCGATCGTCGAACCATTCCTTGCCATCATCCGGTCGCCCCTCACCTCGGGCCCGATCACCTCGCTCGCGCTCGTGAGCTTGCACGACCTCGTCCTCCATGTCCTTCCTCTCTACCTTCCTCCTACTCCACCGCCGGCACTCGGGGACGCATCGCCTCTTCAGCTCGCCCTGGTGCGCGTCACGCAGGCATTGGCTGCATGTCGCTTCCCCTCGTCTTCACCTCAGCAGGATGAGCTTGTCCTCCTTCGCCTCCTGCGTGTCATCGAAAGCATGACTGTACCCGTGTTGCAGGCGGGAAGCGGACGCGTACCACAGAGTATGCTTGACCACATTGGCGACGAAGGCGTGTGCGAGCTCCTTGAGGTCGGGCTCGGCATGCTGGCGCGCGGGCGACTCAGTGACGGCTTGCGAGGCACCGCCCAGCTCTGCGTGCAGGCCATAACGCGCGCGTGCTTCCTCCGCCTGCGGACACTGAGTCCCGAGGACGTAGAGCGCGCGCTGCGCAGTCGCATTAGCGTCGGCGTCAAGGACACGGTCAATGTGCCCAATACTGCTGCACCGCGATTGTCCGCAGAGCGCAGAAGCGTCGAGCGGGAGCAGCAACGTCGCAGCGTAGAAAGAATAGAGGAGCAGCGCCGCAGCGCCGAACGCGAACAGAAGGAACATGCTGACGAGGCGGAGGACAAGGCAACGCCTCGCACGTCGCTGGACGACACGGGCAAGTTTAGCAAAGAGTCGAAACCGGACGATGGTCCCCCGCAATTTGCCCCATACGGCCTGCCGACTATGCTCGAACTCCTCCGCGTCCTCATCGCCCTGCTGAATCCCAATGACAAGGCTCACACGGACACCATGCGACTTTCCGCGCTTGCCGTGCTCAACTCGGCTCTCGAGGTCGGCGGGTCTGGCATCGGACAATGGGCGGAGCTCCGTGAAGGAGTGCGCGATGAGGGGTGCCGCTATCTCTTCCAGCTCACGCGTTCTGACCAGGCCGTTATTCTGCAGTCCTCGCTTCGCACTACCTCCTCCCTTTTCGCCACCCTCCTTCCTCATCTCAAGCTACAGCTGGAGCTGTTCCTTTCCTACCTCGTTGACCGGCTCACGCCACCAGCCCCCATGCCTCTCCCGCCTCATCTGCGGGATCTTTCACGGCCCACCTCGCCCAGCCCATATGCCTCCGAAACCGCCTCCGACCACTCGGGTGCCGACACTCCCCCGACCTCGACGCCCAAGCCTTACTCACTTCTCCCCCCGATGACGTCCGAGAGCAAGGAGCTGTGGCTTGAAACTCTTACACAGATTGCCACTCGCCCGAGCTTTATGGTCGACTGCTGGGTCAATTTTGACTGCTCGACCGACTCTGAGGACATCTTTGAGCGTCTCATGGTCTTCCTCACCCGCGGAGTGTACCCTTCGGGGCCCGGCCCACGGGCTGATGGCTCGACTATGCTTGAGGGACTAGATAGCTCTCAGCTGCTCTGTCTCGAGATTCTGTTGACGTATGTCGACTCGATGGCGCAGCGTCTGGAGCAAGGCGATGAAGAGTGGCCAGCCGACGCACCGTCCGTCGAAGAATTGAAGATGAACAAGAGCCGCAAAGCTGTCCTTATCGCGGGCACGACGCAGTTCAACATCAAACCCAAGGTCGGCATTCAGCAGTTGATCGAGTCGGGCATCATTGTGCCCGACAATGGGCCTGGGACAGAGGAGGAGCGTAAGCTGCGCGGAATCGCGCGCTTCTTGCGCAACACTTCGCGATTGGATAAGAAGCTCGTCGGAGAGTACATCTCCCATCCGGAACGTCTGGATCTCCTCAAGGCTTTCATCGGCCTGTTCGACTTCACGGGCAAGTCGATTGCCGACGCACTGCGAGAGCTCCTTGAGACTTTCCGTCTGCCTGGAGAAGCTCAGCCTATCTCTCGCATCACTGAGACATTCTCTCAGCACTTCTTCTCTCTCGACCCGCCAGAAATTGCGACCGAGGACGCCGCCTACGTCCTCGCTTACTCGGTCATCATGCTAAACACGGATCAGCACAACCCGCAGAACCGTAAGCGCATGACTGTCGAGGACTACCGGCGCAACCTACGCGGCGTTAACGATGGCAAGGACTTCGATGCCGAGTACCTAGCCGGCATCCACGAGTCGATCAGGAAACACGAGATCATCTTGCCGGAGGAGCACGTTGGACAGCCCGGCTTCGACTATGCGTGGAAGTCGCTCATGCAGCGGACACGCCTCGCTGGCCCCACTATCTCTTGCAACACAGCTCAGTTCGACGAGGCCATGTTCCGCATCACATGGCAGCCTCTCATTGGTGCCATCGCGTACGCTTTCACCATGAACGCCGGAGATGAGCATGTCATTCAGCACGCTATTACTGGTTTCAGGCAGTGTGCAACGCTGGCAGGGCACTTCAACATGCCAGAGGTATTCGATCGCATCGTGCAGTCGCTAGCTCCTGCGACTGGACTCCTCGATGAGACCGAGGAGGGTTACCAGATGGGCAACTATCCTAAGGCGGAGCGTGACAACCTCTCCATCACTGTGTCACCGCTGGCTATCCGCTTTGGTCAGAGCTACCGCGCCCAGCTTGCGACCGTCGTCCTGTTCACCATCGCCAACGGCAATGGCAACGCAGTGCGGGCCGGCTGGACTCAGATCTTCGAAATGTTCCAGACCCTTTTCCTGCACTCGCTCTTGCCCGCGCCTATGTTGCAGATGGAGGACTTTTTGGCAGGCACCACCACCATCCCGCTCAAGCTCACGACCCCTGCCGCGGTTCCCGAGCGCCGTCCTGAGGGCGGGGGTCTACTCTCCACGCTCTCCTCGTACCTCCTCTCGCCTTACGGCGCGTCCAATGAGGCTATTCCTAGCGAAGTGTCAGACGAGGACATCGAGAATGCGCTCGTTGCGGTTGACTCGCTCGCGTCGTGCAAGCTGGAGGAACTTTACGCCGAGATCCTGTCATTGGATGTCGAAGCGCTCATCCCTGCCGTACGCGCGATCCGGTCGCTCGCCGAAGCTCGCACCACGCACCGCCTTGAGCCCCGTGAAAGCCCAGACGGACCGCAACGATTCGAGGGCCAACTGCCGTATGACCCTGCCTGCGTGTTCCTGCTCGAGATGATGGTGTCGCTCGCTGCGCGTGGCAAGGACCACATTGCTGAGACGTGGCCCATCATCTTCGAGTACATCTCGTCTCTGCTCAACAGCGCCCAATCGTACTCGGTGCTGCTGATCGAGCGGGCTGTGGTTGGGCTCCTCCGGCTCTGCCTCATCGTGTCGGAGCAGCCCACGCTGCGCGACCAGTTGTACCTGGCGCTCGATGTGCTGCGCTCGCTCCCCTCCAGCGTGCTAAACGCTGTCAGTGAGCAGCTCATGGCAGGCGTCGCCAGGATCCTCGAGAAGGACTCGGGTGTCGTCAAGAGCCAGACCGAGTGGGGTCTTATCATCGCGCTTTTCCGCGCAACTGTCGCCCACCCTGAGGCGTCCAAGGTCACGCTGGCCATCGTGCAGAAGATGGCCACTGGTGGTGAGCCTGGCCTCTCGCCCGACAACTTCGCGGGCGTTGTGGCGCTACTGGATGAGTTTGCCACGGCCGCTGGCGCGGCGGCAGCTGGCCGCCTGCAACCCAGTCGCCGTGGGACGAACCCCGTTGCCACAACCCTCGGCCCGACCGTTGAGCGCGGCCTTACCGCCCTCGACAGCCTGTACGAGCTGCGCAACCAGATCCCGGCCCTTATCGCAAGAAGCGGGAAGCCTCCCCGTGATGGTGAGCCACAAGGAATACAGCCTCCCCTGACCGCAGCCTTTGCCGCATTCTGGCTCCCTCCATTGCTCGTCATTTCGAAGCAATGCGTGAATGGCTACCGCGAGATCCGCCACCGCGCCATCTCGTATTTGCAGCGCCTCCTTCTTTCCCCTCAGTTGATGAGTGCGGACGGGACGACACTGCCAATCATCTTTGACCGAGTCCTTTTCCCTGTGCTCGATGAGCTGCTCAAGCCAGCACTGTACGAGCGTGACCACGCCGGCGCTGTCGAAATGCGCCTCCGCGCCGCGACGCTCCTCGTCAAGGTGTTCTTGCAGTACGTCGTGGGGCTTACTGAGCCTTGCGACGCTGTCGGGGTCCAGTTCGTCCGCGTGCTGGACAAGTTGGAGCGCTTCATGCAGGGCGACCGTGACATGCTGGTGTGTACACCCCCGAAGAATCTTGCTCACGTCAGAACGAGGTTTCCGAATCACTCAAAAACCTCGCACTCGTTATGTATTCGTCGCAACTGCTCATCCCGCCGCCGGCGGTGGGACAGCCTGACACGCGCACCCGCGAGCAGCAGGAACTCTGGGCAGCCAGTGCAGCACGCATTGAGCGGATGGTCCCAGGCTTCCTGGACGAGGCGCTCGCACCAGCTCCCGAGCCGCCGCGCTCACCTGCCAAGCCAACTGTGGGCTCAGGTGCAGGAGTTGAGTCGCCAGCACCGCTGGCGACAGTAGGAGAAGAGGCAACACAAGAGGAGCAGTAGATTGTAGACATATGCATTCGGAGCCATGGAGGGCAATTCAAGGCTCTGCCCATGCTCACTCGTCCACCAGCTGGAACTCACGTTTGAGCCTGTCCTGAAGATAGAGCACTCTTGCTCCAACTTTGATCTCCCTAAAGAGAGGGTTGGTCGCTCTGTGAAGCAGTATCTGACTAGCGTCACACTTGCTCTGAAAGCCTCGACTCACCAGATCGCACAGGCGTGTTTAGGTGGCGATTCGTTCCATCTGGTAGCCTCCGAATTACGAGCCTTGGCCCACTGAACCGCACATTCCTCATTTGGTCCGAGTTGTCGGACAAGAATGCTTCCCCTGCGCATCCCCACAAGCCCCCACAACCTCGTCTCGCACGTTTGCGCGATGCTGAGGAGTGATGGGCCGCTTCAGCAGGTGCCCTGACGTGCCAAAGCAGCATGCCTCACCTCGAAGCTGCATGACGGTCTCATCCGGAAGCGATGACAAATTCCACATGCAAGTCTCGGCCTCTAGCCAGGCACTGGCCAAAATGTGGGCCAAAAAGTGGCCATAATCTTGTTTGCATCTTATTATATCTGCCGTAGGTAGCACATCGGCTCGGAGCCTACTTGCCGCCAGCCAGCCGCCGCTCTCCCCGGCGTCTAGCCGGCCACATCAGCCTGCATCATGAACGTTCTGCGCGATCTGTGCATCCTTGTGAGATGCAGACGAACACGAGGATGCACGCAGGGACAGCGGCCGACAGCCAGAACGTTCCATTCGAAGCAAACTCTCCGCGCCGGATGTCTGACTCGAAAACATCGCCGAGGCCGGGTCAAGATTCGAGTCGGCACGGCCTCCCCACATCTCCGGCCCAGGGCCGAGCGATGCGATGCGTCCTTCACCGAGCTTTCACAATGCGCGTCTCATGCCTCATCACGCAGCGTGGACTAAGTCGCCGGTGTGCTGGGGCGCCAAGGGTCGGAAGTAGTTATGGCCAATCTGCGGCAAGATCCGTCACCTCACCCTGGCGTCACTCCACGCGCTCGCTTGTCACCAGATCACTAAGCCAGCCCTCCCGCCCCAGATGCGTGTGCTGCGCGACCCACGCGGCTGAGGCTGGCGGCTGGCATGTATATAACTCTCATGCACCATGCCCCCCAACCCAAGCACAGTGAACACTATGACAACTGCGAACAGCGACAGGACACCCGACATTTCTGCCGCCGTCGGCGGGCAGAAGAACGTTGAGCAGCTGCACAAGACCAGCCGCGATTTCAGGAGTGAGTCGCAATGTGTGTGGCTAAGGCACGACTTTGGGAGAAGCTCGCTCAGCCACTTTTGAACTCTCCTCTGCACTGTTGCAGGGCCGAGGCTTCGGATGGGCTGCTCGCTTGGGCGACTTGAACTGCTACAACAGTGTCTGAGACGCCCAGTGCTGCGGTGGCAAGGCCGTTCAACTGTCCCAGAGATGCAGACGGCGATGCGCGGGTTGTTGTTCAACACTGGGTGGCGTGGCGGCTAGCTCTTGACACATGACCACAATCGAACACATTCCACCTCCTGCACTGCTTCATGTCTTCCCGTCATGAAACGATTCTAGCCGCCATGGCTACACGACACCGCGTGAAAGTGGCCTGCATTGCAATGCGTAGCAGCTCGTTTCCATCACATCAGCCGCGTGCCACATGCAGAGCTCAGACCTCCTTTCAGGCATTGACCCCAGGCGACACCTTCACGATGCCCACGGACGCACAGCTCATGGCGGCGTTGACAGCCTCGCGCGGCGACGATGTCTACCACGAGGACAGCGACACGGCCGCCCTTGAAGCGCGTATCGCCCGCATGTGCGGCAAAGAAGCGTGTCTCTTCGGCGCCAGCGGGACCATGACGAACCAGCTCGCAATCCGGACACACATGAAGCAGCCACCTCACAGCATCATCACGGACCACCGCGCGCACGTGCACATGTTTGAGGCCGGCGGCATTGCGCTGTTCTCACAGGCGACCACGCACGGCATTGTTCCCGAGAACGGCATCCACCTCACCGCCGAGGACGTGCGCGGCGCGCTCCAGCTTGGCAACAACATCCACATCGCGCCGACCAAGCTCGTGTGCCTCGAGAACACGCTCAGCGGCATCGTGTTCCCCCAGGATGAGGTTGAGCGTATCTCGGACCTCGCTCGCGACCATGGCATCGGGATGCACCTCGATGGCGCGCGTCTGTGGAACGTCGCGGCGAAGGAGGTCGAAGCCCGCGGCCTCGATGCTTCCAAGGAGGCCGATGTCACTACCGTCCTCACCCACCTTCTTGAACCATTCGACACCGCCTCTCTTTGCCTTAGCAAGGGTATCGGCGCGCCGATCGGCTCGGCCATCGTGGGGCCAAAGGAGTTCATCGAGCGAGCTCGCTGGTTCCGCAAGGCTTTCGGCGGCGGCTGGCGCCAGTCTGGCCCGCTCGCTGCTATGGCCGACCACGCCCTTACCCACCACTTCCCCCGACTTGCGGGGACGCACGCCCTCGCGCGCCGCCTGGCCAACGGCCTCGAAGCGGCAGGCTTCGAAATCGCGGCCCCCGTCGACACCAACATGGTGTTTTTTGACGCGACGCCCCTTGGATTGACCACGAAGCAGGTCGTCGACGCTCTCGCAGCCCACCCTGACCCGATCACAATTAGCGCCAACCGCTGTGTCCTGCACCACCAAACGTCGCCGCAGGCTGTCGACGACTTTATCAAGGTCGTCACCCTTCTCGCCGAGGGGGTGCCTGTCGACAAGCGCTCACCTCGCGAAGTCGGTAACATTCGCAAGAGCATCCAAGTGCTCACTCCTCCGTCCGACCCCGTCCCGGAGAAGCCCCGCAAGCGCGTCAAGCTGGGCTACTAGACGCTGGGCGTGGCACCAAGAAGGGTGTCGGTGTATATAGACCGTAGAGTCCGGACAAGTCATAATCTGTACAACATGTATTCACTGCCTCAAAAAATTGGACATGGCGCCTCCGGTCACCGGGACGATCCCGACAACGTCCCCGGGACAGATGCAGTTCGAGCGGCTGTGCTCGTTGGCCTTTGGTGTACCCACGCAACCCAACGCCGAGTCACCATCCTGCGCGCGCCTCTGTTCTGCCGTCTGACTGTTGGAATATGTCACGTGATCCCTACCAAATCAGGGCTCGGAATCCGATCGGATAATCAGCCAACCCTTCAGGTACAATCTCCAAGTCACCTCCAATCGCCCGTCATCCGATCCGTCCTGCAGAAAACTTTCTCCTCATCTGCAAACCAGAAAAAGATTTACTCAGCTCACGCTGTGCTCTGTAGGTCACGACGGGGGTCGAACCCGCGATCTCCTGATTGATAACGATGTTAGTCGTAGTCAGACGCGATGCCATTTCGCCACGCGACCTTTGGATGATCTTACAACGGACAACTATGTCCAGCTCGAGAGCTGTTGTGGACATGAGGGTTGAAACCGGTCTGCTTGGCGGATGTGACAGGGGCATGTGTCGAGCAACCGCTCCGGTGCAGTCCCCGTCATCGCTCCTGGAAAAGCAATCTCCAGCTCAGAGCACTTGCTTCCTGCCTCCCTCCTCGCCACCTCAGACTGTCCGGCCCGCTGCCTATAAGGCAGCTTAGGCAATCGAGCAGCGCATCCGATACCTCAGATACAAGCACGTTCCTGCACGGTGTGTCGTGGCGCCACCTCCGGCACCAGCAACATCGACCATGTGACCCACACATGGTCTGCACCAACTAGTCATATGCCTGTGGAACCATGTAACTGCCCATGAGTACACTTCTGTACAATACAATCCATCCAAGGGGCTCATAGTATATATAGCACGGTCATTACCCAATGACAAGCTACGCATGTATCTTCCAGTCTTCTAGACTCGCCTGTCAGCAACGACGCTGACGACTGCCAGACTCGAGTACCTAGCCCCACTGGGTGTAGTCTCTCGCCACGACAGTGGTGGCGGCGGCGGCGGCGGCGGCGGGCGGGGAGGCCGGAGCTCGAGCTCTGCACAAGCTACCGTTCACGCCCCCTTGCGAGGCCGATACCAGTGGGTCAAAAACTCGCGGCGGGGACATAGGGCTGCACAAAGTCAGTAGCTCCAACGCGCTTCGTGTCTCGGTGCACGCGTTGTCGCCACGGAGTGGGCAGCCGTGCATGGGGCTTAGGCTAAGGTTCACCCATCTAACTCATCACACGCAACCAGCGCTGATTCGTCCGTTGTGTCTCGGCATTTGCATGATACATGAATTGTCGCTGCGTGTGCGGACGACAGGGGATGTCGTAAAATAGGGATGTCGTCCGCCACTCTAACAAGCTTGTCGCTCGGGAGCAGGGTTCCACATACAGAAGGGTTTGGGTTCCGCGTCCTGTTGGCGAGTCGTGTTATAAATCAAGTGACTTTCACAGCATTCTTCGCGCAGAGAGCACTGGTGAGACCTGGATATCATATCAGCCGGCGTTAGTCTTAAGGGAGGTCAATGGCGCAAACATCGCCACCCATAAGATCAGAAGCTGATGACCCTTGACGCCAGAGATCTCGAAAAGTGAAGGAGCGTTCTGCGCTCCCGTCGCCCTCGCCATGCACTGCGGTGCCGCGCTCGGCCCTTCAACCAATGTGACTATATTCGGCACCGCCCGGCGCCCTGTGCGTGGTGGAGGATTCGCGCTGAGTATCTCTCTCCACGACAGTCTTGCAGGACATATCATCCCACTCTCAAACTCTCAAACTCTCAACTCTCAGCTCGCACACCTCACAACCTCTTCGAGCAGCCCTTGGCACACCACCTCCGACAATGCGCAAGCTCGCCCTCTTCGCACTTCTCCTCGGGACCTTCGCGGCTCGCGCTGAACTGGTTCGTCGCGATCTCCACCTTGTCGTTCGTCGCCACTCTTCTCAGCTGCCGCTGACACCAGCCCTCTGCAGACCTCGACACCCAAATGCCCCATGCTTCTGAGTCGCGCGACGACTCCGTAGCAGGGTCCTTCAAGGGTAGCAGCGGCGGTGGCGGAGGCGGCGGCGGCGGCGGCGGCGGCGGACGTGGTGGAGGCGGCGGCTCCAGAGGCTCGTCAGGCAACAAGTCCGGCAGCGGTAGCAGCGACAAGGGCTCGTCCTCGAACACAGGTGGTGGCTCCCCCGCGCCGGCAGGCATTGTCGTAGTTGCCCCTCCTGGCAACGGGCGGGGCAGTGCCGCATCCGCCCTCACTCCGGGCGTGCTCAGTGCTGCGTGCGTCGTTGCCGCGGTGATCGCGACCGTGTAACCCTGTTAGTGGACTCTTGTATTACTCTTGTGTATCCCTCCGCTGTGTCTTAAGCGTCCTACCTTTTCGCTCTCACATGCCTGGCTAGAGGGATACGCGAGCATTCCGCGCCATGGCCCCCGCCACCGATCCTTGTCCGCCCAACTATGATCCATGACCTCCCGCACTGACGGCCCCCTCTAAGCTTCTGACCCATCCCAGGTTTCAACTCGCGATCCCATCCCCCTTCGCACGCGCTCACCGCGTGTCGTGACGTGCAGCAGACGCAGACGCAGTGGTGCAGTGGAGCATCGGGCAATCGGACGATGGAGCCGTGGATTCAGGGAACCAAACAACAATCGTCCCGCCCGCCAGCTATCGGCCGACATGGGCTATCAGATAACGTCCACCCAAGCCCCGCATGCCCCTGGCTCGTGTTTTGGTGCTTGGGTGGCGTGACCTCCCAACTTTTTGTGACCGTGTCAACATGGGACCACGGTGGGGCAGGCGCGCAGGCGCGTCGCTGTGACTACATCACACTGTTCACCGATCTGTGCATCGTTGTCTCATCTCCCAACGATTTCTTCCCATCACCAACACCATCACAGTCGGCATATCACGCTCGCTCTTCTTTCATTCCCTTCACCATAGCTCCACTATCCCTCCATCAGCCCCTTCGTAGCCACTATGCGCGCCGCCGTCCTTGCCCTCCTCCCCGTGGCGATGGCGTTTACGCCCATCGTCATCGACATCGAGTTTGACACGCTCGCTATTCCAGATTTCGAGCCAGCAGTCGCGACAGTGAGCCATCTCCTCTCGCCACCCCCCTCCATCCTCCCCATCGAACTCACATCAGCCCGCGACCCCCCTCACTCCGTTTCCCGCATCCTCGTCTCCCGCGCTTCGCGAAGAGGACGAGCTCCAGATCGATTGGACAGGCGAGGGCGACACCTTTGACCCCGTCGCCTACCTCGACGCGCAGGACGCGTTGCCTTCACATACGCGCCAGCGGGCATACACCCATCCCGCGGGGCGACTAGCCCCAGACGGGACACTCTCCGCCGCCGCCGGCGCAGTCATCGACATCCTCTAGCTCTCGCCTGGACATTGGCTGAAACGCTGCTGAAACTTGGCCCTGGGCGGAGATGAGATCTGCATCCCCGGCGCGTGCATGCGTGCACACACCGCCGATCCTACGTCGCAGGCGAGTTCGACCAACCGACGCGACTCCGTCTATGGAGGGCAACCACCACCACTTGAATAGACAGCATTAATCACCTCACTGTATGTATCACAAACACCACCATTGGTTTCGATATCCCAGAGCCTCCCTCCAGACATGCCCCGCCCGCCAGAATTGCCTGTTACGAAGTCAAGCCTACGGACACTCGCATTACAACGCGGTTGCCAGATATGCTGGGATCCATTAGCTGACCCTGCGCTGAGCTGTCCGTACTCTACTCAGATTTGAACCTCCCTTGCCAACGGTATGGGCCGAAGGCAATCCCCAGGCATGTCCACCCACCATACCTGTCTTTGCGGGATGACGATGCCGCGCATTCAGATCTGACTACCTTCGGCGCTCTCAAGACGCCGGCACCGAGGAGCGGAAGCCGATCTCGAAGCCAACGCTCATGAGCGCCAGCACAGCGACCGAACTGCCGTCAGAGAGCTTTGTCAGGACTCACGCGTGGAGGCTGATATTCACGATCATAGAGGAGGAGAATACATTCCGGTTGTGGAGAAGAATGGACAGGAGACCGATGCCGGATGCACCGCAGGCTGCGGCGCCAGCAGTCGTCCTGGTGATGTATGTCCGCCAGCGCAGGACGGGCGCTTCCCGCTCCTGGCGCCTCCAGGCTCTGCTCACCTCGAGGCCGAGCCAAACGAAGTACAAGTCGGGGATGGCGCAGATGGTCAGCGCGATGCCGACGGGCCACGCCGTCGAAGGCTCTAGGGTGCTGGCTGGCATTAGACTGCCGAGGTAAGGAGCTCAGACGCCCGGTAGGCACTGCACGCACGGAAGACCATGACTTGCAGGCCCCTAACGGCGCACTCGATGCCCACGAACTCGGCCACCATTAGCAGGAGTATTTGCAGCGCCAACCACAATTGAAGTATGGTCGCCGCGCAAGGAAAGCTTATTCGACAGCCCGACAGCACTACGACGTACCTTGGCAGGAGTGGGAGAGTCGAAGCCGGTATCGGGAGCCGGGGCGGAGCCGGATCCGGAGCCACATTGGCACCTGAAATCGCATTAGGGCATCCGTGAAGTCATCACAGCCAGTACATGCTATGTATAGGAAGCGCGTAGTGGAGCATGTCAGTCGGGCTTGAGCTTTGTAGATGTCGCATGACAAACTACGAGAGTACTCATACTAAACCATGGCAACAATGGCCGCGATGACAGCGACAGCGCCAGCAGGGCCCACGGCAGGCGCAAGCGCGGGGGCCGCCGCCGTGCTGTTACCGGTCGCCGTGGTATTGGTGCCCGCCGGGGTGGTGTAGGCGTTCGGGTAGGCACTCGCATTGGCGCTCGGGTAACTGGCGGCACTAGCGGCGCTGCCGACCACACTAGTGACAGAGGCGAAGGCGCTGGAGCCGGCCGAGACGGCTGAATCGACGATGCTGGCGGCCTCCGAGATGAGAGACGAGGCGGCCGCCGCAGCGTCCTGCATTCAGCATTCTGGTGTTGAAGCGGAAAATACCTGAGGAGCGGCGAGGGCCGAGGCAACGAAGAGGAGCAGGGCGGCGCGCATATTAGACTAAGGTGGGTCTGTGGAACGGGTAGGAGAGGTGGTGGGCGAATTGCTGGAGCAGATGGTGGTGGTTTGGAGCGGCCGGCAACCCCATTATATGAGCTCTTGCTCAGTGGACGAGCATGCCGCCGCTTCCAAAAGCTGTGCGCTGGTCTTTAGTCGAGGGTGGATCGGCCTGGTCTTGCCTGGCTTCTGAATGAGCGAGTGGTGTTGTCAGATGAGCGTGAGGGACAGTCCACGACAACAGCCGTATCGTGAGGCCGTGTGTCGCTGAACACGACAAAGAGCGGTGCGGTCGTCATCGTGTCCTGTGCAATCTGTGCTCCTGATGCGGGAAAGGAGATTGGCAGCAAGAGGACGACGCATGGTAGCCGTGGCGAGGAAGGTAGGAGAGGGAAGGTGGATGCGACAACAAAGAATGGTCAATCCACGTCCCAGTTTCAGCACGAGTTCTGCCGTTTCCATTCCACAGCATCGATCCGCCAAGGCTGCCGATCCGCCGATCCGTCCCCCTGTCGGAAGCGTATCTGGATCGAGAAGGAAGGCTAATGCTGTGCCAAGGACGGTGGATCGCGGAGGGCGCTCGTTAGATTGTCAGCGATTGGCATGCGACCACCGGCCCAACCCATCATCAGCTAGCTCATACCATCTCCGCTCATCGGCACTCGGCCGTCCTAGGTCTGGGAAAGCAGCGTACCAATTCCACCGGCAGGTAGAGGCGCCCGTCACGCTGAACACCCTTCTCCACCCCAAGATGCGGTAAGCGGAGCTGTCAGATTAGCTGGCATATCCCGTCCGGGGCGCATCCACATACTCCGTTCATGTCTCAGCGGTTTCGACTATCTACCCTACACCATGGCGACGATAGCCGCAACGGCAGCGGCGGCGCCGGCGGCAGGCGCAAGCGCCGTGGCGCCACTGCGGCGCACGAGGCCGTTCATCTGCTTGGGGTTGGGGCTGGGGCCGGGCGGGCGGTTGCCCGTGAGGCCCTTCATGAGGTTGGCGGCGGTGGGCGAGGGCGCCTGGCGCTGGGGTCAGCGGGGCGGACGTATACGCACCTTGTCCTCGGCGGGCGAGGCTTCAGGCGCGGGGGCCGCGAACGCGACGGCAGCGAGGAGGAGGACAGCGGCGCGCATTTCGGTGAGGTCAGAGTGGAATGGGTTGTGTGCGAGAAGGGTTGTGGTCGCCGTGAGCGTAGGGGTGGGGTGCTAATAACAGGAATAGCCGCCACCGCCAGATCCGTCGTCACGCCCACTATGACCGCCGTGCAGCTGGTTCGCGACGAGCTCGGTGCTCTGGCGGTCATAGCGCCCCGCGTCAGATCAGCATGACGGGTCAGTTAATCGTTAGCCGTGGTGAGAAGTCGAGGGGCAGCAGGCAGAATGGAAGGTCGTCGTCGAGAGGCGGCTAGTCACGCCCGGTTCGTTCAGAAACGTGGTGTGGACCTTCATGAGCGATGCCACCACATATCGCGGAGATGCCGGACTGCTTGATGCTGGCATTGCCTCCTGAGGTTCAACACAGAAGGTTTCTTCTGACTTGAGCCCCAGGGGTCGCGACTTTTGAAGGCGCCGGGAGTGGGGTGCAGCTGGACGAGAAGATTAGACACACGTCAATGGGTCACTGGGCAGGACGCGGCGTGTTGAAATGTTTTGATCAGCGATGTTCAAGGTACACGGTGACCAAACGATCACACGACCTCTGACCACTATAGCGTGAGGTTGTGACGCTGCTGCCGCACAAGGTATCAGATTGTGCATCTGCGTAAACACACGTAAGAGGATACGGAAGATCATCGTCAGCCCAGCCTTTAGGCTCAACAAGAAGAGGGGCGATGTGCGAGATGCGAGGCGTCCCGCTCAGTTCGATTTCCACTCGTCGTTTGTCGTTTGTTGTGTGTTTGTAGCAGATGCCGGCAAGCAAGATGTATCCGGGTGTCCCTGAGGCCTTGCCCGCACGGGGGCACAACATCGACAGAGCGGCAGAGCATCGGCCGCCAGGCGTAATATGCACCTCCCCTGACCTCCGCGCCGGCCACGGATATCGTCTGCTTTGGTGTAATTGCGCCACTGTGAGTGTTAAATGGAGAACAGCAGGCGGCCTGATTGACGACGTCGAGATATGAGCATGAGAGGGCGTGTCGACTGAATGGAAGAACTGAAAGAACAACCTTGATGCTGATTGACTCAATATACCCAATTCATTTATACATGGAAAAAAGCTTACTTGGCGCGCCTCCTGCAGATCCCTCGACCAAGTCCTGGAGCCTTAGGTTCACGGGTCTCGAGGCACTCTGTTCTCTTCTCCCGTATCCCGTATCCCGTATCCCGTATCCGACGTCTCGTCCTTACGCTTTCCGCCGCCTCCTCCTTCGCAACACTGCCGACCGCTTCTCCCTCGACCCTCCTCGAACCAGAACGCATTTCCTAATGGTCGTGTGATTAATTTACAGCCCCGCTACCCCGCAGCCTGACATGTTCGGGCGGCAGGGCTGAGGCGCCCTGCGCCACGGCCCCTCCCATTGAATTGACGGCGCAAGCTCCATGTGCTTCAGCCTCAAGGGCAAACCTCGACGCCTCACGAGCCTGCCATGCACACAGGATATTAGCTGTGGTCGTTCTTAACACTCGACTTCACTTCATTGCGCTTGGTCCTTGACACTTGACAATCCACCATGCGCGTATTCACCATCATGCTCGTGGCCGCTTGCGCCGCCGCCGCCGCTCCCGTCTCCATCCCCACTCCCAGCGCGTGCTCGCCAGTCCGCGCTCTCCTCGACTCCGCCGCCGCCCTCGTCGGCGTTACCCTCGACCTCTGCGCCTCCACCCCACCCGTCGAGGAGCGAGAGGCCGAGGAGGAGCCCAAGTCCGCCCAGGAGGAGGAGCTGCACGCTTACCAGCTTGAAGGATACTACCCGAACGGCGTGGATCTTGACGAGACCAACCTTGGCGACTACGACCCATTGCCTGACTTCCATGACGACGAGTACGCCCCATTGCCTGACTTCCATGACGAAGAGCACGCCCAATTCGTGAGTGTCCTGCCTCAGCCCGAGCTCACCGCAGATCTAGAGAGCCAGCTGAGGTAGATTAGAAGGAGGACTCGCGATCCGGCGTGGTCGCGACTGTATAGACTATGGCATTGTATTCCCGCGCCCCTTTGCGCCCCCGAGCGCTCGGCCTCCTTATCGGAATGTGGTATGGGTGCGCTGACCGACACCAAGGTGGAGGGCGTTGCGTTGGTCGCCTTGGAGAGAGCCAGACTGACTCAACCTGACCCTTGATCTCGAGGCCATGCAGCTCGCTCGCAATGCAGGGCAGCATTGGGGCTGGCCGGCGAACAGGTGTCTCCTCTTGAGAAGGAGTGGTCTTGCGTGCTCAACCAAGAAGGGGCAATAGACAGCATTTCGCGTGTGTGCCAGACGCTAGCCACCTCCATTACACAGGTTCGGAAGTCACCAGCACGGCATCCGCGCGCTGCCCACATCGCACATTATACCGCGTCAACCACTGCACTTCTTCTCCCTTCCAAGCAGCACCTCCAGGCCGCGGGAGATTGGCCTCGCTTCCGTGATCGCCAGCATCACCCTGCTCGTCCGGTCGGCCAGCCTCATCCCGTGTCTCAGATCTGGTATTGGATCTCGGACGGCAGCATCGTTCCCGGCCAGATCTAACGCCCGGCATGGTAGATGTCAGGCAACGCTCCCTCCACGGTCCATCATCACTACTTGCAGAACCCCCGCACCTCCCCCGACAGAAAGTGGGCAAAAGAATCGAAGGAGGGCTAGAGATCATGAGGTGCTGTCCCCATCACACAAAGGCTGGGATTTGGGAGGGGTGGCAGGCAGGGGAAGTGAGGAGGAGCGGTCCTAGCTTGCCACTGGTGGCCGTAGAGGCTGAAGTCGTGGTCCATAGTGCGGATCGCAGTACGTTTCACCACTGTACTTGCGCTGTGCTCCACCAAGCCGACAAGATGTGCTGCGTGGACTTCCGAGGCGATGGTTGAGGCAGTGTCGCAGATCGTTTGCTTGCGCTGCCATGCAGAGATGTCTGGGCGTCTATTCCGACCGCCGCCAGTGATGCGCAGGCTTCGAGCAGCCTCGCAGTCGAGTGATATCGCGCGCCAAGGCCCGCTCGAGGATTGATATTGTGGCATAAGTGCCGCATGATCAAGATCGTGGACACGCCCCACAATGCCCTCCACCGACATGACAGTCCCCCGGATACACGCCCGTCAGCGTTAGCCATTCGGTCAGCCTCCTAGTTCGCCAGTGGAGAGTGTACATGCTATGCTACGGGCCGATGCTGCGCTACCTTCTATGCCTTGGTCTTGCTCTTGGCGGCCGTGACCGCCGGTGGTGCGGCCAGCGTCCGCTGCAGCTCGTGGAGCTTCTCGAAGAGCTCGTTCCGCAGCGCGCGGCCCTGCGGTGTGAAGTGCTTCGACGGGCGGGAGAGCTGGGAGGGGGAAGCCAGTCGACGTTTGGAAGAGGTGAGGTACACAACGGAGAGTAAAGTCGGGGGATCAACGCACAGCGAAAAGCAACAGCACAAAAGACAGCGTCAGCACAACACTCCCTCGCCTGACAGCGTTTAAAACTCGGTCCACTTACCAGCAACCCCTCAATGCCACCGGCCTTGAGCACCTCCTTGGACTGTTGCCTGGTCATCTTGACCTTGTTGAGGCGAGGGTACAAATCGCGCTCGTGCACCTTGGCCGCAGGATTGGCATCGAGCGTCTCGCGTGCGGCCTTCGCAGTCTCTAGTGCGCCCGCGATAACGTTGACAGGCCAGGTGAAGCGAGCCGTGTTGGGCTTCCACACGCGCCGCGTCTTGTGCATCGAGTGCGGCACATTGTTACCGGCGCGGACGGCTGGAATGGGAAGAATCGGCGGGTTCGTAACCTTGCCGAGCGCGATGCGCGTGTATGCGCGGGCCACAGGCATGTTTGGTTGTGATGGGTATCTGTGCTTGGGTTCGACTTCGAGATCACGAGGTCAACTTGTCGAAATCGCCCGGCGGAGTGGAGGTGCCACCGGACGGAAATATCGGCGTTACAACAACGGCAGCGAAATCAACCAAAATTGAGCACTGGACCTGAGCTTCACTATCCATCAACTAACCCAAAAACGATGAGCAAGGTGAGCGCGATGGCGCGCGCGCACACTACGGCTCGACGCCAGTTGTGTGGCGCGCGATGCGTACGCAGCGAGCCCATGCTAACCCCCGCAGCTCCAGGCTTCTAGCGTGCGTTCGTCTATCAAGGTTCTCCTTAAGGAGTCCTCGCTCGAGGGCCAGAAGGAGGGCGTTGGCAAGAAGCGTAACTTCGTCGAGACCATCGAGCTCCAGATTGGCCTCAAGAACTACGACCCCCAGCGTGACAAGCGGTGAGTGTGAACGTGTGCGCCAGGAGGCATCGTCCCGCGGGAGATGTGATGTGAGGGAATGAATCTAACCCACTAGTTTCTCGGGCACTGTCAAGCTTCCCCACGTCCCCCGCCCCCGCATGCAGCTCTGCATTCTCGCCGACGCCATGGACGTCGACCGTGCTAAGCAGCTCGACGAGGAGCTCGCGTTCATGACCGTTGAGGACCTCAAGAAGCTCAACAAGAACAAGAAGCTCGTCAAGAAGCTCGCCCAGAAGTACGACGCCTTCCTCGCCTCGGAGGCTCTCATCAAGCAGATCCCTCGTCTCCTCGGCCCCGGTCTCTCCAAGGCGGGCAAGTTCCCTACCCCCGTCTCGCACTCCGAGGACCTTGGCCGCAAGGTCACCGAGGTCAAGAGCACCATCAAGTTCCAGCTTAAGAAGGTTCTCTGCCTCGGCGTCGCCGTCGGCCACGTCGACATGGAGGAGGACCAGATCATGCAGAACACCATGCTTTCGATCAACTTCCTCATCTCGCTTCTCAAGAAGCAGGTTAGTACCGATTTGCGTATCGCAGCTGACGATCCAGTGGCAGAACGTTGGCTCGCTTCACCTGAAGTCGACCATGGGCAAGCCCCAGCGCCTCTACTAAGCGTCTCGTATCTTAGGATCGAACGTCTTTGATTGCACGAGTTTGACCCGACAGAGCGGAGCGCACCAGCAACTGGAGCTGTCGCACGCTTATACCCAAGTCTTGTCTGACCCCTTAACTGGGATATCGGAGGCCGAGGGGAGCTGGAACCTTTGCTCTGTCGCTAGGATTCGTGTGAGAGGGGGCTTAGATATCTGATCATGCAGAGCTTGTACCACATATACAATACTGCGCACGTGTGTGCGCGGTCGACGATGGTGGGATCTTGCTGACTGAGAATGGTGTCATGATGAATGATGGGAGCCGAACTGTGGTGCGGTTCCCGCGTCAGTTATGACCCCGGTAGCTGAGTCGACCAGTGGTGCTGGCTGCGCTGGCCGGGAGATCCAACGCGCTCATGTTCCGCCCATTTTCAACAAGGATGGAGGAGATGATATCTGAACGGCTCATGCTGTTGGCTGACGCCGCGAAGGACCTGTTTTTGGGATGGATGTCGCGAGGCAGGTGCGGGCAAGCGGCTAATATCAGCGTCATATTATGGTCTTGTGACTCGGCAAATTCTGGGTCCAGAACCGTCCATCCATACAAAAGTAGGGTCCTGATTATCAAGCGTTTGGATTAGAACGACTCAACTTGGAGATTGCGACGGGCGTCATGCTGATTCATGTCGCGGCGCCAGCCAACGAACGCCCGGCATTCGCGATGTGCTCGAGCGGCGGGCGACAGCGCCGGGTGCGCTGGCTCTAGCGAGCTGGGCGGCAGATCGGTCGAGCGGCGACCAGTACGCGGCCCGGATGCTGCAATGCTGCCATGTGCTGCGAGTGCGGGAGGGTGAGTCAACCCGATCTCGCCTCCGCCTGCGGCCATCACCGGCCTGGGGCCGATAATGCATTTCCCTACATCTCTGTACCTGTTCAAATGCTCGACACCATGCAGCCTTCTTCCCACCTCGCCTCTTCTTGATCTCCTCTTTGCTGTCGTCGTCGTCATCGTCGTCGTCGTCGACAGAGCGCCCTTGGTCACTGACACTCTTCGCTTGAGCCTCTGCTTGCTGCGTGCGTCTCGGCCCTCGGCCTGCCTCGTGGGCGGCGATCTGCGACACATTGGCTCCGTGCACGCCGCACAGTTCTCGCCACGCGCCAAGCCCATGACTGCGGTGGGCCCAATCGCCTCCCCCATATTTCCCTGCGGCCCCGCCCCCGCGCACCGACTGAGTCCGTCCTCTCCTCTCCTCCTCGCCTTGCTCTCTACCTCTCCACTCGTCTCCACCCGTCACCTCGTTTAACGCACACCCTCCGCGCTCCGTCCTCGAGGCCCGGAGCTTTCCGTCTCTACCTCTCGACACTCGACAGAAACGTCAGTGCGACGGGCGACGCCGCGACATCGTTAGCCGGATTTCTTTTGTCTGTCCATCGGGTCATCAGACCATCACTTTCCCACTCCACTATCCGTGCCTCGATCACCCACTATCCATTATCGCCCTCACCCAGCACCGTCAGACTTTGAAACCTTGGACGGCGATACGTCCGAGCTAGTCCACCAGTCCAGCCCAGTCCGACGGTCCCCCCCTCACAAATGTCTCTCTGGCCAGGCCGACGCCGCGCCGTCTCCACAAGCCAGCAATCAGCCTCCTCGGCAGAACAGCCTCGCCGGACCGGAGGTTTCGGCACATCGTCATCCCCTGCCGCCCACAACAGGCGTCCGTCAAATAATGCTCTCGAGCAGTTACAGCAATTACGTGGCCGGGTGCGCGGCAGCTCGTCTGCATCGCTGAATAGCAACAATGTCCGCTCGTCGCAGTCGAACGGCACGAGATCGGCGCCCGCAGTCCATCTTCCCTCGCACAGCGAAGAGGGCGGAAGATCCAATACCCCTCCCCCATACGCCCACCACTCGCTCGACCGCTCCCCGCTTCCGAATCCCATGGCACTCGACGACCGCCCTCGTGTGCCCCCGCCCATTTATCTGCGGTCGTCGAGTACGCAGCCGCAGAGCAAGGCCGGGACACTCCACATACATGTGCCTGGATGGTGAGTGGCGAAGTGCGGAAGACGGAAGTGCCGGGGCGGACCGACCTGTCTCAGGCTCGCTCAGAGTCGCGGCCGGTCGCTTCCGGCGTCGGATCCTGTGTGGGCCGCTAACAGCAGGGGCATTGCGCTTGTGAGGCCACCTAGACAGTACGATCTGCACCCCCTCGACGTTGGTGGGACATCGCGGGAACCGCCAGCAGAGGACACAGTGCTAACCGGCACGCTGGAGGTAGTCATGAAAGAGAGGCGCCGCGTGCGCGCCATTAGCATTGGCGTACAAAGCGTGTGCCGTCTCAACATGATGGGATCCCGCGGCTGGGAAGAAGATGGCATATTTGAGCGAGGCGTTGAAATCCTCGGCGACGATGACGGGGAAGGCATTTGGCTCGAAAAAGGGAGCCAAAGGTAAGCACCGCCATTCGCGCCAGGCTCACACCAGCTTCACCTTCTCCATCCTGCTGCCTGCGACGCTGGCAACACACGACTACCATGCCTACGGGCGAGTCTCCTACATCCTCACCGCGCGGGTGGAAGGGATGCCAGCGACAGGCCGCCTCAACCAGATGTTCAAGAGCAGGGAGACGCCAATCCAGGGTGCGGTGCCGTTCCTCGCTGACTTCAACATGGTGATCGCTCGTTCTGATAAGATTGCTCTGGAACAGGCGGCGGCCCTCTCCGGTAGCGCGGCGCCGCATTTGAGCCGCGGATCGTCACACGATCGATCAGACTCGTTGTCCAGCAGCATGAGCGCTCTTGGGCTAGGTCTTGACACCCCACCCACACCTGGATCTGACGTGGCTATTGCCTTTGGCGACGAGAGCTCCTCACCGTCGACGCCATTGCGTGGGCTGTATCACCGTCGGCACAGCTCCAACATGCTCGATCCGCCGCAGATGAATGGGTCTAGCTCGCCGTCCGGTTCGCGACCCTCGCCCCTCCGCCGTGATACTGAAGACCAGGCTTCCATACGCTCAAGGAGTAGCAGCGTGGACCTGACTGCGATAAAGAGCGAAAAAGCCGAGAAAGCCGGGTGGTTAATCGGCGACATATGTGGCATCCGCGCTTTCAAGGTCCACGCCAATCCCGCACCGAGCGGCGGCGCGTATCAGCTTGATATCCGCAAGGAGGGTTATGTCGAAGGGCTAGGTCTGTGGCGCTTCAGCGCTACCTCGGACGCATTCAGCGTGGCGAGCGTCATGATGGTCAACCTGACTATACCCGCCCCGTCGCCCAAGTGCTCGATCTTCTTCGTCCGCCTCATCCTCTCGCAGAGCTACGTCATATACTCGCCGCGCACGCCCAACGATGCGCCCACTAAGGCCGAGGCGCCCAAGAACCACGTCGTGTACCAGGTTGGCCGGCCACACCGCCACGGCGAAGCGGTGCTGGGACACAGCGTAGAAGCGCTGTGGCGTGGGCCCGAGGCGGGGGGCAAGTCTACGTCAGCTGGATGGCGGACGCGTGCGGTCGCCCGTCTCCCGAACCACGAGAAGATCAGACCGTCAACCAATCCTGGCACTATCACGCCGATCCGGGTCGCACACGAGTTCCTCCTGCGTGTATTCTACTCGATCGAGGGCGAGAGCGTCGCAGGCAAACCGATCAAGGGGCCGGGCGAGGTACGCATGTGCCAGGTGCGCCTGCCTGTCATCGTGCCATCTTGCCTGTGCTCGACGGCGACTCTCAACCTGCCGACATGTAAGTGGGTGATGTAAGGTGGCTAACGGCAGACGAATGCGCGCGCGAAGCGAGCAAGGGCGAAAAGGAGCTGGATCCGAGCAAGATGTGCCAGTGCGGGACGTCGTTTGCCGAGCTCAGCGCCGCCGCACTGCGGCGGCCTGAAGCGGAAGCTCTGCCAGATGACTGGCAACCCAGCCCCGATCAGCCGTCTAGCCAGACGAACGGCAAAGTGCGGGAAGCGTCGCGTGAGCCACGGGGATCTTTGGGTGGGGGCTGAGTACTTGCTTGGGGACGTCATGGACATGGCTGGCCCGGCGCGATGAAGGTTGGTGTATATTGTACAGTATGCATTCATCATCCTGGGAATGGCTGTGCACCGATGACTGGTTCAAAAGAGAAAGAGATATATGAGGTGCTCTCAGACATGGATCAGCGTGTGTGTCGTAATCCACCTGCCAAGGGGGACGGCTTGCTCGTAACAGGCGCTGTATGGACCTCGACTTGTGCAAGACATTTGCAGTCGAAACGCCGATGTTTCCCCCATGCGCCTCATATACCATGCAAGGCCACCAGTGGTCATCGGTTGAATCGTATAACGGTCAGTACACAAGATTCTGATTTATCTCAGTTCTTGTAGCCTGGGTTCGACTCCCAGTTCGACCTGATGTGTGTGTGTATGAGTGTCTGTTTTTGCCACCTGCACCTTCAGTCTCCTTCCCTCCTTCCCTCCTTCCCTCCGCCCCCCCTCCCCCCATCTTCCCCTTTCGAGCGCAACACCACACCATTTCTCCCCAACTCATCCGCGAGCAGAGGCACGTCACGCTGTACGCGTGTGCCTGCCGTGCAGTACAGTACAACGCGATAGTCAAAGTCAGTCTTGGCGGACCGTGTGACAACCTCTCTTCGTGCCGACGCCGGCCCCCGGCCCTCGCCGCCCGACCGCCCCGATGACGTGAAGACGCAGTGAATCTGATCCTGGAGATTCTCCAAGTACCCAATCTGCATCACATGCCCGTCCGACGTCGCGGCAATGCGGCCGAATGCCAATTGGGAATCGCTCCATCGCTGAACTACTGACATCGTGGTGGAGGAAAGGCACGCCCCTGAGGTTTCCGCCGTGAAACCTGGGATCCGATCTGGCGTGTGCGTGTGCGTGCGGCGGCAGCGCGGCCCAATCACAGGCCCGAGGTCCGGCCCGATGCGGCGCGTCACGCCGAAAAAAAATCGAGACGCGCTTGGTTCAGGGACATCAGGAAATGATCGGCGGGCGACGGATCGAGAACTGGGGGGGGGGGGGGGGGGGGGGGGGGGGGGGGGGGGGGGGGGGGGGGGGGGGGGGGGGGGGGGGGGGGGGGCGAGCGGGGCGAGCGGACTGCGGAGCCACGGAAAAGTGCACCGCCTCGTCCGAAATCTCACCACCCTCGAACACTGATCGCCGCCCCCTTTCGCCCTCTCCGCGCACTCCACACGCCCCAAACTCTTAGTCTACGCATGCCACACAATCTGCACACCATCCCTTGTGTAGATCACACGCCCCGCAATACAACGAGATGCCCAGCACATATGCACTGGAGCGCAAAGGGCGCGGGCACGCTGTTGCTATGACCAGAACAGCAGTTCCCAACTGACACGGGCTACCGAGACCTCTGAGGACACGTAACAACGTGGACGTGTACATGGAATGCGATGGGTGTCGTGTAGAAACACCGTCAAGTGCGAGGTGGTGTAAGAAGTTAGGAGTGTGGGGGTGTAAGGAATGTCTCTAGTATGGCCTAGCTAATGTTAAATGATGCGAAGGTCGCTTAGAGGAAGGCGGCAAGGAAGAGGGCAGCGGCGCCAACGAGGCCAGTCGAGGCGGCAATGCGGCCAGCCGACGAAGTGCCCGAAGGCGAGGCGGCAGCGGCAGCCGAGCCCGAAGCGGCGACAGAGGCCGAAGCGGGCCGGGCAGAGCCAGAGCTGGCGGCGGCGGCACCAGCCGACGAGCCGGCGGCAGCGGGGGAGCTGGCAGCGGCGGGCGAACCCGAAGCGGCAGCGGGAGACGAGGCAGCGGGCGAAGCGGCGCCAGAGCCAGCGGCGGCGCCGGCACCGGCACCGGTGCCGGCGTCAGCGCCAACCGAGTCAGAGCCCGAGGTGCTGATCAGTTAGCTGGGGCCTGCAAGGAAGGGAAGAGTAAAAACTCACCTAGAGGCGCCGTCGAGGCACTTGGTGTCGGAGCCGGCACGAACAGAGACGGCCTGGGCGTAGTTGATGGCACCGTTCGAGTCCTTGACCTGCATCGAGATCGAGGTGCCGGCGGGGAGGTCAACGGTCCAGGTGAGCTCGGTGCCGGTCTGCTGTCCCCAGTCCTTGAGGGGGACACCTCCGGGCTCGCCACCGGGGAGGGCCGAGACCCAGTAGGGGGGCTTGCCGCCGGTCCAAGTGATCTTGATGGGCTGGCACTGCGGGGGGTGTGAGCGGGGGGTTGACGGAGGGTGGGAAAGAAGCAAGGAAGGTCTGCGGGGTTTGGTGAACACTAGACTAGGACACTTACCTGGACGAGGGAGGTGGGGGTGTTGATCTGGGGCTCAGCACCCTGGGCGGCGACGCCGAGGGCAAAGATGGTAGCAGCGAGGACGGCCGACTTCATTGTGAAAGAGAGTGATTGGGTGGGTTGGTGGGTGGAGTCGGTTGTGAGGATGGAGGGGGAGATGGAGGAGGACAAGTGGATGCTGTTGAAAGAAAGGAAGAAAGAGAGAGAGAGAGAGAGATGTTAAAGAGGAGGGAGAGGGAGAGGGACACGTCCCAGTTATACCGCACGGGTTGAGAGACGAGTGTGGCAGTTGGGCCATGGACCATGGGCCATGGGCCAGTTGGGGCCAGGGCGGGGGACGAGCAAGGAGAAGAGTGGGCGTGTGGTGGGACGTGGTGGGAAGCAACGAGACACCGGCAGGTCTGTTGGCCTGTTGGCCTGTTGGGTGAGACCACTTTGATTATGATACAGGGACTCGGGAAAAAGGGATCATGCTCAAAGTGTGCGTCAACTGGCGTACGGGCGTATGGGCGTATGGGGCGCATGGAGGCCACCAGGCCATCGGGCAATCATCAGGTCATAATGAGGCAGGCCATCAGGGTGCAACTAGTGCTCTACGTGAGCCTCCCACCTCCTCCATCTCTGCGCCATCTGCCTCTCCTGCCAACTCCTTGTTCCTCTCTCCTCTCTCGTGTGTCCTATTCTCCTATCCTATCCTCATCCCTGGATCACAGACGCCACTCACCACCCGCAAATACTCCCCTTACAGCCCTGTAGCCCTGTCACGACGCGTATCTCTCCTCCAACGGTTCCTTCTTGTGCCAGATCGTTCCCGTTCAACTGCGAGATGTCATGCCTTCCCCCCCCCCCCCCCCTTTGTACCAGATGCAGATATGCAGATACACCTACACCTCTCCGCTCCACTCTGCGCCTCGTTGCTCTCTTATTTCTGATTTCTTAATCTCTCGGATCTCTGCAGATGAACTCTTGCATCTCGCAACAAGGTTTTTGTTCCTTCCATGCCCCATGCCCCCAGGCCAGGGACGGCCGCCGTCCATTATTCGGCCTGGACCCATGTCTCAAAAGCACCTCAGGTCCCATTCACCGTCGCGTTGAACGCGTCGCGTCGTTCGCGTTCTGGCGCAATTCAGTCATCCACTCGTGCGCACATCACAATTCACTTCTCGCCCATCGCCCAGGGCCCATATGCTACAATCTCATCCTCATCGCAGCTCGTCTCGTCGTCTCGTCAGCTCATCAGGCCACATCGGCAGCGTACCCGGCAGGCCTGGCATAACCTATCCCTTGCCCCGAGAGGGCCCTGCCGAGTCCCTCGACCGCCCACCCATTTACTCTATAAACCCACACGGTCAGGCCGGCCATGCCAAACTGGATAGGATCTCGCTTGCATCGCTTGCATCACGTCCCTGCCTAGTGCCTACAGTCCAAAAAGTAAAGTTAGTCATGTCGAGCCGCGATCAGCCGCGGTCAGGACCCCCCGCAGCAGGCCACGAACGGCGCGCGCAAGTGAATTGACAACCTGCGTAGCGTTCCAACGGCATGCGGCCATGCGGCCATGCGGCGGCGCGCGGCGCGGCGGTGTGGTGTACAAAGTGTCATAGTGTCATACTGTAGTGTGCTTCAGCTTCTGCCCGAGCTGCCCGATCGTAACAGCAAGGTGTGCCCAGGAGCGCGTTTCAATTCAGCGCCCTTGTCACTGCGTCAGGCTCGTCCAGCAGGCCCAGCAGCCCACAAAGGGCCGTGGCGGCCTATCGCGTCCCATCGCGCCAAGCTCGTACTGAACGCGACGAAATCGCATTCCGCCCTCCCGAGCGAGCTAGCTACATCATCCCGCGCCTCGAGCCGCTGCTACAGTGTACATGCTACAGACTTGCCCGTCAGGAGGCAGGGAGGCAGACGCGGTCTGTGATCTGTGAGGACTCGCACCTGCGCCGCGGCCCGCGGACGCAAGGCGCACTCCACTGCATACTGGTGAGCTGTGAGGCCGGTGAGGTCAACCTCCTTGCGGCTCCGCACAGACCTGGCGCCCTGGCATGGGGCGGGCGGGCGGGGCGGGCGGGGGGCGTCGGGCGGGCGGGGCGTCCAATTCCGCGCACCTTCACTGGCATCGAGGAGCGGCGTTCTACGACTCCTGCAGTATGTTCTCCCATATCTGGTAGACGGTATAGACGGCCAAACCGCCGGACACGGTACCATGACTTGTGTGATCTGTGATTAGCGCAAGATTTCCAGGGTCGAGGCGGACAAGCTCTCGTGGTAAAGTGATTGCGAGCGGACCACCAAAGGGAGAACGAAGAGGGTCACTTGGGTTGGACCACGGGTCTGGTGCGAGCTCCCCGAGGTCCTGGCTACCAAAGCGACATAACGTACAACGTGCAGTGCACCAGCGCACCAACGAGCTAACGTAGCCGATGTGACACCGATCGATAATGTTCACGCGGTTTCGTCATGCTGTCGTCGCCCGCGTCGCCCCCCCGCCCCCGCTAGCCCCGCTCATCTCTCGCTCATTTCTAATTTTCTGGGGTGGCACATCTGCTGCGACTGCGGATCAGTTCCAACATGCCAAAGAGCTATAGAGCTTCACCGTCGGCTCCGTTCCCGAGACACAAGACACAAGCATGCACGCTCACTCGGCCAATGCTTTAGGCGGCCCATCGGCCTCCGGCTTCCGGTATGGTCGCGCAAAGCGATACTTGATACAAAGACGACGCGATCGACGCGCGTCGCCGCGTTTCATCACCCACAGCCCAAGTCCATGCACCATACATGCGATACAGCATGTCCAAGTCCAAGTCTCCTTGCCTCCATACCCATGCACACACCTGCGCGATTCATCAGCATTGACACATGTATACAGGTTCCAAGTGGCCATGCAGCGCCACTGACGATTGTCTTGAACGGTCTGATTCCTAGGAGAAACCTGCATAAATTGGGCTCGGATAATGGCTCCACGTGCGCGACCAAACCTCCTCGCCTCCTCGCGGCGCAGTGCATTCGAGGTGGCGAGGCCTGTGCAGTTGTTGCTTGCGCACACTCCTCCTCCCTCCCTTATTACTCTACTCGACACAAATAATGGTAAGCACAAGCCAGCAGCGGCACGAGCCGCACCGTTGCTGGCATCTCCATCCCATCTCCCTGCACCTTGTCGCATCTCGTCTCATCATTCCCTCCATCCGCTGACCAAAGGACGAGTATCCTGCTGATCCCCGCGAGTCGTGGGCGCCCACCTCGACCTCTCCCCCTGCCGACCGCTACGCCGAGCGCCCCCCTCCCCCCGCCCACGACGTCGACATGGCTGACGCGCGCCGCGACGAGCGCCGTGACGACCGCGACGACCGCTACCGTGCCGATGCCCCGCCCCGCCGCGATGGCCCTCCTCCCTCCTTCAACCGGTGAGTACGCTGCTGTCTGGGGGAAGGGCGCGTAAAGGTGGATGGATCGGCTTTGGTCATCAATGTGTGCTGCGGACTGCGGGCGTTGCTGGATCGTTGGGGTGCAGTGTGCAGCATGTGCAGTGTGCAGTGTGCTTTTGTCTGCGGATCACGCAAACACGCAGATGCTGTGCGGTGTGCGTCAACTGCGTTGGCCTGGCTCCACAATCACACGGCACACAGATCAACGTTTCTTAGCTCGGGTGCCCTCGGCTTCACAGTCGAGGAAGGTAGTCCAGCGATCCATGGAGCCACGTTAAAGGAGTCGCCCAATTGCCCATGGTTTATTAGTGGCAAACATCGCCCCCAGTCCATCGCTGTTCATCATCCATTCACCACTACCACCCATGACATTCCACGGCTCTTATGACGATGTTCGCATGATCCCGGAGCCTCGCAGCTCCTGGGCTCGCAGCGAGCGTACACCTCCACGTCGTGTCCCTCGCCACGATGCGTATCTGGAAACATCTCTAACCCGTCGCAGTGGCCCTCCCCCTCGCCCCGCCAACGCTCCTCGCCCTGAGGCGAACAACGTCCTTGGCGTGTTCGGTCTCTCGATTCGCACCCGCGAGCGTGACCTCGAGGACGAGTTCATGCGCTTCGGCGACGTTGAGAAGGTCACCATTGTCTACGACCAGCGCGTAAGTTTCGGCGACCGGCCGAGAAGCTGACACTAGACTGACCGCTCGCGTGGCTTTGGCTTCATCACCATGCGTTCGACTGAGGATGCCACGCGCGCCATCGAGAAGCTGAACGGCATCGAGCTGCACGGCCGCAACATTCGTGTCGACTACTCGGCCACTACCAAGCCTCACGCCCCCACTCCTGGGGAGTACCGCGGCGAGAAGCGTCCGCTTGATGACCGTTGGGGAGGTGGCGGTGGTGGTGGCCGTGAGCGCGGAGGATGGGGCCGTGGTGGCGATCGCTATGGCGACCGCTGGGGTCCTGGCTCGGACCGTTACGACGACCGCCGTGGTGGCGGTGGTTACCGTGACCGCCCGTACGACCGTCCCTTTGGCCGTGACCGCGACCGGTATGTCAGTCCTTCTCGCACTACCTCTGACATAACAGTGATGGTCCTTATGGCCGTGGTGGCCGTGACCGTGACGATGACCCTTACGGTGGGCGTGCCCGTCGCGATGAGGACCGCGAGCGCCCTCCCTTCGCTGGCGGCGAGGACCGCGACCGCGAGCGCCGCCGCTCGCCGAGCCCCCGCCGTCGCTACTCGGCTTCGCCTGAGCGCCGTGCGCCCCCGCCCCCGGCCGACGACGCCCCGATCCGTTACTAATTTGTTTCAGCCGTCAAGACGAGACGAGGTAGTGGCAATCTCCTAGCTTGGTCCCTATGTGCAAAACGTCCATCGCAAGCTGCAAGGCTCCTCAGAAGCAATGCTGCGGGCTGGGATGAAGATCCATGAATCCGTTACCTTCCCTCAATGATGTCAACGCTTCAGTGCAACTTCAATACCAGTAGCGAGCGGGAGGGCGAGCAAGAGCAATTCCTTTCCCTGTGCAGCTGCAATCAGCTGTCCGAGCGGTCTCAGCAATGGCCTATAAGCGGCGCATGCGTGGATGCGAAGCATCACGCGAGATTTTAAGCTTCGGTGCGCGCATGCGTGCGTGCGTTTAGGGCACGGTGCGCTGTGCGCTGTGCGGCGCGCGCTTGGTGTCGTGCTCGAGCTCGTGCGTGAGAAGCTTCTTTCTCCTTGGGCGCATGTTCTCAGGCGCAGAGGTGAGTCTTGATGAGCGGGAAGGGGGGTGATGCGCGTGATTAGCGATTGTGCGACGCAGAGTTGGCCACAACGGCCTCAAATTTCATGCAAGCTGCCCGCAACCATGACCGAGCCGCGGTGAGTGCCCAAAAAATCACGATACAACCCATGCATGCCATGCCAATACCTCTCCCTACTCCACCCGCTCGCTGTCGAAGTACGGCAGCAGCCCTGTCTGCGGATGACAGTTGATATACTCGAACACCTGTCCTTCGGGGATGATGAAGACCTCGTGCCACGTGCGCAGCTGATTACTCGCCCCGTAGTGCTTATACCTTGCGACAGCCGCACCAAAGATAGCCGCGTGGGTGCGGTGTCCCTCTGCCCACGCCTCCATATGCCCGAGCGAAGCAAAGTATGCCGTCGCGTGCGCCTCCGGCCGCGGCGCGCCCCGCTCATCCGTGACGGTAAGCCAGCGGAGGGAGAGGCACCCGCTCTCCGGCGTGGACAGGTACGCCATGCCGCGATCGAGCGGCGGCCGCAAGCGGCGCTCGTAGTCCGCGCGCTGCTCCGCGTCCATGAACTGCCATGTATGCGCGGAGCGTATAACCGCGATGTTCTGTGGCACGCGCACGCGCCGCCGCCCGCGTGTGTCCCGCGTCGCGCCAGCGCCGGTGTCCAGCGCTGGGCCCGCGAGCGCGTCGTCCCCTGCAGCAGGCAAACGGTCCCGCATCGCCCCATAGTACCCGCAGTACGGGGTGGGGTAGAGCGGCGTGTCGGCGTCGCACATCAGCCCGCCGGGATAGTCGGGCCAGAAGATTGTTTCGGCGCGGTCGGCAGGCACGCTGAGGACTTCGCGATAGACACCCTCCCCCTCTTCTCTTGCTTCGGCCGCCGCGTCCCAAAACCCCTCGTGCGCCGCCGCCCAGCGCGCGTACGCCGCCGGATCGCGCCAGTACGCCACCACTACGTGGTGCGTGTACCCCGCTGCGTCGGTGTGGCGGGCGTGGTCGGACGTGCATGGCGCGTCGGCGGCGGAGGGGGCGAGGGCATCGCGCGCCCAGCCCAGAAAGGGGCTGTCGGGGACCAGCGAGCGCGCTTGTACCCCGAACGTACCGACTACTAGCGTCGGCGGGAGGAGGGCCGACCAGCGCTGCACGGCCGGCACGAAGCTCTCGGGCTTGCGCGGTTGGATGCGCGCCGTGGCGGGGCGGTAGGCCGATGGCGGGGGGTCGACGCGCGGGTTGGCGGACATCGCGAAGGAGGAGGAGGGGCGGACGCACACGCGGGCGCGGGTGCGGGTGAGCGATGTCGCTCGGAGTGTGCGCGTCAGCATGGCGAGGATGATGGATGCACGATCGCGATGGCCGACGAAGTGGGCCCCAGCTGGCGCACGGTCCGGCTAGCGGCTAGGGCCGGCTCGGTACCGGTACCGTGCCGGTGACGTCGATCGAGATCGGCATTGGACAGATGTTATGAGATTTAAGTACGTTACCGCTCCAATCGTCCAGTCACCAGCCGCCGTCACTTCGTCGCCAGTCACCAGCGTGCGTCGGCGAGACCCAAGGTGCGCGCTGTTGCGTCGCACATATCATGCTGAGGTCGCGGACACTCGCAGTTCTTGCTCGCCCATCACGACTGTTGTTCATCCCACCCACCGCCCGCGCATTCCACAAAACGTGAGTTGGCGGCGCCGACCTGCTTCTTTCGTTGCATCTGCGATCTCCAAGGGCGCAGCATACCTTTGACTCTCGACTCATCTTCGCCCCATCCCCCATCCCACCATTGCTCACACCAGTATCATGGAGCACCACCAAGGCGCCGCCGCCGCCAGCGTCGTTGGCAAGACCAACGTCCCGGGATCCAAGATCAATTCGCCTATCCCAGATTACCTCAACCTCGTGCTCCGCGAGATCGGCGCCGACAACCCGGGCCAGACGGCTGCCTACATCCCCGAGCTGAAGAATGCCGACCCAGACCGGCTCGCGATCGCCGTCTCGACTATGGATGGGTATGTGTACACGGCCGGCGACGCCGAACTCGAGTTCAGCATCCAGTCCATCTCCAAGGCGTTCGTGTATGCGCTCGCCCTGGAGGAGCATGGGCTCGAGTACGTGCTGAAGCGGATTGGCGTCGAGCCGTCCGGTGAGGCGTTCAACGAACTGAGTCTCGAGAAGGGGACTTGCCGGCCGCTCAACCCCATGATCAACGCCGGCGCCATCGCCGCGCACACGCTGGTCGGCGACGCCGAGCTCAGTGAGGGCGAGCGTTTCGAGAAGATCCGCAAGGGCTTGTCCGCGTTCGCAGGCCGCGAGCTCGGCCACGACGAGACTGTGTTCCAGAGCGAGATGAAGACGGCCTACCGCAACTTCGCCATTGCCAACATGCTGCGCAACTACAACATCATCTGCCAGCACCCCGAGGACGTCGTGACGGGCTACACGCGCCAGTGCGCGATCAACGTGACGACGCGTGACCTTGCGCTCATGGCTGCGACGCTGGCTAACGGCGGCATCCAGCCCGTGACCGGCGAGCGCGTCGTGGGCCGCCACGTCGTGCGCCAGGTCATGAGCGTCATGCTCACATGCGGAATGTACGACGAGGCGGGCGAGTGGCTCGCGAACATTGGTTTCCCATCCAAGTCTGGCGTGGCGGGCGGCATCATCGGATGCCTACCCAGCCAGGTGGGCATCGCGACGTGGTCGCCCCGCCTCGACACGCACGGCAACTCGGTGCGCGGCGTGCGCATGTGCAAGCGTCTCAGCGACGACATGGGCATGCACATTATGGACGCGCCTGAGCCCGCGCGCGCCGTCGTCCGCCGCGACTACCTCATCCACTCGCCCGAGGACCACGGGCACGGCGCGCACATCGCCGCCGTCATAAGTCTGCAGGGCACGATCAACTTTACGTCCGCGGAGCGCATTACGCGCATCATGGCCGCGCGCAGCATCGACACGCGTACCGTGCACATCGACTGTGTGATCCTCGACCTGCGGCCCGTGTTCAGCATGAACTCGGTCGCGCGGCGCATGGTGCGTGAGATCGTCCGCCGCCTCCGCAAGACCGGCATGCGCGTCAGCCTCGTCGACCCAGAACACATGCTTGAAATGTACAAGGTTGGCACGCCCGGCGTCGACGACGACATGGTGTGCGACGAAGTGTATGAGGACCTCTCGCACTTCGACCAGTGGGCCCGCAAGACGATCAACCCAGACGAGATGAAGCAGCTCGACTTGGACTAGGATGACAGTAGAGTAATGCAGACAAGGCTAAGCAGTGAAACGTGAGAACGGGATGGTTCTTAGGCGGCAAGACGAATAAGTGCAGGTAGGCACGGGGCCGCGTGGGGATTCCAGCCCAAAGGTGTCGAATTAGGCGCGGGGAGATACGTCAGTAATGACCGCGGCATGGCGGAGTGACTGACTCTCACTCCGCATCCTCTCATCCACCGAACTACGCAACCTCGCAGTTGCTCAACTTCCCAGTTACTCGTTAACTCACGTCTCCACCACTACCCACGTCGCCATGTCCCCCCTCCCGCCCAACACCCCCTCAGTTCCCGTCCTCTACACCTTCGAGGACAGCACCGAGCTCCAGTCGTCGCTCGCTGACTTCATCCTCTCGGCGCAGAACGACGCCATTGCCCAGCGCGGCAAGTTCACTATTGCCCTCTCTGGCGGTTCTCTTCCCAACAACCTCAAGCCTCTTGCCGCTCTTAAGGACGTCCAGTGGGACAAGTGGCAGGTCTTCTTTTCGGACGAGCGCATCGTCCCCCTCGACCACCCGGACAGCAACTATGCCGCTTGCGCAAAGGCCTTCCTCGACCACGTCCCCATCGCCCGCGAGCAGATCCATACTCTCAACACGGGGTTGTTCCGCGAGTCGACGCGCGTAGACCCCACCGCTACGCCGAGCGACGAGACTGACTCCGCCCGGGAGGCCTACGACGTTGCCTATGACTACGAACAGCAACTCGTTGATGTCTTCGCCAACCCCGACGCTGCGCGGTACCCCACCTTCGACCTCATTCTGCTCGGCATGGGACCAGATGGTCACACCTGCTCCCTCTTCCCTGGCCACCCTCTGCTCGCCGAGCAGGACGTCTGGGTCGCCCCCATCCTCGACAGCCCCAAGCCTCCCGCCCGTCGTGTGACTTTCACGTGAGTACCTTCCCTCTACTTGCGATCTGCATAGATTCCCTCTCGGAGCGAGACGTCTGTGTGATGCCGCGACTCCTTTCTGTCCACCAATTGCTCATCTTTCAGCTACCCTGTGCTCAACCACGCCATCCGCGCCGCGTTCGTTGCCACCGGAGAAGGCAAGCAGGAGATGCTGCACAAGATCCTCGACCAGCCCGAGCTCGGCCTTCCCTGTTCGCGCGTGCGGCCCGTCGCGTAAGATACCTTACCTTCGTTCGCTGACATCAGTCCTGGCCGCGTCTTCTGGTTCGTCGACAAGGCCGCCGCTGGACAGACCAAGTACGCGCCGCTGCCGTTCACGAGCTGAGAGTAGGCTGCGCCCAACCCAGCCGCTGAGATCGGCAATGTAGATGAGTTAGCTAGAGATCCGATACGGTGATGTACATGTGTGTGGAAGGCGTTCTTGAATGCTATGAAAGTCGATTGTTCAACGAGTCCAACTTAGGAAGCCGGTTGTGCCGGACCCAGGAAATGCCGAATGACGCCACTTATCTCGGCATCAACGCGAAGCACAACTCCATCAACGCGCCCCTCTTCTACCCTCTTGCTCATCTACATCTACTTCATCAATATCATCCTCTTGCATCTTGCAATCGACTTGCTCCACCAGCCCCAACACTATGGCGAGCGCGTGGAACGCCTGGCCCACGCCGCCCCTATCCCGCAGTCCGAGCAAGTACTGTCCTATGGCACCTCTCGCGACCTCTCCAGTCGACCGATCAGGCGTCCTCTCCGCGCGTTTCGCCACCACTCCTCCTCCGGATCGTGACCTCCCCATCCTCCCCCCAGAGATCCTGCGGCGCATCGTACGCGCTGCGCTGGCCCTCGCCCCGAGCATCCCCGATCCTATCCCACTCGAGTTCCCACCGCGCTCCGCGCTGCCGTCGACCGTGCCTTCCGCCCTCCCAAGCCCAGGGTTGCCCTCCATCTCGTCCCCCTCCTCATTCCCTTTCCACCCTTCACACCCACAGTACACGAACGTCATCAATGCTATCGATGACAACGACCGCCAGCTTCCCGTTGAATGGGACGCGTTCGCCGGGCGCGCCGCACGCCGCCAGCTTGAACGGCGCGTCGCCCTCCGCGCGGACGTCGCGCGTACTGCCCGCTCCATGATTGGCGTGTGCCGCGCCTGGAAGGTAAGCACTGTCATCACGCAAACTCGCCACCGTCGCTGACGCTATCGCATTGCGCTCGGACCGTGTGGCTTGCTTGACGCCCATCACTTCCCACGCTTCCTTTGCCTCGCACGCGCCCTGATACGCAGGCTCTCGTCACGAAGTACTTATACACCGAGCCAGTTGTCACAGCCGATAACATAGCAGCACTCGCCCGCGCCGTCGTAAACGGCGATCGCAAGTGGAGCGACATCAACCTCCACCCGCACTCATATCCTGGACGATGGTTGACCGTGCTCGACCTCTCAAACTTGGGCGGCGGATCGTATCTTGGCGCGGATCCACTCACTATCAGTGGCGCCCTTGGCGCACTGCTCGATCTCACTCCGGCACTCACCCACCTCCGCCTCCCACCGGCAGGGTGTGGGGTGCGCCTCACGGATCTCCGCCACGCCGCGTGTATCCGACGCCTCCGAGCACTTGAGGGCGTACACCTTGCAGGCCGAAAGGCGGAGGACGATGCTATTAGTTTGCTCCGAGTGACGCGCTCTCTCGAGCTCCTCGGACTGGTGTGGGTTGCGTCGGCGCTCGAGCCGGACGAAGAGCTCGAGCTGGAGGACCTTCCGGGCCCTCCAAGCCTTGCAGCTCTCCACACCCTAACCATTGTGGCTGGCGAAGCTGGTCCTCTTCTCGCTGCCCTCACCCGTGCCGAGCTTCCACGTCTCACACGTCTTGTCATGTCCCCTTACGACGAGGGGCTGAAGATGTGGGAGGACGATGCGCTGCGTGGCGGCCCGCGTGCTCTGCAGCTGGCGCACGGACGCAAGATCCGCTCCCTCACCTATGTCGCGACGCCCGGCTGGCCACACCGCGACACCCTTCCAACAGACGACACGCTTACGCTCCACCCCTCTCTTGCCCATGTCCACTTGGCGCTCCCACATGCAGTGCTGCACGATGCGCCCGACCTGGCGCGCACCTTCGCCGACCCGTTCCACCCTCTCACCGTGGTGACCCTGCCGCGCTGGCCACGGGTTTCGCGCCCTGACGCGAGCACCAGTCCGTCTGCGCATCATGCCGTCCCAGGCGGCCAAGGTGACTGGCCGCCCGGCAATCCGTTCCTCGCGACCTTGTTGTCACGACGCAGCCGCATCCGCACCGTCCGGATCGATGGTTTCACCTGGGTCTCGCCGAGTCTGGGACGATGGGCCGCCGAGAGCGGCGACAGCGGAATGATGCGTCGCTGGGCAGTTGCTATGGCGCGCAAGGGCGTCGAGCTGCGCGACATGGACGGCGGTGTGCCGCCCGTTATTGAGCGGGGCCGCCAGCGGTCGTTTGAAGGCGCCGGGATCAGCGCGATTCGGCGGAGCATTGACCAGGGCCGCCGGCCGAGCTTTGCGCGGCGCGGCTCAGACAGCGACGGAGGGTAGGCGCTTGCACACTATTCATCAACTTTGTCACCTTGTCATACTAGTACAACATTATTATATACGCTTTGACGCCCACTACTCATGCATTATCGGACATGGATTCGCTCTCGGCATCTTGCGATGTGGTCATCGGCCCCATGGGGATGTACGTCATAGCCGAGACATGACAACATGTGTCGGCCTCTTGTGCTGCACTGGCCTTGTCATGCCCAGCTCCCGTTCTCTGCATCGTACTACCCACGATGACAGACAAGGTCGCCGATAACGCTGACGCTGTGAGCAGAGTAACAAGGCAGCGCTGACGCCAGCACCGCGAACTCCTCCTCAGCCTCCAGGCGGTGGACTACGCGCCCCCCACCCTCGCGCAAGTGAAGAAGCAGCTCAGTACAAGCCAGACCGAGCTAGAGCAGGAGAAGCGCACCATCGCGTTGCTTGAGGCAAGCACGTGAGTTCTATCCTTTGCGCTTGCCGTCTGACCCCAGCAAGAAGGAGTTCAAGGACTGGAAGGACATCCAACAGCGCACGCACAAACGCGTCTGGACGCGGCTGAAGCATCCGTCGTCACACCGCGAGATCCTCAGCGCGCGCGAGGAAAAAGAGGAGCGGGAGTACGTCGACGCGCTCGCGAAGGAACAGGCGAGCAAGGCGCGCATCGAGACGCTCGAGGTACAGGTCACCGAGCTCGCGCAGCAGGTCAAGGATCTAGAACCGTATGCGCGTGAGCACGCGAATCTTACCCGCCAGCTCGCGCAGCTGTATGCGCGCGTGTTCGATGGGCCGACGCCGGGGTATCCCGAGGAAGACGCGGCGGAGCGCGCATTCCAGGAGGCCGCGCGGCGCTTCGACGGTGTAAGTGGCGGACGGGACCGTGCGGACGGCGTGCTGGAAGAGGAACTGACCCCAGCTACAAGGCGAGATTGCGAATGAGAAGCGGGCGCAGGAACTCCTCCGCGGCGCACTGCAGCGCATGGCTATGGCGGTGCGCGCGTGCGCGTCAGCCGAGAGCTACTCGCAGTGGGACATGTTCGGCGGCGGCACCATGTCGGATATGATGGAGCGGTCGGAGTTGGCCAACGCGCAGCGTGCGGCCGACCAGGCGCGTATGATGGTCATGCAGGCGCAGACGCTGCAGCCTGCCATCCGGGGCTTCGGGCCGATCAACATGCCGCAGGGGTGAGTAGAAGCTGAGCGAGCAATGAGGCCGCGTGGCGTGGCCTGGACCGGAGCATTGATGCTGACGGCAGCAACCTCATGTCCGACGTCTTCTTCGACAACATCTTCACGGACTACGCCTTCCATCAGAAGATCAAGGCCGCCGCAGTGCAGCTGCAGCGCGCATTCTTGCAGCTGCAGGATGTGACGCGGCAAAGCCAGGGACACCTTGAGGGCCTGCTGCGCGACGGGCGCGATCGAGCACACACGCTCGAGGGCGCGCGGAATACACTCGAGCTCACGCGAAGGCAGATTATGGAACGCGCGGGCGGGGTTGCGCCACCAACCTATGCGCCACCCAGCGCAGCGCCAGCGGGCCAGGCTCCGCCTTACCAACCTTAGTGGTGAAGCATCCGCAGAACATTGTAGACCCTCTAATATGCACTGGTCTAAGTCGCACACGTGCGGGGAGGAGGCACTCGAAAGAACGCGACTTCATTAGGTGTCGCGTCCGGCTTCAAGCTCCGTGAAAGGAGAAGAGTGCAGCATGAAATGGACGCTGCGATGCGAATCGCTTATCGCGATGTGATGAGCATATGGTCACGACTAAGGGAGAAAAGTCAAGCGGAGTGCGCAGGGCCCGCCTACAGTGGACCGTCGCGCTCGCCGCGCTCAAAGCGCCCCTCGTCAAAGTATCGCGCGTGCTGCTATCAGCTTACCTATTCGATACTCTGGAAATTGAAACTTACGATCGTCCGCCCGCCGAAGAACCGCCCTTCAAGCGCCTTGATAGCCCTCCACGCGCCAGCCATGCCGGAGAACACAATGAAAACGCGCAGGCATCCCTCTCCCTCGACCGGCGGTTCGGTCAAATGAAGCACAACACGCTCCACGATGCCGTGTTTGGCGGCCTCGACACCGATGTCGTCCGCCAGCGCCTCGTCTACATCCTCCTCAGATTCAGCCACGTTGAGGAGAAGCACGACGCGGCTCGCCTCACCGTGCTTCTCCACCTCAGCCTCGCGCGCCGCCGACGCCGAAGCATCCACGATCCGGCCGCGCGCGTTCGGCGCCTGCACCCACCGCCCGTTGGCTTTGGCGGCACGCGCCTTGGCCGCTGCACGCTTGCTGAGCTTCGAGGTTGGCGCGACGTGCTCGGCGGACAGCGCCTCGGTGATGCCATCGCCACGGGCGCCGAGACCCGAGCCCTCCTTGTGCCCCCACTTGCGCATCATGCGTTCTGCAAAGGTGCCTGAGGTGCTGCTGTCAGCTTAGTCCGCACATTTAAACATACTCTTCTTCTTCCGGCTCCTTTGGTGCTGGTGGCGCCATTCCAAACTTGGCAGCGATCGCCATCGCTGCGGCACGCTTCGCCTCCAGCTCCTTGGCATAATCGTCATCCGGCAGGGGTGGGGTCGAGGCAACCGGCGGAGCTGTTGCTGGTGGTCGGGCCGGGGGAGGGAAAGGCGGGGTTGGCAGCGGACCCGCCACTGGTGGTCGGGTAGGGTGCATCGGCGGCATGGGAGGCGGCGGGAATGACGGGGCGGTCTCTGGCCGCATCGGAGGGACGAATGGAGGTGCAGTGTCTGCCCGCACAGGAGGCGGAAATGGAGGCCGTGGCGGCGGAGCCGTGTGCGTCGGCAGACCTGGTGGAGGGGGAGGGAGACCAGCGGGAAGCGCAGGCAGCCCAACGGGAGGCAGAGGAGAACGAGAAGGGAAGCTGGGTGGTCGTGGCTGGGACATGGCCGCTCGCCTCGCATAGGCGTCGTCGCCTGTGGCGCTCATCGCTGCGCGCCGAGCGTAGGCGTCGTCCCCAGTCGTGCTCAGCGCCGCTCGCCGCGCGTACGCCTCGTCTCCAGTGACACTCATTGCCGCGCGGCTTGCGTGTGCGCTTTCTCCGCCTGGGGACGGCGTCCGCTCCCTCTTCACCCCGTAAGGATTCGCCGCAGCCGGGATGACAGTTTCGGCATACTCCTTTGGCGGGGCCCAGAGACGCGGGGCGTCGCGCCGCGGCGTATCGCTCTCACTGGAGGACTCCCCACGCTCGAGCCGCAGCCGCGCGCGATACGCTTGATACTCAGCGAGATCGTTGGGCCGCGAAGGGTCGTACGGCTCGTCGGGATCGAAGGCCTGATGGACGCGGCGTTTCTAGCATTAGCATTCATCGTCGGAACCGACGCAACCCTACCTTCTTCTTCTTCTTGCGCTGCCCGTCGGGGCGACGTTTAGGTGCCAGCGTCATGGCCGGCGCTCGCGGTTCGGCCTCCTTCGCTTCTGGCTTCACTTCTGGTGGAGGCTTGATGATCACGGGCGGCGCGGCGATGATGGGGGCTGCGGAGTAGACGGGCTTGGGCGCAGGCTTCTTGGCGCGTGGGGCGAACTGAAGCACGGCGCGGGCCTTGCTTGATGGCGGCGGCGCCGGTGATGTCTCAGCCTTTGCCTTAACCTGGGCTTTGGCTGGGGCTGAGGGCGGCGGTGGTGCTGGCGCCGCAGCTTGCGCCGCAGCTGCTGTGGAGGTGGATGGCCCAGCTTCTGCGGCGTCCCGGGCCGCCGACTCGGCCGCGAGGGCCTTGGCCTTGTCGCTCGTGAAGCTGATGCCCGCGAAGAGGGACATGTTGCGATTGCTTTGTTGTGGTGGAGGGATCCGGAAATTGGACGTCACCGATTAGGCGCCGACGCGGTCAGACAACGAAATCGGCTTCCGCCATCTCTTGACTCCTCACACTCCTCAATGCCACCGAAGCGCGCGCGCAAGTCGAACGCGTCGACGCCGGCACCAGCCGCCGACGAGCCGGTGCGTACGCCAGGGTCCTATCCAGCATGTACTGGCTCTCGGTCCTTTTGACTGCCCTTTCTAATCTAACATCAGCTGCCCGCCGACCGGCTCAACTACGCCGACGTCCCGCGCCCGTTCAAAGCCAAGAACTTCACCTCGAAGCTGCCGCTCAGGACGGCGTCGGCCGCGACGACGGGCTTCAAACGTACAGTGAAGCAGATCCTCACGCTTGAGCGGGAGCGCGTGGGAGGCGGTGACGGGTTTCTGAGCGCGGCGCAGACCGCGGCCAAGGCCCGCGGGGAGCCGATAGAACCAGCCAAGAAGAAGAAGAAGGAGAACCCTGTCGGCAAGAAGAAGGTGCCGCGCCGCAGTGGGGTCAGCACGCCGATGACGCTCGACGACGAGAGCGTCATGAGTGGGACCGTGACGCCGTTCGACGATGACGAGGAGATGGAGGTTGAGGCTGTTGAAGGGGGGAAGGAGATCATCACTTGTGAGTTGGAGACGGGAGAGGATCGGGTTAGGGAGAAGGTGGCGGCGGTGGGCTGAGGAGTGCGGAAGCTGCGACCAGACGATCTTCACTCGATGCTTGCGCGTTGCGCATCGGCATCAAGCCAGCCGCGTCGACACCGCTGACACCAGATCACACCCCGACAGCGCCACCCTCCCTCCTCCCCGCCAAGAAGTACTGCGACATCACAGGCCTGCATGCGGCGTACACCGATCCGCGGACAAAGCTGCGGTACAAGGGCCTCGAGGTGTGGGGCGTTGTGCGCAATCTGGTGAGCCTATGCGTACGTGGGAGCTGACAACAGGGTCCCGGCGTCGACCAGTCGTATCTGGCGCTGCGCGGCGCGCAGACGTCTCTCAAGTAGTGTCCGCGTGTATTAGTCGTCTCTCGCAGGGTATCCATTCCCGCATGCCATTGTATATCTAGTATCGGGCGTCCATCTCCGAGCCTCCAGGATGCGCAGTACAGAACATCTACTTGCCTCCAGCCTTCTTGGCGACTTCGGCGATTGCCTCACGGGCCTTCTCGTAGTTGGCCTCGGCGGCGGGCAGAACGGCGTCACGCGCAGCAATGGCCTGGTCGACGGCCGCCTCACGCAGGTCCTTGGCGGCGTCCTGGACCTTGGCGGCGGCGTCCTTGGCCGCATCGGCAGCCACCAGTTCGGGGTGCTTCCGCTCGCGCCCGCCCATGTACCAGTAGTTGGCCCAGCGGCCGACCTGCACTGTCTGCGCTGCCGAGTTTGTGGCGTGGCACGCGAAGAGGAGGTAGTTGCGCGGCTGGACGCGCCATGCGAAGCGCATGAAGATGGCACTGGGGTGAGCCGCATGTCCGACGAGTGCGGATGTGGGCATGCTTCGATGTCCAGTGCGGTGGTTGGTGATCAACGGGCGTGGTTCCCTTCAGAGACGCTGCAGAGGCGCACTGCAGCCACCGTCATAGCCGCACCGCCATGCCGGCGGCAAGCAAAATGGAGATGTGGAGATCGCGAGGCGGCCGCCGACGGCCGGAGCTCTCAACCTAATGTCCACTTCTTGCCGCTTTCCCCGACCTCTCTCCCGAGCACCAGCACTGCGGCACCTCACAAGTACTCACGAGTAGGCAGCGAGCGTAGGGCTCATCACGCCCGAGATGTACTCCTCATCCTTGTTGAAGACGTCGGACAGCGCAGCGAGCGGAAGACCCCAGTTCGCGACCTGACATCAGCATCGTCCGACGAACGCCCCCGAGTGCGCCTTCCAAATGACGCTGCACTTGGGCAGAACGACGAAGACTCACGGGTCCCCAGAAGTGGGTGCCTGCTGTCAGCCACTCTCATCCTATCAAGTCGAGATGGAGGCAGCAGCGCCGCCACTGAGGCAGTGCCGCCCGTCTCGACACACGACTGACTGAAGAAGTACTTGCGCCCCTCGGGCGACTTGATCCAGCTCGCGAATCGGTTAAAGGTGCTGCTGTCAGTGGTGCGGAGCCGTTGCCGGCGGCAATGGCACGACGTACCCGGCGGAGCTGGGGTCAGCCGCCGCCGCGCGCACACCTGCGCCGCGCATGCTCGCGCTGCACGGAGAGTGTACTCACGCCATGGTTGCTTTTCGGTGGTGGCAGGCGAGGTGGGTATGGGCAGTCACGGAATATCGAGATTGAACGAGTCGGTCACCTCCAAGTCAGGTGGGGAATGGACATCCGTCGTCCCTCCGCCGGGCCGCAATGGGGGTGCCACACGGCGAAACGCCGCTGCTGCGGTTTATCCGCTGGGCCCCACCTCCACCTCGCTCGTCCAGACGGGTAATGCAGAGGTGGTGTGTATGCATGGATCTCCCGCGAGGCTGGGAGCTTGGGGGATCATGGGGGAGACTATGCAGAGCAGAAAATTGGCGCTTGATGAGCGAGACATGCGAGACAGCGACAGGGATTGGCGTACGTTGGCGTGGCGGCATCGCAATGTAGTGGCGTGGCGGCAAGAGGATGGGGCGAGGCTCCAGAATTGCTTCTGCAAACCTGAAGACGCTGCACAGCTCACAGAGCATGCAGAGCACTTGCAGATATCAGATTAGATATCACAAAACAGAGACAATCTAAAAGCGCGGTAACAACCTCCCTCTCCTCCGATGTCGGACGTTGAGGGACGAGGGGCCGGAGTCATAGTCATCGGGAAGAGGATGGTACATTTCGAGTTGTGAATCACGGCCAACAACACGGGAATGATTGTGGCTCCTGTCACAAGCAGCAGGCAGCTTGGCAGCTTGGCAGCTTGGCAGGCAGTTTAGACGCTACACTGTACTGAGATACTTAAGCAGTGAAGCTTGTTGTTGCGGCGCCCATGACTGTGTGGGCAACGAGGCGAATGGGGATGGGTACGACATGGCATGGGCCTTCGGCGATCAGCCATCAGCTCGGCTGAGACCCAAGAGACGAGCAACAGGCTACTCCGGAGCGATCAGAGCTCAGTATCCTTCTACAGCGTGCGTGAATGTTGCTTGGACGCCGGGCAGATGATTATCTGCAGACGATCTGACCATACAACCGTGCAGAGGGGGTCAGTGTGAAGGGTGAAAACAGTCGCGACGCGTCACGCCCTGTGCGCCCACGCGCAGCGTCGCGCCCCCCTCCGCACCACTTCTGTGCCCCTCCTCTCCTTCAATACAGGACGTTGGGTCATGGGCAACCCCAACGCCCTTGCCATCAGTGACACCCACGCTCGCGCGCCCAACGCCTCCACGTATTCATCTCATTCTGCTGCTACCTTAGTTGATCTTGAGGAGCTCGACCTCGAACTTGAGGGTGGCCGAGGCCTAGGGTCAGCCATGATGTGCAGGCGTTACTCACGGGGATGATGGGGGGGTAGCCGCGGGCGCCGTAAGCGTAGTCGGGGGTGGCGGTGAGGATGGCCTTCTCGCCGACCGAGAGCTGGGGAACACCCTCGTCCCAGCCCTGGGGTTAGCTGGGTTCGTAGAGGGCTCCGAGACTCACCTTGATGACCTGGCCAACGCCGATGACACACTGGAACGGCTGGCCGCGGTCGCGCGACGAGTCGAACTGGGTGCCGTCGGTGAGGGTGCCGACGTCTGTGGTTAGGCGTGTTCGATGGGTCGTCGGCCTGCTCCTCTCCCCTCTACTCTCCCTGCCTTCTCCCCTCTCCACCTACGCAGACTCACAGTGGATGGTGACCTTGTCACCGGGCTTGGGGAAGGTCTTGCCGTCGCCGCCGCCGAGACGCTGTCGTCAGCTCGGTCTCATCCCTCCAATCCAAAATGTCCCATGCCACAGCACAACCCACCTGAATGTCAACACCCATGATGCGCGAAGTAGAGTGGAAGGTACGGAGAGAGGAGGAGAGAGGAGTGCGGAGGGCACGGAGGGAGAGCATATGGACAGATAAAAGACAGCAGCCCGCACGCCAGCACCACCACCCTCAATTTGGTTCGAGCCAGTCAAGACGAACCCTCAAACGTGGCCCTCCACCCTCCACCGCCGGCCTTTCACACCATGACGTTGTGGCGCCATCTAATCTGCGTCCTGCGTACCGTCCGTCCTCCCGGCCATCCTCTAGCCTGTCACGCTAGATGGAAACATGCAGCTGCAGCGCAACCAAGACTCAGACGCCAAGACCCCACTCCCCACGAAGACCCCAAAGCGTTTATTCCACGCGTCCGGGGTGGGCGAGCACACGCAGCAGGAACGTGGTTCCCATTCCCACCCGCGGTCACCCCGGCCACCGGAACGCTGGCACCCGATCGGCTCACCCGAACCCTGCGTCATACCGCAGTGCGTGCTTGGTGCTCATGCAAGACGGGGTCGACGTCGCCTGCCAGCCTGCCGGACGTCGCGAGTTTCGGGTCGCGCGGCGCGGTGCTCGTGACTCGCGACTCGCGTGGGTGACGAGTGCCCATGAGTTTCATGTGCTGCATCTTGTCTATCTCTAACCTACTCGACCGTGATCGACACCATGCGCACGTCGTCGAGCGGCTTGTCGTTCTTGTCCGTCGCGACGTTCTCGATGGCGTGGATGACTTCCAGGCCGCCCGTTGCGCGGCCAAAGACGCTGCTGTCAGCGCTGCCGTGTCCCTTGTTATACCCCCTACAGGCTTGTGACTCACGTATGCTTCCCGTCAAGATGCGGCGTCGCGACCGTCGTAATAAAGAATTGCGAGCCGTTGGTATTCGGCCCCGCGTTGGCCGACGAGAGCGTGTATGGCCGGTCGTGCTTGGCCAGCGGCGAGATTTCGTCTTCAAACTCAGAGCCCCAGATCGACTCGCCGCCCATGCCCGTCCCCGTCGGGTCGCCGCCCTGGAGCATCTGGAGTCAGCCATACTCTATTCTCAGCAGAGACGCGCCCGCGCCAATGCCGGCCGCCACTCACAAACTTCTTGATGATGCGGTGAAAAATGACGTTGTTGTAGTAGCCGTTCCGGGCATGCGTGGCAAAGTTCTCGACCGTCTTGGGCGCGAGGTGCGGGAACAGCTTGAGGTGGATGTCGCCCTTGTTTGTGTGTATCGTGGCCGCGGTCGGGAGGACCTTCTTCGCCGGCTTGTCGGGGACAACGGCGTGGTCCTCGGCCGTCGGGCGCTCGTTGTACACGTCGCGCTCGGCGTGTTCCTCCACCACACCCCGCCCAAACATGTAGAAGCGCGCCTTGTTGAGCGCCGTGCAGAACAGCGTGGGGTCCCGCGCAGCCTTCTCCTGCAGCAGCGGGTTTGCCGACGCCGCCATCGCGAGCGTCTGCACCTGCTTGCTGGGCGCGCCCTGGAAAAGCGCGAGGTTGAGGAACCGCAGGCTCTCGTCCTTGCCCACTACGCGCACGACCTTGTTCGTGACTGTGTTCACCACTGGCGTCAGCCCGGCCACCGCCTCACCCACCCTTGATGCCTAGCAGCGTCGCGTAGAGGAGCATGTTCCCGCTCTCGTCCCACACGGCATTAGCGGTGCGCAGAGCCCCGCCCGGTCCCGAGTGATCGCGGTCCAGCTCGCGCTCGATCGCCAACCGCCGCCCAAAGTCCATGTCCTCGAGCTTGAACACCGCCGTCCCGGCCTGCTGCATCTCGCTCGCGGCCTCGAGACTCTCGTCGTACGTCCGCGTCAGCTTGCCTGTAAGTGTGTTGAAGATGTGCACTTTGCGGTCGGGAAGCGCGATCGCGCTAAAGTGCCGCTGGTTCGGCGACAGCGTGATGGAGGCGGCGATGGTCCGCGTCTTCTTGAACTGGAACAGGTCCGTCGAGGACTTGTACTGCCACATTCCCGGGAGGGCGGGCACGCTCCACGGCTCAGAAGGCTGCCAGTACTCGACAAAGCCGGCCTCGTCGGCCGAGATCACTAAGTCAAATTTGGACGAGTACTGCTCTTAGCTTCGGTCACTGGAAAGGGGGCGCGACTCACCACCATGAGATGCACCGGCGCGCGATGCACCTTCTCCAACACATGCAGAGGCGTCACGCCGTCCCCGCGCCCGTCGTATATCCTGATCGCGGCGCTCTTCTCGTCGCTCACAGCCAGCAAGGCCTGGCCCGCGCCAGGCGCGTGCACCCAGCATGCGGCCTTTGGCGTGAACCCAAACTTGAGGATGTTGATCATGTCAAAGTTGACAACGTCGAAAACACGGCCTTCGCCGTTCGCGCTGATCGTCGCGCACAGCTTGCCGTCGTCGCTTGCGGCCAGCCCCACCACCGACGACAACGACGTCCGGAAGTGCTTGACGAACTCGATCCCGCTGTCCTGCTTCTTCCAGATCTTCATGTGTCCGTCAATCGACGTCGTGATCAAGTAGCCCGTCCTGCCGTTAACGATCGCTCATCGCAAGGCGCCCACTTCGTCATCACGACATAGTTGAGCGTGTCCCGGTGCATGAACGACTTGTAGTATCGGTCCGCGTCGGGAAGATGCTCGAGATACAGTCGCTCGTGTGGGAGCACCGCGCGGCGCTTCTTGCGCGCCGCCCCGTTCTCCGCTGCCGGCACCGGCATCGGACCTGTGGTCAGATGCTACCCAAAGTTCCGCAACACACCGATCTCGTCGTCCGAGTCGTCATCGCCTGGTGGAGCAGGACCTGGCGACGCCGACGCTGATGCCTCTTCGCGTGCGCGCTTTCCCAGAGTTGCGCGCTCGTCTTCAGACATGGTGGTGCAGTGGGAGGATGTGTTGAACTGAAGAGCTTAGGTTGGCACAACAACCGCCGACTTCTCATATCACGTGATATGTGATCCACCTCCACCAGCGAGGCCAAGCCACCTCCACCTCGCCCTCGACCTAACCCAATCTCCCAATCTCCTCAATGTTCTTTGGCAATGGGCAAGGCAAGACGTTGTCCCGTGAGATCGTAGGCCGCTGGACCGCTATAGGCCGAGTCTCACTCTGATCACAAACATCGGCTACCATTCGAAACAGTCCATACCCTCGGTTCTTCTAAATCGTACATTCCATTTCTCCCCTTGGATCCAAGATCCCCCCACACCTTTCCCCTATCGAGCACATGGGCGACTAGCCCCTACGCGAAGGAGGGCGTGAGAGGATGTAATGTTGTGAAAGTTGGTGTGTGGTGTGTGGTGTAGGAGGCGAAACGTTGCAAGCAAGCAGAGTGGAGGAAGGGAGGGAAACGGGTAGGACGCAGAAGACGACGAGGCGCCATGCTGCGCCGTGTGTACCGCGACCTCGCGGTGGCGGGATGAATTGTGTGTCGGAGTGCAATACAGTGACGCCTAAAGGGCCGAAAATACAAGTCGCCAGTCCGACAAGCCGTCTAGTAGCTCTGCGCGGTGGGGTTGTTCGGTGGCGACTGGTGGTTCTGCAAGCTCCTCCGCTTGGATTTGGTCATCTCTTTCTTGAGCGCTGCGCCGTCGAGAGGCTTCAACAGCTCAAAGGAACACAACAGATCCTCAGACACGGACATGACCGCGCCGAAATTGTCAAACTCGCCACAGTAGCTGGGTGTCAGCAAGTGTATTGTAACTCGGGAGGAGGAATGAAGGTCGGGGTTTGGGATAGAGGGAGAGGGTGGGATGATGGAAGTTGCATTACGGTGCCCAGCTCGACTCACTTGGGGGCAGAGAACACTGTCACCAGTGTCCTGTCATTGTAGAACTCGTATCCGTCCTCGACTACCATATGGGCACGACAAATGAGGTCCATGTCGTGAGTGGCGAGGAAGGCGTTGATGACGCTCTTGCCATAACAGAATGACACGCCTCGCTCGTTGTCCTCCCAGTCCAGTGCCGTGTCCGATGGGTCGGACCACACCAGGTCGTTGAGCAAACCGTAGTCTGGGACGTCGGTAGGACGCTGAATGCGCCGAATGTCGTCCATAGACTGCAAGCTTGGGCTGAGGCCACCGTGCACGCAGAAGATCTTGCTGGCGACTATAGAGGCGATGGGGAGCGCATTGAAGACGTCGATAAACGTCTTCCAGGTCTTGATGTTGGTGCGACGTTTGCACTCGTCGTAGAAGCCGTACACACGGGTGACATTCGCGCACTCGTGGTTGCCGCGCAGAAGGAAGAAGTTCTCCGGGTACTTGATCTTGTAGCACAGGAGCAGTAGAATCGTTTCGAGCGATTGCTTGCCGCGGTCAACGTAATCGCCGAGGAAGAGGTAGTTGGCCTGCGGGGGGAAGCCGCACATCTCAAACATGCGGATAAGGTCGGCGTACTGCCCGTGCACGTCTCCAACAATTTTGACGGGCGGGCTCAGCTCAATGAGAGTTGGCTGAGAAAGGAAGATCTCGCGAGCAGCCGCGCAGACAGCGGCGATTTCGGCATTCTTGAGAGGAGGGGACTTTGTGACCTTGCCGCTGTAGCCAGCCTCGAGGAGGCGACTAATCATACTGTCGACATCGAGACCAGACGCTGGGACCGCGTTGATGCTCGTACGACTAACAGTCTGGGTCAAAGTGTCAACAGGAGACAGAGAGCCGCCCGAGTTGGTGTGCATGTGACCTGGAGGTGGGGATCCACGGCCGGGCATGGTAGCGGGGGAAGGGGAAGCGCCAAGATGCCCGGCACCACGAGCGGAGACAGGAGTCGTCGGGGTTGGGGTTGCACCGCCGTCGACGCCCGGTGCACTCGTGGTCCTGCTGATCGCTACGTCTGGTTGAGCTGCTCGGGCGCCGTTTGCACTGGGAAAAGAGTCAGCAACAAGGCACGCGCGTAAAGTGTCAGTGGCTAAGCGAAAAGTCGAACGACCGCGTTGTTCGCTTGGACGTGGGAGCGAGCGAGCGAGCGGGCGAGCAAGCCAGCAAGCAAGCAAGGTAGCAGAGCATTGTGAGAGATGGGGAGTGGAGACTAACCTCTTGCCATTCCTTGCATCGACTCCGGGACCCGAGAGCTTTGTGGCGGCGAGCGAGTCGGCGAGGTCATTTGCGGTGAGCTCTTTGGACCGGGTACGCCCCATCTTCTTGGACGGTGAGTTGCCCATGGTGACGGAGGGTTGTGGGGGAAGGTGTAGCCGTACTAGAGGGAGACTAGGGGGGAGGAGGCGGCGGCGAGAGGGGTAGGGGTAATCTCAAGGCGCGTGATGAGTTTGGGGGGGCCCGCGTAGGCTAGTGATGCAAGGGTATGAGGTTAGGTGAGCGAGAGTTGGATGATTGACGAGTGACACGAGTGGCACGAGTGGACAATGGTGAGAGTGGGGACAAAGGAGGCTTGGTGATGACGACGGGGGTACGGGGGTACGGGGGTACGGGGGACCGAGGAGGATTGGAGGTAGGTGCGAGTGAATCTGTGGATGAAGATGGAGGATGGTTGGATGGGCTGGGCTCGAGGGGAAGCTAGCGCGGGGGGGGGGAGGTGAGGTGAGGTCACGCAAGGGGTGGTGGTATCAAGGCGGGGGAATGACGCCTCTTTGGTCTTTGACGGGGCAGAGTGCGCAGAGTGCGAGCTAGTTGAGATGGCTGAGAGTGAGGTTGGCGATTGAGAGATTTGTAGAGAGCGTCCTGCGCGTGGAGGCAGAGGCTGGTGACAAGTAGTGGTGAAGAAGGGACGACGAAGAGACGACGAGGAAACGACGAGGAAACGACGACGAGTTGGGAGTGGGTGTGAGTGAGAGAGAGAGAGAGAGATGCCGGGGTTGGAGAATTGAGTAGTAGTGTGGATTGAAAGTAAGTGGATGGATGGATGTGTGATGTGTAAGGCTACTGGTCCAGTCGAGAGGCGATGAGAGGTGGGGAAGGGAGGAGGAGGAGTGAGGGTGGAGTGAGCGACTAGGGAGTGGGAGCGCGGGTGTAGGCTGACCGTGGCTGGCATCACCTCTCTCTCTCTCTCTCTCTCTCTCTCTGTCTCGCATGGCTGGGCCATGGCTGGACCTGCCTGTGGTTGGCTGGTCAGGATCATATAACCCTCGGCCTCTAGGCCACTTGAGAGCCGAGTGGCCACCCACCCAGGCCACCCAGGCCATCCAGCACCCCGCCCAGCACCCCACCCAGCGGTGGGTGTGAAACGACGGGCGGCGTAGCGGGCGCGAGGTCCCGGCCAACCGTGCCAGCCGCCCCTCCCATCTTCCACCGCATACCTCCCCCAACAACAGGGTCAGACGTAAGGGAATCATCTGCGCCGTCCCTTATCCCTCTCCTCCCTTCCTCCCCCTCCCCCCGTGCCATCAAACCCTCCCTCCCCCCTCTTTGATTGATCGACTTGCACTTATCTCATCAAATCTCTCATCCTATTCCGCCATTAGAAATACCGATATTACCCAAACAGGCACTTCAAGGGTGGCTCATAGTCTAAACCACAAACCTCCCTGACTGGCCGTTCTAGACATGGCTCTTCGTCCCGGCTATCACAATGTGGGTGCCTCTCCTCAAAGCTCGCAAGCCTCACGCCGCACTCGTCAGGCGCTCAACCGCGCGTCAAGTCATGTCGCGCCATGTCCGCCTTCCCGCAGTCATTCCGGGAATGGCGGTGCACCGTGTCCTGTGAGCTTGTGAGCTGCGAACCGCGCGTTCTATCTATCGCTGGCAGCAGGTGCGCTATATTCTCGCGTCGGGTGGTTGGCTCGTCTGATCGCCTCGCTCGCGATACCTGACCATTCCTGTCGAGGCTCGGTTCGAAGGTGGTTGCGTCATGTGACGGTGCGCTCAGGAGTGGTGCGCAGATTAGTCGGCACACGTACATCTCCCAGGTTCCTGAGGTCTCAGAGGATGCGACGTCTATGTAGAGAGGGGTTGTATGCAGGCCCATTGCTGCTCATCGCATGTTGCTTGACTGTGCATCAATCCATGACCATGGTTTGGGGGGGTTGGAGCGTCAGGACAGCCTGCTTGGAGTCGAGGCAGTGAGCAAGGGACGGAATCGTGGACATGATGATGATGATGTGACGAGATTTGAAGAACAGTTGCACTTTACACAGGTGGAGTTACGCGGTCTCATCCTGCCTGATACGGCGTCTGTCAGTGTCACCAAGCCTTGTCTTCAAGTTCTCTGCTGCGGACCGGTAGCCACCCATCGTTTCGTCCACACTGCAGAAGCGGCACACGACCGCTCCTCGCTCCTTGGCACCAGGTAGTCACGGGTTAGCGATCTACCGAGAGTCATTGCAGCCAGCATAACATGTATGGCAGATGAGCAGCGATCACCTCACGCTTGGCAGGCACATGGGTCGAGATCTCGCCGAGTCACCGCGATCATTGGTGTAAGCGAGATTGTACGGGGAGCGTCGTATCCCTCCTAGCTCATAGGCATCGCCTACTCACCTTCCGCATGAGGTGATGTCATTCCACATGGAGGAGCATCGAGGCACATGAGGACGCTGATCACTCTGCACACTCCAGTCGTCGCAGGAGTGTTTCAGGCCTGCTGGCCATCAGAGGGCGCATCCCAGTCCAAGTTGTGGGGCGCGGGGCGGCATGTCTGTCGCCTGATCGGCTATCGGATCGTCCACAAGTTCATGGTTCAGTGGATCGGTGGGTGTGCGCGTGCGCGGCGCGTGCGGGACGTGCGTCGCTCGCGTGTCGACCCCTCTCTCATGGCCTCTCGACTGCGTGAAGTTGGATACTCATCCAAGATAAACCGTACGAACCGGGCATGCACATGTGCTCGGATTACTCGGGTCAAATCTCATATAGTCTAGAACAGAATAGAGGCACATCTAGCTCCGTCGCTCTATCTCTGCCACCAACTGAACATCAAACGTTACGGCGACTTACGGCGACCTCGGGGTTGGCCGAGTGGCCGGGTTGACTGATAGGGCGAAGGATGCTATTCGCGCTATTCCGGCATTGCCTGTAATCGCCACCTTCCCCGCATTCCCCGCATCGCTCCCCACAGCATCGTATCGCCCGCCGCCACCATGTGCATGTTGTGCACGTTGTATCGTCCACTCACCACACCTCTCTACCCCTCATTCACTCACCCATCACAAACGCTACGCGTTTACTCTTTCTCTCTTCCCTCTTCTTTCCTCTTTGCTCACTCCTCAACGCCAGTGTCGCAGTCCCAGCCATGCCCGCCAAGGTCCACGTCTCGGACCACCCCCTCATCGCGACCCAGCTTACGCGGCTGCGGCTGCACGACCTTCCTCCTGCCGAGTTCCGCCATGGGATCAAGGCTGTCTCGTGAGTCCGGGTAGAGATGAAAGAGTAGCTATCAGCGATACTCGCTGCAGCGCCTCGTCACGTTGAAGCCAGAGAATGCACCATAGCGTCCTCATTAACCGTGGACGCGTTATCGCTGTTCGCGTTACGCTGTCTTCTCTCTGCCCTTCTGAACATTGCAACCTAACCACAGCTCAATGCTCATGTACGAAGCGGCGCGCGAGTTGCCCCTCGTCGACGTCCCAGATGTGAGTGTCGCTCACCCAAATACTTTCCTTCAAACGGGTTGGTCACCTGGAGCCCTCTCGCTCCCGTTATCACTACGGCGGGTTCGGAAGACGTACCTTCATTTCACCTTCTTGTTTCGCACCGCTCACACCAGCTGCGCTCCCCGGTGGCGGCATTCACCGGCAAAGCGATCGGCACGCGCATCGGCCTCTCCCCCATCCTCCGTGCGGGCATCGGCATGACCGACGCAGCCCTCGAGGTCTTCCCTGAGGCGACGGTGCTGCATCTCGGCCTCTTCCGTGATAAGGCGACGCTGCAGGCGATTGAGTGAGTTTGATGCCGATGGCGAGGAAGGTGCCGGCCAAACCACTCACGGAAGATACTACTCCAAGCTGCCCCGCGAACCGACCGCCGACATCGTCTACGTCCTCGATCGTGTGTCTTTCCTCAGGAAGGAGACCCAGCTAATGTCAGCCCTTATTGCGACAGGTGGCACAGCTGTGGCCGCGCTCGGCATGCTCACCGAGTGGGGTCTGCCTCCTTCGCAAATCAAGCTCGTCAGCGTCCTCGGTTCCAAGGTCGGCGTTGAGCATGTCACCGCCGAGTTCCCTGAAGTCGAGGTGGGCCGACAGCGCGTCCGATGACTGACGCTAGGTGTTTATCGGTGCAATTGACGCCGAGCTCACAAACAAGGGCTACATTTCGCCAGGCCTTGGTGACGCCGGCGACCGCATGTTCAACACTGTCTAGTTCTATTATGCACATATATCAGAGGCCCGTCTTGCGCCGGCGCAGGCCGCGCGCAAGATGATCGCGCGACACCTTCCACGGCTCGACGCGCTCGCTTTTGTTTTTCCCCTCAGTGTCGGAGGCGTCCGAGCCAAGCGGCGTGCCCGGCCTATCATACTGTCCGAGCGAGTGTGAGCGGCGCCCGCGCGTGAGCCAGCCCTGCCACCCGCGCGTGGAGCCTGTGCCGACATACATGACGACACGATCACGCGCCTCGCCGATCAGGCCGTCGCCATGCCCGGCATCAGCATCCCAATGGATACCTGTCGTGACGCCGCCTAGTGTGAGCTCCGCAACCGGTCTGTGCCACACGCGCACTCACTCCTCTCGAGGTATCGTCGCACACGCTCAGCGTCGACGATGATGTCCTTGCCGCCGAGGAAGAATGCCGAGCGGGTCACTTCGCGCGCATTCGGGATCTCCTCGACGAACAGCGTGTTATCGCACCAGTTGAAGTGGCGCTGGATATAGTTGGCTATGCCCACTTCTGACGCGACGAAGTAATACAGCGCGAGCTCGATTGCCTTGCGCGGCTTGCGATACACGAAGGAGAAACAGACATCTGGTGTCAACTGCCGCCGAAGTGCCCTACTCACCGCCCTCCCATAGACTGAACACAACGGGGTCGACAAAGCAGCTGCGCCGCACGAGCTCGGGCGCGTCCTTGAGAACCCAGCCATGGTGAACGCTACCGTTAGAGTGGCTTAGCAGGGAGATGCCTCCGCGGCCCTTTGGCCCGTCGTCGCCGTCCTCGAAGAATCCCCAGCGCGCACATGCGGCGCGCACCATCGCGACAAGCTGGGGACGCGTCCAGGGCCGGAGGTGGCGCGGGTCGAAGATCGCCTGCGCGGTGTGGTGCGCGATCGGGACCAGCAGCGGGTGCGTGGGCAGCGATTGTACGAGATGCTTGACCAGCAGGTGGTTCTGGAGGAGCCCGAAGCCGAGGCCGTGCAGGTACACGATAGGGTGGGCGTTGCGTTCTGTGCGCCCCTTTTCGGGCGTCCACCCCGGCGGGATGCGGAGGAGGTAGCTGGCGTAAGGAGGGCATGCTGTGGGCTTACTCGATGTCGCCCTCGCGATACAGATGCACGCCGCGGGAGGGGTACAGTTGACTGCGGAGAAACCAGTTGACGCTGTTGGCAACAGCGTAGATGAAGAACGGGCGGGACACCACGTTGACGGCATCGAGCGTTAGGCGGCAGATGGGGGCGGCAGAGCGACCGGGCGGAAATGTCGTACCGGTGCGCGCCTCGAGCATCGTGAACGTTCTGTCGAGGAAACGATTCTTCCTCGGCTGCGTACGAACCGCCTCGAGCGGCTCGTTAAATGTGCTCCATGCCAGCCAAGTGAGGACATCATCGGCGCGGATGCTGTCCCACGGCGCGTGATGAAACCTGGTGTCAGCACAAGGCCGAGGGGGCCAAGGGAGGAGGAAATGACAATGACCATGGAAGAAAGGGGTCGGAAAGTTGATCATAGCTGCTGCAAGAGCACTGCCATTCACCCTTGCCACACGTCAAGTCGCACCACTCACCATGTCCGCAGCTGCTCCCTAAACTCAACAGCGAGCGGATCCTCGGCTGCCAGAACGTGAGGATTCCCATTCTCATCGAACAAGGGATCCTCCTCCTCCCCAGGATCCATGTACTGCTCCGCAATACCCATCGTATCCGCCGCAGCAGAATACAGCCGTCCTCGCTTCCGCTGCCCCGCCGACGCGGGACCACCAGTAAGCGTCTCACCGGACGTCGCGCTCTCGCTCGGCGCTGCCAACCCATTGGGCGGCGCGGAGGCAGGTGCCACCCCGCTTATACGCTGCGCACGCTCCCGCACGTATCGGTCCCGTGGGGCACTGTAAGCCAGCCCCGCGTGCAAGACGCGCAAGAAGAGGTCGCTCAGGTCCTCGGGCTTGATGGCCGAGGGCGGAGCGACAGGCTGCACCCGCCGGGCGAGGATCTGGTAGTATATGCCAAAGGCGGCTTCGGCGAACGCCCATACTGCGCCTAGGGCGGCGAAGAGGGCCGGGACATCGGAGAGAAGGCGCCCGCGGAGCGCGTACCAGATTAGGTAGACACTGGGGTTAGCGGGCCCCGAGGCGACGCACTATGATAATGGCGTCACACTCCATACTGCTACACATATGATGAGGACGAGGTAGTACCCCACTGTCTTGTTGTAGCGGGGCGCGGGGCGCGGGTAGATTGTTGGTGGTAAGGGCGGGAGCTTGTCTCCGCTGTCCGAGAACATGGCTGGGACGGGGGAGGGGAGTAAACCGGGGTACGGAGAGGGATTTCACGGTGACCAAGACGTCCGAGATGTAATAAAGAGCGTGTAGACTGGGAGAAGCGGCAGAGAAGGAGGTGCCAGTAGAATGAAGAAGAGAAAAAGGAGCGACGCGCGCTCAGCTGGCGGAAATATCGCGACCGAGTACGGGGAGGAGGAGCCGATCACAACAGGCACCCCCTGGGTGATGTAATGCATCTCAAACCGACGCGTTCAGGACGTGTATCGACTACACGTGTTTCGGTCCGTGCACATTCCGCGCAGCTCTCCAGATCAGCCACTACTACGTACAAAAATATACAAACAATCTCGATGCCAAGCCTTGTCTATCACGTCTACACACCGGCGCGCACACGTGCCGTCGTCCAGTCCGGCACGATGCCTCCAACAACCCATCCGCGCTTCCGCTTACCCGCCAAAGCTCCACGAGCCATGCCCGGCCCCAGCTCGTCAATGTCCAAGCCCACCGCGGCCATCGCAATACCGAGCTCGTCGCGCTCCCGCTCGAGCGCAGCGCGGTATTCCTCTCCACGCGCAACAGACTCATTCACCCGCGCGTCGTAGTCTTCGCGCACGAGCTCAGGCGCCGACGTCTTGAGCGCACTACAGTTAGAATCGAGCACGACTTGAGGAAGCTCACCCAGACAACGATCCGCCAACCCATGCAACGAGGGACGGAGCCCATCTCGGTGCAGTACCACCACTTGCACTAGCGGCCCCGTCGAGCGGCGCGGGGTCGTTGATGATCGCAAGTCTCTTCGACAGACCGTATAACTCGGCATATGGCTCTTTGGAGCGCTGCCGCCACGAGGCGACCTCAGCGAGAGTGTCGGTGAAGTTAAGGGGTATGCCCTCGGCCGGGATGCAGCAGAGGAGCTGATTGCGAACGCGTGAGATGAAGCCCGGTAGGGCAGCAATGCCTCCTGTCACGAGGATGGAGGAGATCATGTCCGGGCGGAGGTCAACGGGAAGCTGAGGTCAGCTACCCAGTGTCGTCATGCAGCCTACCCTCTCAAGTGTGTGGAGGATAAGCTCGGGTACGGAGTCCTCTTCGTCTGGCCCATCGCCGAACAGCGTCTCGACAACGCGCTGCCGAAGCCAGCCCGGTACTACGAGACGCCCGCACGCGCCGGTCCCTCGGGGGGAGGGGATCGACAATGTCCAGTCTTCGGCCTGCGATGAGGCGTACCGCGCCGCCAGGATGTCGAGGAGGGCATCGTCCTCCAAGTCGGGTATCGGCAGTTTTGGCTCAGATCCCTCCAGGTCCATCGTCTGCGATGAGGGGGGCGGTGCTGTCTGTTCGGCAAAGCACGCCTCGGTGAGTACGCGTTCGACAAGCTGGTCAGATAATAAGGCAAGTGGGGGCGGTGTGGCGGGGGACGGTGTGCCCCCCCGTGGGGGGGCCGTGTACCGACCAAAGCGGCGGAGAAGGGCGCGGAGGCGCGAGAAAAGCGTCCGGCCAGCGACGGGACTTGAGCGAGCGTGAGTGTACAGCGGACGTGAGCAGAAGACCTGGAGTCAGATGCAAAAGACCGGGCAGTCTTACCGGGGTGATGGTGGTCTCCAGCCATCCAACGTCAACGACAAGGCCCGTGACTCTTCCGCTCGCCGCGAGTGCTAGGATAGAGCTCGGCGTGAAAGAAATACTGGGGCACTTCAAGTTGTCGAAGAGGGTTGCCGTGATGAGCTCCTTGACATACGTCGGAAGGAAGGTGTTCTCCACGACAATGACTTTGCGCTGCTTGCCATCCGTGAGGAGGTGTCTGGCGTCAGCACTGGCATTTGGGCATAGGCACGTACTTGTGGAACGTGTCGCGAAGGCGACGCTGAATGCGCACCTGGACGAGACGACGAGCCTCGGCGACGATACCGCGCGCGCCTGCTGTCGCAGAGAGGTCGAGGTCCCACACCTCCGATGCGCGGGTACGGTCGGCGAAGTCGGGTGCAAAGAAGCACGCGCGCGCGTCTGGCTCGCCGCTGAAGCCGACCTTCCACACTCGCGAGCCCGGGCTGGGATTAGATCCAACTAGCTAACCTATCTCACTCGATCACGATCCGGTCATCGTGGCCATAAAGAGACTGCCGACGAGCCGCCTGAAGTCAGCTTGATTGAGGGGCTACTGGTCGAAGGAGAAACTAACAGCATGTGCTGGTGAGCTCAGGCGTCGGCTTGGTCCCGGGTCAGCGCGTTTGGGGGTCTTGGAAGGTGAGGGTGGCCGCGGGGCCGCGTGCGTCGTTTGCGACATGCCTCGCGGTGTTGGAAGTTGAGGAATGGGCTCAGATCATGGAGATGCTACATGCTAGCTAGCTTGGGTGTGATCCCCCGAGATCGCGTCGGCCAGGCACGCGTGACTCTTTAGGTTCCGCAAGTGTGGCGCTTGAACACGTCGGTTTCGGCCTTGGACGAGTTGGTAGAGGTCACTGTTGCTCTGCGGCCAGCGAACATGCATACCGCCAGCTCCCCGAAGAGAGTGCGTATCCAACGCTTCGTCTCCCGCTCCACCCCTACCTTGCAGGGACAAAAACACTGCCGAGGGCACAGGGCAGCCGAAGAGCAGAGCAATCAACCTCTGAGACGGGCATTAGACGGTTGTTGCACGAGGTTGCTCTGTGCCTCGCGGGCCAGTCCGAGTCATTGGGAGGATTCGCAAGTCAACGTGACCTCTGAACAAGATTTCACCGCTCGATATGCATCGGTCGCTGCGCTTGTTCTGGTCTAAAGTCCCAGGCCCCAGGGCGCTGTGTCTTGCCTGGCTTGCCTTTGGGACAAACATCTCGTTACTCGTCCCGAAACCCCGAAGTGCCATGTGCCACCAGTTGAGCCGTGCAGGGAGCCACAGAGCGATGCGTCGTGCCGTGTGCCGTGGCTTTCGGGCCAGCGGCCTGTCACTCTCACTCTTGTTCCGATCGTTCACCACAAATAGTGGACAGTTATAAGTAGCGCTGCCCAAGTGTAGAACGAATGTAAAGACCTGGTGTCCTCGTAAGGAGCAAAGATGGGCACGGTGCGCGCGCTGGACCCACCCGAGTCTTCCAACGACGAATTCGACAGGATGTTGTCGCACTCGAGCGGCGAGATCAAGGAAGAGCGGGACGAGTATCCTCCCCAGCCCACCGTCGAGGCTGTGGAGCCTGCACCGAGTGGGGTGCTAACCGACGAAGACCGCCTTCGCATGCTGGGATACGATGTTTCGTTTGGCCGCCCGCTCGGCTTCTGGTCGAGCGCGGGCATGAACCTCTGCCATGTCTCCTTCGTGTACGAGTTCATCTCGCAGATCTCGCTCTACTCGTACGAAGGCCCCCTGTTGTTCGTGAGTCTTGACGAAGCCGCATCGAGGCGAGGCTCATCCACCCAGGTTATCGGCTTTCCGTTTCTCGCTCTCTTGCATTGTTGCCTGATCGGGCCGTTTGCGGAGCTCACGTCTACTTTCCCCGTTGCAGGCGGCATGTCTACCTGGGCATGGCAATGTGCCCGGCACGGCGTTGGCGGGGAGCGCTTCTGGGGATACTTTGTCGGCGGTTTTACTCTCGCCATGCACCTGGGCAAGGTGGGTAGAGCGCATCGGCGTAACGCTCACCCAGACCATCTCGAACATCTATGCTGTCGCGACGAGTATGGTCGTCGTCTACTACTCGACGGACCCCAGGGTCCGCAAGCTCCAAATCAAGAACATAGGTTTTGTGCCCCTCGATTACCAGAAGTGGTGGGAGCCCGTGTTCTATTTGGCTATCGTGACGTTTGTGGCGGTCCTCTGTCTCACCCGAGTGGCGCGAAACGGCACTTTTTGGATCGTTGCAGGCGCCTTCAACGTCGCCATAACGATTGCCGTTTATGGCCTCCTGATTGCATGTGCCGTTAGGCTCAAGTGAGTCTTCCGGTCTGCACTAACTTACATGCAGAACGACGCCGAGCCTGAGGAAGGACATCATGCCACTGAACTGGGGATTCCCAAGAAAGAAGATGTTTCCCTACAGCCTATCCCGCATGATATTTATGGGCATTCCAATCAAAGTGATGGCTGTCGACTGCCCTGTCCAGTGAGGTGCTTGGCGACGAGCGCTGACACTTTCAGCATGGCTGAGGAAACCCGTAACCCGTCGCGCACCGTTCCTCGCGTCCTTTGGACGACGACCATGTTCAACTTCATCAACATTTACATTTGCGTGACGCTGTTTATCGTCATCGTGGTCCCGTGGTCGCAGGGTGCGTATGGTCTATCTCCAATTGTGAGTAGTAGGACTGTCGCCTTCGCGGCTGACGTCGAGGTCCCCATCGGCATGATTCTCAACTTGAGCCCCGGGGCGACGGGGACTCTAGGCATCCTGGCCTCGCTCTGCGCTACGCTGCAGATCGTTGCATCGATCATGGCGACCTCGCGATTCATTTTTGCCTTGGCTCGTGACCATGGCATCCCATTCTCACGATTCCTGGTTAAGACGGACAAGCACAAGGAGCCCTGGGTGGCCATGGTGGTACTTATCGCTTCACTCTTCCTTAGCACCACCTGTTGGCTCGTCAATCGTCAACGTTACTGGGCTCTAAATCAAGCTTGGACCTTCTACTTCATCAACTTCCCTTACGTGCGTCTTGACGCCGAGGTACGGACACTGACGGCAGGTCATGCCCCTAATTCTCTACGTCTTCTCGCGCCTTGATCTTCGCCTCGTCGGCCGCGCAGAATTCTCCCTCGGAAAGCTGAGCAAGCCATTCGCGTGGGTCGCCATTCTCTGGCTCATCCTTGGGATCATACAAGGCAGCCTTCCTGGCACCTCATTCAATGGAAGCTTCTCGTTTGTGGATAGCAGTAAGTGAGCACTTACAGGCTTGCTGACTCGGAAGACGTGAGCAGGACAGTCCTCGCCTACCTGCCCATGATTTTCGGCGCCATGTGCGTCATCATGGTTGTCTCGTGGTTCATTTATGGTATGTTTAGCTTCGGTAGCACTAACGGCAGGCCGGCGCCACTACGTGGGTCCGATCCGCGCATTCACGATCTGGGCGACGGGTCAAGACGTGGACCCGCGCAACATTGACGCGGCCAATCCGCGGGGACAGGCGATCAAGCGCTTTATGGAACTGAAGACGGGCCGGAGCTCAGGCAACGGCTCACCACGTTCTAGTGTCGGGCCGCGCGTGACGATCGCATCGAGCCCGGGACGAGCAACGCGCCTCCCCCGCTTCAGCCGCAGCCCGACCACCCCCAGCCCTCTCTCCAGCCGCAACGAGTCCCATGGCCAAGTGTCAGCCAGTGTTCTCCCGGAGAGCGGCTTGCTCCGCAACACACAGATTGTCTCGGTGCTGCCCGAAAGTGGAATTTTCCCCGAGAGCGTACCCGACGACTCGATGACCGGACACACCACCTCTTACTCACAGATCACGACGGCCGCGCAAGCCGAGTCTCAGCTCCTACCGGAGACCGAGAGCTTCGCGCCCCGCGCGAGCCGCCGTATGGAGCCGCGCGCATCGACCGTCGTCATCGGTCGGGAATCATATTATCTCAATCAACGGTCGCCTTACGCTACACCCGCACCGCGGACCTCGCTGCCGCCGCCACCGCGGACGCGCAGCACCAAGGGCTTGATGACCCAAGGAGAGATGATGGAGCCCGCGCAAGAAGAGTCGCAGCTGGAGCCGCTTCCGCTTGACTCGGTGGGCCGTATTTGATCAAACTGCCACGGGAGCCACCACACTCCTCTTGAACTGTTGTGTGTAGGATCGTAGAAGATCAATAATTGTGCAATGCTAGACACCATGCATGTCATGAAACGCAAATATTGCTGCAACGCTTCGCATCAGCCGCACCTCACAGCTGAAATCAAGGACAGCACGATCGCAGAAGCTTGCCCGATCCGTCGTCAGGCGAAGCAACGCGTAACGAGACATGCCGTAACCTGCTGTTGATGATCGATCCGAGGCGCAAATTGGCTTCCTAGCTTCCATGCGTGGCATGTCCAAGCCGCAGCTGGGCGCCCATATGAAGGCACATTGCTTAGGCTCGCTTGAAACGCGCCTCGGCCGCCCGGGCGCGGCGCTCTCGCTCGATCTGCGCACGCATCTCGGGACTCAGACCCGCGAGACCAGACGACGCATCCAGCCGTCCCCCCAGCTTCTGCGGCCCAGAGGACGGGACGCCGAGCGACGCGAAGCTTGAAGGGAGTGGAGGCGCCTCCGGCTCGGGCTCGGGTTCAGCCTCCGCGCGGGCCCGCTCCCGCTCCTTCATCTTCTCGCGCAGCCCGCGGCGCCGCTCAGCCTTCTTCGCGCCCTGCCCTGCCTCGGCCTCCTCGCTCAGACCCGAGGGCACGTGCGCCGCCTGCCAGTCCCACAGCGTGGGGTGGTCGAATGCGATGCGGCGGAATACGTTGCGTACATTCTTGCTTGGCGCCATGTCGTAGGCGCGCTTGCCGCCCTCAAGCGGGGTGGTTGGGTCCAGCTTGGCTTCGAGAAGGAGGAAGCGGAGGACCTCCTCCTGAGCTGTCATGGCTGCCAATCCCAGCGTCGCAGGGGTAACTTCGGAGGGGTAGCGCATTGAGAAGGTACGCACAGCATCGACGCGGCCCTTCCGCACCATGTCTTCCAGGCGCTTGGCGCGGTCCTGGCGCGCCTCCTCTTCTGGCGAGAGCTTGGGCACGGGTGCGGGTGCAGGAGTGGGGGCAGGAACAGGCTTGGCGATGGCCTGCTTCTTCGGCTGCAGTGAAGCGATGTACGCCTCGTCTTGCGCCGCGAGCGCCTCAGCCGACAGATGCGACACCTTGACGCGCGTCAGTTCGTGCCAACACCGCAGAAGTTCCTGCTGCGTTGGACGGCGGGTCGGGAAAGGGAAGGAGCGGATGCGCGGGTCCGTCTTATCGAGCACAGCCCCATCATAGCCCCAGAAGCTCTTCTTGCCGTGGGTGCTCGCACGGATGAAGATCCGTTCGCACATCTCGAGGTCCTCTTCCCACTCGGACAGGAGCTCGCGGATCTCGTCCTGAAGAGCTTGCTCGCCGTAGCGACGCAACATTGCACCGGCGGACACAGCTTTCGACTTGGCATTGTCGTTCAAGCCCTGCGAGCCACCCTGCTTGCGACGGGCTAAAGTCAATTGCTGTTAGGCGTCACAGACTCACTCGTATAGCGATGGAATGTCTTGTGTTGAAGCACGCGTACGTCGCCCGCACCCTTGACTTCCTGTCGCTCGCTCTTTCCGCGAGGCCGCAGGCTGATGACCATACCCGCAAAGTGGCCGCCAGCAACCATGAAGAGGCCGATGCGCCGCTCCTCGTCCTCGGGCACAGGTGGGCCGAGCTGCAACCGCTTCAGTTCGTTGAGGTAGTCGCCTGCCGTATCATACGACGGGAATAGGCTACGGTAGACGCCGATCTGGGTGTCTGGCTCAATCCCCAGCGCTGGCGGTGTGTTCTTCGCCTGGAACCAAATCACGGCAGTGCGGAGGTGTGCGCGTCGGCGCATATCCGCGAGCTCGGCCTCCTCGTCCGAGTCTACTTGATCCTCCTTGTCCTCAACCTTTGTCTTCTTCAGGAGGCGAGTGATTCGATCTTCTGACGACGCTGATGATGCTGATGCCGAGCCAGATATAGAGGACACGCCTGATGTCAGCGCAGACCCATGTCCGTACACACCATCTACAACGTTGTCAAATTCGTCCGCAGTCACGGTCTTGCTGGCATTCAGTTTGGCCTTGGCATTGTATCGATGCCAATCGGTCTTGAAGTGCGCGCGATGATCTTCTGGGGTGTCGAAGGCGGCGCCTGGACATGTCTGGCACCCGAGCCCGGCGCTCGAAGCGGCTGCTAAGGGATGAGCCTCTGGCTGCGCGTCCGCATTATCCGCTCCAGCTGTGGCTTCTCCCTCGCTCTGGATCGAACGAACCGACAGAGCTTCGAGAAGTTCTGGCGGGATTGAGTAGACATTCAGTGATCGATTGGGATGGAACGATTGAGATGCCATGGTTGGAAGGAAAAGTAGGCGAAGAGATGCAGTGATGTGATAGTGAGATAAAGTGAGGGATGGAGCGAGAGTAGATGCTTTTGAACGTCTTACAGCTGCGCTGAGTGCGAGTCGAGTGGTTATGAGATGTCGGACCCGGACCTGTGGTGATCACAACATTTATTGATGCTCGCCGAGTCGTTGGAACCACGCGTACGTCACCACTGGTGGTGGATCTGCGACAACGTCACGTGATTCAGTGCAGGGGATAGATCTATTGAGCCATGTGGGAGCCATGCGTGTCGTGTCGTGGGATGAGAGAATGGACCGTTCGAAACCCTCGGACCGCCCCTCCCAATTTGCCTCCACTGCCCCTTCCCCTCCAGCACGCACCGCTGTCATCACTGCGCAGCCCTCGCTCCCTCCCCATCCCCGCCGCACCGCGCGCCGCCCCTATCTCACAACCTTCCATCCATTTCCTCTTCCTTTCTCACTTCTCTCTATACCTTACTTCTCACATCCGCATCTGTCGAGACATCGCACACAATGGCCGAGCAGCTGGTAAGCATCTCCGTCGCCCCTCCGCAAACATTGCGCTTCTCGTCGTTGCGTCCTTGTCTGGTGGCGGAATGTCGGACTTCTTCCTCCCCTCCGCGCTTGCACGCTGACCTGCAGACCAAGGGTGTGTAGACTTACTCTTTGTGTGGACACTGTACTGACCTCGCGCGTGATGCGCCGCGCCGACAGAGCAAATTGCTGGTAAGTACGCGCTGTGGCGCGTCGATGCAGGCTGCGTCGAGCGCGAGCCACAAATAGCTCCAGGTTGTGCTTACGTTTCTCAGAGTTCAAGGAGGCCTTCTCTCTCTTCGACAAGGGTGAGTGTAACTCTGCACCTGTTGTTGTTGTCTGGCTGACGCGTCCTGCTCCGATATATACGGCGTCAATGATCACACGGCGTTGCATGGTATCTTCTCTCTACCACTTTCCACCATTTCTACACCTTCCTTGCGTTGGCCGCGGTCTCCGGTGCAGATGGCGACGGAACCATCACTACCAAGGAGCTCGGCACCGTCATGCGCTCTCTTGGCCAGAACCCCACCCAGGCTGAGCTTGAGGACATGATCAACGAGGTACGCATCTCGGCATCGCCATGAACGTGCTTCGAGCTCACGGTTCGCAATTTCCTGGTACTGATGTATCCGACACGCGCCGACTTGCTTGAATCCTTCACCCTGCGCCCTCCTTGCTCATTCCGCTTGATCTCGGCGCCATCCCATCGCAGGTTGACGCGGACGGGAACAACTCCATTGACTTCGCCGAGTTCATGACCCTCATGGCGCGCAAGATGCACGACACTGACTCGGAGGAGGAGATCCGTGAGGCCTTCAAGGTGGGTTTCGCAGCGGGTTGGATGTAGCCAAGGTGGCCGGGCAGTGCTGAGCTGTGGAACACATGATCTGACATCAGGTCTTCGACAAGAACAACGATGGTCACATCTCTGCTGCGGAGCTCAAGCACGTTATGAGTAAGTGTTAGCGATCTCATGCCGCTCCCAGGGCACGTCCGAGCTCACCGGCTAATGCATAGCCAACCTGGGCGAGAAGCTCTCGGACGACGAGATCACCCAGATGATTCGCGAGGCCGACAAGGACGGTGATGGCATGATCGACTACAACGAGTTTGTCACCATGATGATGGCCAAGGTAAGTGGCTGCACGCTGGTTCTGAGTTTTTTGTCGTCGTAGACAAACATATGCGCTCAACTTGGCGCCCAACTTGGCGCCCATGTGCTGGACAGGTCCAAGCACTGGGAGGGCTGTGCCAAGTCATGCTGTGGTGTTATGGATGGCCGACTTTCGGACGGCGACCCTGAGTCATACGCTGACACCGCGCAGTAAACGTCGACCGGTAATGAGATATGTCCTGCCACCGGTGTGCGGGCGTATTAGCAGTATATGTAAACTTGGCAGACTTGCAGTGATATCTGGCAAGGCGGCAAGCTGGCGCTTCGTGATGCGTGACGATCGTGATGGGCTGTTGGAATATTGGAGTCGTTGCTGGTGAGCATTCCGCTGCCGCTAATCTCGAAGGGAGGTGGATGGCGATATGGCGAGGAATGCGAGGAACGGGTCTCGAACTGGATCAGCTCCGATGTGCAGGGCAGCTGGCCTATCCGCATGTGCATGGAGCGCATGCCATGTTCACCAATTCACCAATGCGTGCGCTACGCTGGAGCGCAATTGCGCAAGGTGGTACTGCGCAGCCACTCAGTTCGATCAGTCGCAGACGTGCTGCACAAGGCCCCTCTTTGCATCTTTCAAGTGCGTTTCAGGGGACACATGACGTCACTATGCGTTCCAATGCCCTCACCTGTCAAGTATGATTGATGGCTCTCACGCCCGCGGCGCTCTGACGGCTTACGTCCTCCGGTCTGCATGCTCATTCTTCTTCGCGGCGTGCCCGCCCTGACACCGGCGGCCCGAGCTCCGGCAATTGGGGCGGAAAAGTGAGAAGAGGCTAGGACGGACAGCTAGGAGAAGGAGAAATGTGTGACGTACCTGGGTCCGGCGGCAGATGGAGTGAACCCTGAACACACCCACCGATGAGATGAGAGATGAGGGAGATAACCCCACCATGCACACCAAGGCCACCCCACGCGCTCGCTCTCGTTCCTCGCGCCTCGGCTGACCGGTTGACGCTGGTCGGCTGGGCCCTGCCTCCATGGCCTTGGCTGCCTTTGCTCTACTGCTGTTCTGCTGTAGTGATGCAACAGTGATCCAGGCCAACCAGCTGCAGCGCTACAGCAACGCTCATCCCCTTTAAAAACCCAAGGTGATCGTCATCTTTCCACATCTCCTCAATCTCTTCACTACACACCTCATCTCCCCTTCACGTCCACCACCTCAACACATTTCACGTGAGTGGCCTCAGCCGTGCTGTGTCTGCAATTCTGCAAACAGAGGCTAAGCAGGCCTGTCTATCAGCTATCAAGTACCGACCTCGTCTTCATCGCTGTCATCGCTGTCATCGCTGTCATCGCTGTCAACGATGTTAGCGTCAACCTTCCTTGGCTTGGCTCACCATGGCCGTCCACTCACTTCTGCGCCAGTCGCTGACTCTCAGCAACATGTCCATCCCCAAGACCATGAAGGCCCTCGTCTACGACGAGCCCCGCAAGTTCTCCGTCAAGGAGGTCCCCGTCCCCGAGATTGGCGACAACGAGATCCTGCTCAAGGTCTCCATCTGCGGCTTCTGTGGCACTGATGTGAGTAATTCAAGTCGCCGGCAACGTTGGTCGAGTTGGAGGGCTCCGTCTCAGACATCTTCCTCGAGCAGCGCTGACCCCAGGGCCACATCCACGAGGGTGACTTCAACCCCAAGTTCCCCCTCATCCCCGGACACGAGGCGGTCGGAAGCATCGTCAAGATGGGCTCCAAGGTCGACCAGTCCAAGTTCAAGATCGGTGACCGTATCTGCGCCGATGTTGGCAGTGAGTACCTTCTCGCCGACTTCTGAGCCCTAGATAGGGGATATGCGGCATTTAGAGCCGGCAGAATGATTTCAGCTAACCGCCAGTTCAGTGCACCCGGTGCCACTACTGCCGGCGCGGCCAGACGCTCATGTGCGAGAACATGACCGCCGCCGGTGTGCAGACGGACGGTGGCTTTGCCGAGTACATCAAGTACCCACAGGAGAAGTGCTTCGTGATCCACAACCTGTCTGACGAGGACGCCACTCTACTCGAGCCTGCTTCGTGCGCCGTTCACGGCATGGACAAGCTCCAGATGCCGTTCGGCGCCAGCGTGCTTCTCATCGGTGCGGGCCCCACCGGTCTCATTCTCGCGCAGCTTATGAAGCTCGGCGGTGCGTCCAAGGTCACCATTGCTGCCAACAAGGGTATCAAGATGGACCTTGCACGCAAGATTGGAGCCGCGGACGAGTACATTGACTTGGACCGCGAGAACGCCGACGCGCAGTGGGAGCAGATCAAGAAGGACAACCCGTACGGCTTTGACGTTGTTGCCGAGTGCACGGGTGTGCAGAAGATTGTTGACATGGCCATCAACTATGTGGCGCGCTCGGGCACTCTTCTCGTGTACGGCGTGTACGAGGGCGACGCGAAGGTCAACTGGTCGCCGGGCAAGATCTTCGGTGATGAGATCCGCATCATCGGTTCGTTCTCGCAGGTATACTGCTTCCCGCGCGCGGTCGCGTTCCTCGACTCGGGCAAGGTCAACGTCAAGGGCATGGTGACGGACGTGTACACCATTGACCAGTGGCAGGAGGCGCTTGACAAGATGAACTCGCGCAAGGCGCTCAAGATCGCCATCCGCCCCAACTAGGCGGTAGGCGGCATCGGCCGAGAATCTAGTCGTGGCTAGCAGCAAAACGCATGGACGGAGGCATGTTTCGATAGGGTAGTTGTGCAACAGCAGATGTAGCATTGTCTGGCAGCTGGCAAGTTGGCGATTGGCGAGGGGGCAGGGGTGTGTGATGGAGGGAGGACAGAGAGGGCGAGCGGTGTCGGAGGTCAGTCGAGCCACTTTTGCCCGCCAAGTTCTGCCCGCTTATCACGGATCTCGGGCGCAGGCGGTGATCGAGCCGGCTGGCTGCGTGACGGAAGAGGGCGCGGCAGCACAAGTCAGTTCAGCAGAGAAGCATGTCCGATACCCAATGTGGCATGGAAGTACCAGTAGCGGAACACGACGGGCTGCGGGCCCGGACACCAACCGTCGCCTGTGCCGGGGCGTGCACTGCACAGCTAACGAGCGACGGCCACCGCTCCAACGATATGCGCGTCGTGCCGCTCTCCACCTTGGGGTCGCCCGCGATCGCCGAACCCGCCCATTACCCAGCCCACGGGGCACCGACCCACGCCGACCCGCCTGATCCTTCGAGTGCGTTTCGCCCCTAGCCCACCTGCCCCGTGATATTCGCACGGGGCGCCGAGATAAGCGGGGATGTGTAGACGTGTGCACGAGGGTGGGTGTGCTGTGCAAGTTGGGGGCCGGGGGTCTATGTGGGCAAGTCTTGAGACGCTGTCCGATCTGGGTGGAATGTTGATTTGGAATGTGGCATGTGGCAGCGAGAGGCAATGTAGGCAATTAGGCAATGGCGGCGCAGGCAGATGGCGGCGCAAGACAATGGCGCGAAGCAAATGGAAGGAAGGTCAACGCGCAGCGCGGTCGGTGGCGCGCACAGACGTCAAGCGCGTCCAGTACGCATGGCTGGGAGTATGGGAGTGGAAGTGGCATGTGGCATGTAGTTTGTGGCGGACGATGGACCGCGTTGCGTCTAAACCCCCCGTCTGGCTGCACCCCACCCGTCCAGCCTGCTCGCGGATGCTCCTCCCAAACGCCTACCTCGCTCAACTATGCATGCAATGATATCTAGGCAGCTTGCGCTGCTGATCTTGAAAGTCTATCGCCTCGCCGCCTCCTCGACGCTGAGCACAACTTCTTTGCCGCCGACCGTCCCCGTGCGGCCACTCACGCCGAACGTGAGCGCGTATCCCGGCGGCAACTCGGTGCCGGCGGGCGGGAGCTCGAGGAGCGGCCACGACGCCGCGACAGGCTTGATGAGCGTGATGTCGACCTTTGTGCCCAGGATCCGCGCGCGACACTTGTCCGGAACGATAGGCCCGTAGAGCGTTAGCGTGCGCTGCACGCGCTTGTTGCCGGGGAGGTAGAGGTCGAGTGTGATGCTCTGGCCGGCGAACGACACGCTCGAGCGCTCCTTGTCCGCGCTGTTGTCAGCCATGTCTCAAAGGAACCCACCCTTTCGCATACGCCGACACATGCACCTCCATCGGCGTCTGGTAGTGGTCGACGCGGCAGTCGACGAGCTCCTCGCCGCGCTCTTCGCTGGCAGGCGCGCCCACAAACAGGTGCCGCCCCGTCTTGCACCCGGGTATCTTGAGGAATTGGTCAAACTCGAGCACGCGCGGTTTGCAGCACAGGTATCCCTTCGAGCCTTCGTGGAACACGGGCTGGTGTGAGTGTGAACGTGAGGTCAACCCACCTTCTGCGGGTGGTATGTGCACACGGCGTCGGGCCCGTCGCCGCGGCTCGCGGCGGCGCCCCGCCACGCCGCGCCGCACCCGAAGCGCTTGCACTTCGCGCCGTCCGGCACGGGGAGGGACTCGTCGTCCTCTTCCTCGACGGGAGCTGGCGTCGGCGGCGCTGCTGGCGCGATCGCCGACTCGGGCACTTCAGCCGGCGCCGGCCGCGCCGATCCATACACCTCCACGCCGCCAGCCGTCGTTTTCGGTGCTTCGGCGACGGGTGCCGCCGGCGCCGGCACCTCGGCCTTCGAGTCCGTGTGCCGGCCACGTGCGCACGGCGGGATCGCCATAAACTGGTCGAACTCCATCACGGGCTTGCTTGTTTCATTGCAGCATGCTGGCTGTCAGCGGCGCGCGCGAAGAGACATACACCACGACTTGAGGCCCTCGTGGAATACCGGACCGCCGGGGTGATACGCGCACGCGTCGTCGGCGTTCGACGACTCGTCGTACTCTTTTCCGCATCCCTTGTTTGTGCAGCGCGGCATGGTTGAGTGTTGGAGAGACGGTGACGCTGGTGACGCACGAAGGTGGAGGAAGGTCGGAAGAGTGGAGGATGGAGGAGTGGAGGTCTGGAAATCTCCAGAAGAACACGTGTGCCACGTGGTTGTGGCACCCGTCACGCAACGCTGCGGCGATCGCGAGCCCCACCGCGCCGACAACGCCGGTCCACGCTCCGTAAACTAGGGGTCGTAGTTGTGGCATATGTATCATTCATCTCTGTCAATGGATGCGCTTATCGCCGCCTTGGGCGCCAGATCTCGCGTGTCCCGCCAGGCAGCTGATAACTCGTCCCGAGCCCATTCATGGCTCCAGACCAGAGGCCTCTCCCTCTCTCCCTCTCCTCTCCTGCCTCTCTCCTCCTCCCTACCCGCTCCCAGCACAAACAATGAGCCAAGAGGCCATGCCAGGAGCCAGGCCCCGGATCCCGGAGGCTTATCGCAGACGTCACGGGCACGGATGTGGCGCGCGTATCTCGGCGTCGTGGCTCCACACTGCTGCACGTCAGAGTGATATAAGAATGGCGTTGCGCGATGCAAACCGATCGCCTCGCCATCTTTCTGCACTCACTTGTCACGCACACAAAAATCCCCATATCTCGGTCCAATTCAGCACCTCGGCGTGCAGATAGGAGCACCCCACCGGCCCACTGCGCCGAGCGGCAGCGTGCCCCGGTGAGCGCGGACGCCGCCATGTGGGGCCTCCGAGGCGGATGGAATTTGGACTAGCGAGGGGCTGGCCAACCCCCGACTGGCAGTTGGCCCCCTGTTGCTGGTATTCGTGAGCATATGACTCGCCGCCACCTTTCCAGATCATGGCCCCCCGTTCCACCCACCCAGAATTGTCACCAGAACCCCTCGGAACCCCGCGTCGGCCGAGCACCCCTTATCGCGTGGATCCACGGTCTCTGGGTCGTCGAGAGCATCCATCGCACACCAATAAAACCCGATGATAATCGCCCTCGGGCCGGCGGCACCGCCCAACGTGACCATACCTCCTTCGCAACGCTGTCCCCGCTGTCGTACTCCCGTTCTCCGCGCCGACTCCACACCCTGCGGTTCCAATTCATCGCACGCGTCGGGCAACTGCATCATCACGCGTTATCGATGGAAATGCTGTGGAGACCCCGGATATCGGGCGATCTCCGAAGGCACGTGAGGGACCAGGAGGTGGGCCGGGGTCAACGTCAGCCAATTGTCCACGGGCCAATTAGATTCGCAGGCGGCATCGCGCTGATACGGCGGCGGCATCTGACTGGTGGAGGGCAAGACGGGGCGAGGCGGCGCATAGGCCCGCTCGCAGGGGCCTAATGACGAGAGCGTGCGATGCGAAGGGCGGAGGCGGAGGGCGGAGGGGGGGGGACGGATGTGGCCGGGCCGTTTGAACACCGCGATCCACCGACGGGAGGAGAGGCACGAGGTGGCATGTAGGAGAGCTAAAAGAGGCTAGAGGGGGGGAGAAAAGAGAGATGAGTGGCGCATCCAGGGGGATGGGAGGATGAGATGCAATGGAAACGAGGAACGGGGCCGGAGCGGGGGTGACGGAGAAGTGGAGTGGAGGGGTATGGAGGGGTGATGATTGGGTGGGGGATGTGGGCATGAGCCCCTCGGCGCGATGCCTCGATGGCCTCGAAGCTCGACGGCCTCCACCGCGATCTGACCGGAGTGGAGAGAACACAAATGGCATTTGGGCCGAGGCTCCACAATGGGATTGGCTATTCCTCCATCATCCCTCCATCTCATGCCAGCCAATACAACCTCCAGACGCAGGCAGACGTGCCGTTCTAATGCCCTGGGCGCTTGTGATAACACGGTTCCTCTCCTCCCATTGGCCCACCCCGCTAGCCCCGCTCCTGACTGTCACTATCTCTCGACACGCACAGGCCCGGAAAGAGCCGGCGTTGGCCCCTTTGGATGCCACTCTACCCACTCTCCACCACCCAAAGCGCTTCGGCCTCATCGGCGATCGCCCGCCCCGCCCAGCAAGCCCAGCCGCCCAGCAATCCCACCAACGCACGGCCGAGTCCATACAACCTTTCTTTCTCCCCCGGCTTTGGCCTTCCCTCTCCCCCCCCCCGCCCCCGCCTCCCGCTCGCCCTCCTCGCTCCATCATATATAGACCTCGCGCAGACATCTCCCACTCCTCTTCTCCATCAGTCTCTCTCTCTTAGAAATCTAGTCTCCCCTTCCCCTCCCTCTCAACACCCAATCTAGCTAGCAACAATGTCCAACCTTCCCGTCGAGCCCGAGTTCGAGCAGGTGAGTCTTTCCTCTTCCGCTGCCTCATCACACGACTACTCCACACACCTTGGCAACATGGTTTTCTCCTCATCTCCCGATTCCGCTCCAACAGCCAGCTAACCCTCTCAGGCCGTCCACGAGATCGCCTCGACCATCGAGCCCTTCCTCGCCACCCACCCCGAGTACCGCAAGGCCTTCGAGGTCGTCCAGATCCCCGAGCGTATCATCCAGTTCCGTGTCACCTGGGAGCGCGACGACGGTTCGGTCGCCGTGAACCGCGCCTTCCGTGTCCAGTTCAACTCGGCTCTCGGCCCCTACAAGGGCGGTCTCCGTCTTCACCCCACCGTCAACCTCTCCGTCCTCAAGTTCCTCGGCTTTGAGCAGATCTTCAAGAACGCTCTCACCGGCCTCTCCATGGGTGGTGGTAAGGGTGGCTCCGACTTCGACCCCAAGGGCAAGTCGGACAACGAGATCCGTCGCTTCTGCTACGCCTTCATGCTCGAGCTCTCCCGCCACATTGGCGCCGACACCGACATTCCTGCCGGTGACATTGGTACCGGTGGTCGCGAGATCGGCTTCATGTTCGGTGCCTACAAGAAGTACCAGAACGAGTTCGCTGGTATCCTTACCGGCAAGGGTGACGACTGGGGAGGTTCGTTCATCCGTCCCGAGGCTACCGGTTTCGGTCTTGTCTACTACGTGACTGAGATGCTCCGCGACCTCGACAACACCGACTGGGTCGGCAAGAAGGTCCTTATCTCGGGCTCGGGCAACGTCGCTCAGTTTGCCGCCCTCAAGGTTATCGAGCTCGGTGGCCACGTTCTCTCGTTCTCGGACTCGACTGGTGCTCTCATCGCCACCGACGGCCAGGGCTTCACCCCCGCCGACATTGCCGCCATCGCCGACATCAAGCTCCGTCGCCAGGCCCTCACCGCCTTCCAGCACGACGGCCGCTTTGAGTGGCACGAGGGCAAGCGCCCCTGGACCCTCTTCGAGAACGCCGACGTTGCCCTTCCCTCGGCCACCCAGAACGAGGTCAACGAGGACGAGGCCAAGGCGCTCGTTGCTGCCGGTGTCCGCTACGTCGCTGAGGGCTCCAACATGGGCTGCACCCAGGAGGCCATTGACGTCTTTGAGGCTACCCGCAAGCAGTGCACCTCGCACGGCGACTCGGCCGGCGTCACCTGGTACGCTCCCGGCAAGGCCGCCAACTGTGGTGGTGTCGCCGTCTCGGGTCTCGAGATGGGCCAGAACTCGCAGCGTCTCAAGTGGTCGCACCAGGAGGTCGACGCCAAGCTCAAGGACATCATGATCACCTGCTACACCAACTGCCGCGAGACCGGCAAGACCTACGTCAAGGACTCGGCCATCCCCTCGCTCGTGGCCGGTGCCAACATTGCTGGCTTTGTCAAGGTCGCCAAGGCCATGCTGTGAGTATTCTTGTTTCTTTCTCACTGCAACGGAGCAAAGGCTGACTTTCAGTGACCAGGGTGACTGGTGGATCTCGGGCAAGTAAACTGCTCGCGAAGCAAAACTGGCAGCTGAGCTGCCCATAATTTAGCAACAATCACTGTAGAGCGCGAGTCACGGGTGTGACTCTGCGCGCATAGCATAGGGCCGCTGCATGATGCAGCATGTGTGTATACCTTACCGCAATACGCAGTGGAGCTGCTTCAGCTGGTGGAGCAAATCGGACTGATTATTCGGCGAACAAAATGGCATAATGGCCCGCCCATGTCAGCCAGGGGTGGCGGTGGCGCAAAGTTTATCCTCCGGATAATGAACCGTGATCGGCTGAGCTGTTCCTGGGCGTCACACGCAGCGCCACCTCCGCATCGGGCGCATTCGACCATCCGCATCTTTTCGCGATAACGACGCGCCCGAGCCACCACGATTTCCGAGTATGCGGGAAAGCGACGAGGAGCCTGCGTCGATCGATTCGATGTAACGGCCAGCGCGGCCAGTGCCAGGCATGGGCAATGTACCTTGCAAACAACCGTCACCAGCGAGGTCGACGGCGGCACGGCGGCCAAGACCTACGCAAACCGTGTCAGAAACCATGATCCAGTCAGGCCGTGGTAGGCCGTCGGAAGATCGCGGAGCAGACACGCCGCGGCCGCCGGGCGCCGCTGCGAGCGGACGCTAGCCCCGGTCATCCCGGCGGCACGTGGTTCCCCGCCTCCACCCGCCTCCACCTCCACTTCCACCCCGACCCTGCGTCGTCGGCCGACAGCCACGCCGATCTCGATGCCATGGCAATGGGAATATATGGACAGCTCCATTCCTTCGCTTTCGTCCTTGGCTGTCCTCGGCGATCCTACATGAAGGGGAGGCCGTGATGGCCTGCATGTATCTCACAGCTCTGCGGTCCTTGGATTACGAGGAGGCTAGTTGACGTGTCTTCCCGACGTGTATGGTCGTACTTGATTATGAAGTGGGCTCATCGTCACAAAAGTGGAGGTGTCGAGCTCACTTGCCATGCCATGCCACACGGTCAGTTCGACCCCTCGGATATGTGCTGCACACCTGACAGGTGTGGAGTTCGTCAGGGATGGTTCCAACTAGAAGCTGTAGCTCTGATTCGGCTGCGATACTCTCACAAACGGTTGGAAGAGGCCACCGGATTCGTGGTTGTGAGACAGCCACGAAGTGGTTGTGGACAAGGCTGCCACGGAACTACAGAGCTCCGCCTGTGGTGTAACTGTAATTTTGTGATCGATTTCTGCATCAAATTATCGAAAGCAGTGGTACTTGGCGTGGTGGTCCTGCGGTCAATGGGAACAGGTTTAAGCAGAGAGAGAGGTAGGCTGGCGCATATGGTCTATTTGTAGTTCACATTCCAGGGATTGGGACGCGTCGACGAAGCCTCATTTCACCTCGTACACTGGGCTCAAAGGCTCGATTAGGAGGCGCACGCCGCGTGCACTGCTCTTGACCATAGGACAGGCTGCACAGCAGATCAGGAAAGAACGCGTCTGGAATAGAGGCGGCATGACGCAGGCACGATGCGCTGGGTTAATTATGGAACTACGCGTGAAATGTGTGGCATGGCCCAACCTTGCTCGCGGCTCGCTTGATGGCTTGCTCCCTGCTCACCTCATCCAGCCATGCTCACGCATGCACGCAGCGTCTCCCAACGCGCACCGTTTCTCATACTGCGCTGCGTTAAAGTTGCTCCCAAAAATACCACGCCGTGGCACCCTGCTTTTGGATCCACAGGAGAATGGGGTCCATTGTGGGGGAGTTGCAGTCGACGCTCGTGTTTGGGTCTCACCAATGCTGCGCCCTCGTCTGTGATCCGCTTGGTTGCTGGTGTCGCGCGCTGGACTCGGATGTGCCATTTCCGTCAAGTCTGCATCGATCTACTAACGCTCTTCCTTTATTGCTTCACTCTTTTCCTCTCGTCAACTCTGGTGTCGCTTTCGTCTGGTACTCCTACATCCCACTCTCTTTTCCTCGCTCCTTACTCCCGACACCGGCCCTTGCCTCTGGACTAGGCTGACGACCACCACAGAACAGTGAGGCCCTCCCCACTCGGCGCCGCCTCTCAGCTAACCCAACAGCCCCGCTCTCCTTCAACATGTTCGCCCTCCTCCTCGCCGCCGTAACGGCCATCACCGTTGTCTCAGGCGCGCCCATCCAGAGCAGCGACTGCAAGCGCTACAACGTCGACAAACTCGAGGACTATGCCACGTACCACTTCCGCTACGTCGCCCTCGACTGCCGCACCCAGCACAACACCACCTTCTTCGACGACTGCTGCCGCCCCCTCCGCCAGGGCCAGAACCTCACCGAGATCCGCCCCGCCCAATGCATCCCCAACGACACCCAGATCGCGTCCGCTTCGTCCCACATAGCCTCTGCCACCGCGGCCCTCCCCACCCCCAGCGCATCTGGTACTGGCTACGACAGCTACGCTGGCCAGGCCAACTCGACCGAGGGTCAGAAGCACGACGACGGCGCCGCCGCCGCTTACTCGTCCGACGGCGCGTCCTGGTCTGCTCCTTCCCAACAGGCTACACCCACCCCCGATGCATCATCTGCTCCCTCGTCTTCTCCCTCGCCGTCGCCGTCGCCGTCGCCTGCAGTCAACGCTGAGCAGGCTGCAGCCCAGTACCAGCAGCCGCCTCAGGGCATTTCGTCCTCGGAGGACGCTACTACCTCGTCATCATCGTCTCAGCAGCCCCCCTCGCCGACCTCATCCTCGGAACAGCCCAAGGAGACCTCCACGGGCGACAACAACCAGGGCAACAGCGGCTCTTCTGACAACCAGAGCGGCGTCAACCAGGGCGGCGAAGCGACGTTCTACGCGCAGACCGACGGCGGCCTCACTGGTGCTTGCGGCGACGTGCACTCGGACAGCGATCTCGTCGTTGCTCTGTCGACCAAAGGGCAGTGGTACCCGAACACGGGCGAGAAGTCACCCTACTGTGGTCGCCAGGTGCAGATCTGGCCCGCGGGCAGCTTTGCCGGCCAAGGAAACGTAGTCACAGCGACTGTTGCCGACGCCTGCCCTACATGCTCAAACGGCAACAGCATCGACCTCTCGTACGGCACTTGGGACGCCATGGGTATTTCGCGCGACGTCGGTGTCGTCCCCATCGACTGGAAATTCATCTAAGGTTGTTCGTTACTAGGGCCGGCTGCGCCTGCCTTGTCTTCGTCACCCTTCTCTCTTATTTTATATCGCACTTTGACTCCTCCTTTCTGCAGGCTGGGCCTGCGCATCCCCCTTCATCTTTGTAGATGCTTGAATGCAGCGCGTTCTTGTGCGGTCAGTTCTTAATCTGATATTTCCGTTGTGAAACTGATCAAACCGGGTGGCGACGACATGAGCGTCATCTCAGTCACGTGCAAAGGAGCCGACGATCCCTTCAACCTCCATTTACTGTCCTCGCGCGTTCAAACGTCAATCCCATTCCCTCATCGCATGTTCGCTTCTCTCCGTCACCTCGTATACCGACGCCTTGTTATACCCACATCCAGCCTATCGCCCAGTGCACAAGCAGTGTTTGAAGGCCTCAACTTGTGCGTCGAGCTCAACGCGGTAGCTCGCGAACCAAACTCACCGAGGAAACGTACACTCTCCGAGGAACGCGACGAGATGTGGATCTAATCAGTCGCCACCGCGCTAACCCCAGGCCAAAGGCGGGCTACTACGCCGTCGCGGTCGGCCGTACGCCAGGCATCTACGGTACGTGGGCTGAGTGCCAGGCGCAGGTCACCGGATTCCGGGCGTGAGTCAACCTTCCTCCTACACGTCCCGTCCCCGGTGCTCGCGTAACTCCAGTGCACAGTTCAAGAAGTTCGGCTCTCAGAGGGAGGCGGAGGAGTTTGTGCGGCGGCATCGCGCTATCAAGTCTGATGCGGCGGTCCCACTCGCGGGGACATCATCCGGCGGTATGGTGTTGCCTAGTCGCGCCCAGTCCAAGCCGGACCGCGTCCCAGCCAAGAACAAGGGACGGACGCGTGGAAACTCTCCCATCGCGGAGTACGCGGCCGCTGACACACTACCGGAGCGGTTCGCCAAGCTCGCCGCGCAGGGATTCATGTTCACAGCGACAAGTCCCCCGCGCCTCGTCGTGTATACCGACGGCTCGGGATTATCAAATGGGACGAGGAGGGCCTGCGCCGGAGCGGGAGTGTACTGGGGGGACGGGGAGGCAGCGCAGCACAACATTGCGGAACGCGTCCCGGGAAAACTGCAGACGAACAACCGGGGCGAATTGCTGGTAGTTTACAATGGGGAGCTAGGCTAATGACAGTCTATCATCCTTGCACTCGAGAACTGTCCCTTCCCTGACATCGACCTCGAGGTCCGCACCGACTCGCAGTATTCGATTATGTGTGAGTACTCGGCAGTCTCTCGCCGTTTGGGCGTGTCTCGCCATTGACTCCAGCCATGACCGTCTTCCTACCCACCTGGATCAAGAACGGGTGGAGGACGCAGGCGGGGCCCGTAAAGAACGTGGACATGATCCGACACCTGCTCGTGCTTATGCGCCGGCGCCAGGCGCCCATGCGCTTCAAGCATGTCCGTGGACATAGTGGGCATGCGGGCAACGACCGCGCCGACGAGCTCGCGCGGAGCGGCGCAGCCATGCCCCCACTCCCAGATCGCAGGACGTGGCTCGATCCGGACGACGAGCCGGTCGATCACAAGTCGGCAACCGACGTGGCGGCTGACATCGACCCGGCATGGCTCATGAGCGAAGCGGAGATGGAGGAGTATGAGCGCTCCCTTGCGGAGGAGCAGTCGGAGTCGAGACAGGAGGCATGACACGAAGCTGAACTCAGACTTAAAGTGGCTTCAGCCGTATTAGATCGGCATACATGCAGCAGATGTGCCATACCGACGGCGGAGGTGCAGCGGTCAATGACAGACTGATACTGACTCGGCAAGCTGATCCTTCTCCCCAGATCGTCGGTTGACCACCGACGATCTACGTTCACGATGCGAATCTCGACACTTGACGGGACGAATATCGATCGCAGCCACGACTGCATGCCCATCAAGTCGCGTCGCCGGCTATGAGGAAAGGGAGACAAAGTACGTGCATGAATGACCAACACTAAATACGTCCATGGGAGGCACCAGGCCGTCGAAGGGCCACGGCGCTAAAAGCCTCACCAACCAAGGAGAGCGCCGACGATCCCGCCGTATCCGTGCTGGGGGGCGTGCGAGTCCTTCGTCTCAGCCGCGTCGTCCTCCTTAGCCTCGGGCGCACGACGCGCGTGCCCGCCCGCAGCCTTCACGCCGGCACACCCGCGTGCGTAATGCTTGTCGCGCCGCCATTTGGGCGGCCCGCCTCCCCTCGCCCTCTTGCCGCAGTGGGGCCCGTTCTGGTCGTTGGCAGGCCCGGCGTGCGCAGTGGGTGGAAGATTCTCGATGGAGGGTTCGCGGCGCCAGAGCGGAATGCCTGCCGCGACTGCGGCGTCTGACGAGGCAGTGGGGGCCGGCTTGCGCGTCGTCTTGGGGGCGGCCGCTGGCATTAGATGTGGGGGGAGGGGAGAGTGGTGGGAGGGACGCACCGGCCACTACGGCGAGGAGGAGGATGGCGAGGAGGCGCATGGAAAGGGAGGTGCAAGAGAGGTGAGGAGATGCAAGTTTAGGAGGAGGAGTGGGGAGGGCGGAGGAGAGGAGACAAGAGGTGTCGGTTGATTGATGGGGAGAGGTGCGACTTTTATAGAGCAAGATCACGCGTTACTGCGAAGCAATCCTGTTCTTCGCGCTCCGTCGTGAGGAGACCATCGCGCCGCGACGCAGCGCACTGACTGTGGATCCCGTGCTCGCCAGTCTCATCACGACCGCCCCTTTCCCTTCTATGCTATGCTGCATCCGCATGCTACAAATCTCACACACGCCCCTCTTTCCCAGGGCTAGATCAGACCGTCCATGGACTCGCGCTTCTCGAGCGCCAGGAGCTCCTTGGCGAGCGTGTCGACATCGACGCTGCTCCCCGCATACCCAATTAGCTTGTGCCACTTGGCGAGCAGCTCGTCGTCGCTGAGCGTGTTGCCTGGGTCGCCCTTTGGCGTCTCCATAAACTTCTCAAAGGTACGCCCGTCCGTCGTCGTGACCTTGACCTGCGCCGTCCACTTGGCGGGGTACGCCCCGTCGACCTTGGGGTCGAGGTACATGTGGACCTTCTTCTGGAAGTCGCGGACGGCCTGGTCCTTCAAGCGTGCGTCGGAGAAGTCGGCGAGCTGCGCGCTGCGCCCGTTCGCGATGGCGCCCAGCACGAAGCCCATGCTGAACTTGGACTGGTGGACGGACGCGGCGCCCTCGGCGGGGCCGAGCACGTCGAGCGCGCTCTGGTGCACGCCGCATTCGACGCGCGCGATGTCCGTGGGGGCGAGGTCGTTCTCGCTAATGATGTCCAGCAGCGCGTCCGCGGACGGGTGCGTGTGCCGGCACGACGCGTGGAACTTGAAGCTCGTCGCGTCGACCTCGTACTTGTCGTCGAAGGGGAGGACGGACGCGTCCGGCGTGCCCTTGCTCATGCCCGCAAACATGCCCTGTGGGCCGAGGAGGATGTCGTGCGCGCCCGTCACGCCGTGCTTGGCGAGGAACGCCGACTGCACGCCCGTGCCGGCAGCGTGCGCACAGTGCACCTGCTTCGAGTCGGCGGCGGTCGCGAGGAACTGCCACAGGCCGGCGGCCTGCGTGCCCGCGCTGCCCAGCGCGTCGAGCGTCTTGTCCGCATCCAAGCCGAGGATGCGCGCCGTCGCGGCGGCCGCGCCGAGCGTGCCCGCCGTCGCGGTCGAGTGGAAGATGCGGTAGTGCTCGCGCCCGAGCAGCCGCCCGACGCGGCACGCAACCTCGTATCCGACGACCGAGGCGGCGATGAAGTCGGCGCCGGACGCGCCGCGGCTCTGCGCGGCCGCCCACGCGGCCGGGAACACGACGGTCGCGGGGTGCACGACGGACGCATTGTGCAGGTCGTCCTGCTCAACGACGTGGCCGGCGCCCGCGTTGATGTAGGCTGCCCAGTATGGCGGGCGCTTGTCGCCCACGAACGTGCTGCAGGCGCCGGAGGCGGCGCCGCCCGTCTCGTCTGCCACGGCTTTCAAGCCGTCGATGGTGCGGTAGCCCGCGCCGGCGAACGCGCAGAACACCCAGTCGGCGAACAGGCGCTTCGTCTTCTCCACCGTCGCCGGAGGGATGTCGCTGTACTTGAGGCGCACGGCCCAGTCCACGAGCTTGCGTGTTTCGGCGACGGACATGGCGTTGGAGGGGGCGGGAGTGGAGTTGGATGGTGCGGCAGACATGGTGAGGTCGCAGAGGATATGTAGTGGTGGGCGATGGAGATGTGGATGTGTGGTTGCCGAGATGCCGAATGCCGAGTCGGACTTGAGCGGGGTTGCGGGGTGGACACCGCGCGCCAGTCATGTTGCAGCCAGCGAAGGGCGCATACAGAGTGAACAGCTCGGATCGGAAGTCCCGAGCATGTGGGAGTCCAGCGGACGAGGTCGAGCGAGGCCGTACATGTCCGAGGCCGACTTGCTCGATAACAAGGCAAGATGCCGACGCCCGAGCCGCCTGCGATTGGGTCAAGCCGCGAATCTCGCCGACAGCTTCTTACAACCTTTATGTCTTCAGATCTTCAGACTCTAAGTCTACAACTTGGCCTCGCGCTGCGCGCAGCACCCCCAGCGCCAGAACCACTTGGCGACTTGCGAAACCATCTCTGGCGTCACGACGTGTCCCATCCCGTCCTGGACGAAGACTTCAAGCGTGTCTGTCTCGCCGCGGATACGAGCAAACTCGTCTTTGGCCAGGCGCACGGGAATCGTCTCGTCGATTGCGCCGTGGACGCTGAGGATCTTCTTGTTTCTATACGACCCGGGCGGCGCCTTCATTTCGAACGCTGCACGTACGGCACTTGGGATGATGTTGTCTGGGTCGTCTGGGGGAGGGACGCGGAAGCGTCGCGTCAGAATGCCCGCGAGGAACTCGGGGGGAATTGAAACGATTGGCGCGCCAATGCGAATGCGGGGGTCTGGCGTCAGTGAGAAGTCAGACGTGACGACGTAAGGAAGGACGTACCGTCTCGCAGCATGCGCCAGGTGAGATGTCCTGCTGTCAGTCCTCTGTGCGGCGACCACAACCCACCGCCGAGCGAGACGCCCGAGTACATCCATTCCTCGATGCGCCGCTCATCTTTTGGCCAGAGGTACGAGGCCAAGCTGTCCATAACGAGCTCGAAGTCGTGGACGCCGCCTACCAGGGTAGCGTGTGCCTGCGAACTGCGGTCAGCGGCCCTCTTTCGTGACATACGTACAGCCTGAGCGGGTTGTCTGCAAACACAAGTCCGTTCGGGTTCCGCCTGCGCGGGCCGTGGTTGCGATGGTCCTGGTGTCAGCTGCACCTCGACGTCCCAGCCTCCTTCAGGCTGCTTCACTCACTAGCGTTACCGCGATCATGTCGCGCAACACCTTCCGACCGCCTTCCTTCTCGAGCCGCCTTGCCTCCCCAAGCACCCCGTATGCCATCTGTTCCATGTGCATGGCCTTGTTTGCCCATCCATGGGAAAGACAGGCGACTGCCACAGGCCGGTTCGACCCTCGGATTTCCTCAAGCCCGTAAACATAGACATCCATGTCCACGATTTGGATGACCGTCTTGGAGGAAGGCTTGTGCCCGAGGTGGAGGTTGGAGAAGTCCATAACATGCGCGGGGTCGAGGTTGCGCGCCGTGCGCGCATTGTTGGCCGACATGCTGCGGGTGCGCTGAGCTGTAAGCTAGTAGTGCAGAGGAGTGGGTGGAAGGAGACGGGGTAGATGTATGCGGGGCGGTCGGCGATGGCCGGTGCGGGGGCGGGGTGGCCGGCTACTTCTCTCGTCCGATAGTAGGCCGAATACCGTCAGCACTTACAGTAGGACGTCACGACATGCTGATAATCTAGACGAAGCTGGGGCAGACTGGGAGAGTACTTGGCGGACGTTCTAGATGCTTAGGCACGCATAGAGGCCAAAAGCACGGATGACAAAAGAGCACAGAGATTTGAGGAGAAGTGTTATCATGTGGAAGGACGAGTGATGAGCAGCAATCAGGGCACCTGCAGCTTCTCCGTTTCCAGATCTGTAGCATCTTCTCATCTTGCTCCAATCTGCCTCTCTCTGACAGCTGACAGGTAGTGAGCGTGTCCAGCAAGCAATGCCTTCTTGAACTGACATTCCCGCACAATGCAATGCTCTCCGCTCCGGAGTGTCCCAGCCGATGTTCCCCTCTCCCAGTAGGTTGCCACGATCGGGTCGCGATATCGACGCGATGGCAGTTGAAATACCACGTCTCTCATCTGACCTTTTCTCTCCCATATCTGACCTTTTGGCGCACAATTTGACCAAACAGCCCACAATCTGACCATGTTGCTGATTTAATCGTGACGTGCGTATCTGACTTGGCAGGTGGGCAGCTGTGGTGGTTCCTTGGCTCTACCTGGCCCAATCTGCCGCCAATAACGCAGCGGAATGTCATCAGCCCCCACCGGGCCGGGCCGAGACTCTGCTCACCTGGTCTGCGGCAACCTCCCTGGCTCCTCGAGATCTGGGGGCACCCTCAAGCGCGTCAGACAACTCGACCTCGTTGTCCTGTACATCTCGGTGATCAATTGTTACTATATCTAGCTCCACTTCTTCACTTCTTCGTCACTCTCCCAGTTTGGCAGCAGCACTCTCCCATCGCCCCAGTCACACTTGCTTTCTCGCCACCTCTCTGTCGCATCAGCAGCAGTCCACCTTAGCCCCTGCGATGCCCAACACAACGGTCGTCGACGAAGCCGGCCCCCTTGGTCTTAGCACGGCCACCCTCAGCGCCGGCATCCTGGGCGCGATCCTCTTCGCCCTCGTCCTCTTCCGTGCACGTCCCAATGTCCCGGCAGTGAAGGTGGCGGCCAAAGAAAAGGAGACGGAGTCCCAGACTGAGATCCAGTCTCTTGACGGCTTCGACTGGACCACCGTCCCGCGCAACGAGTTCCGCCCCTTCAAGCCCATCTACCACATCACCATGGGTGCGTCTTCCCCTCCCTCTCGCCTCTCCATTCTCCCATTCAGACTCTGCCAACGCCGCTTTGTTCCTCCTCCGTTGTACTCTACCATCCCTTCGGCTCTGTCAACCATCCCGCCCGGCGTTCCCTGCACCACTTCCCCCACCTCGGTGCACATCCCTGCCTCTCCCCCACCTAGAGTGACGCGGGGATCGCTTGCGGGGATGAGGTATGCCCATGATTGCCCGGGCGTTTATCCACCTCGATTCGGAGCTGCCGGCACGAGCCGCAGGTTACCGAACTACCTGGAAGTGGTGGCGGCGTCTGCCGATCATCCCGAGGATCACGAGTGCTGCTTTAGTGGCTTCGAACGAACTCTACATTTGGACTGGGGAGCATTGAGCATCACTTGCGGTTGCCCAAAGCTCTTCGTGCGGAGTGTGTGGGTGTGCGGAGCCGCTTTGAATGCCGAGATGTCGGGCCACCGGCGAGCTCCGGATGGCGCCACCGATGTGGCCGACTTCTCTCTCTCCCCCCCCCCCCCCCCAAAAAGGCTAAACTAACACCAGCGCTCCGCAACGTCACGCAGTCCGAGCTCATTACGATTGATGAAGACTACTCCAAGCGCGTTGCTGAGAGGCGGCGTCTCTATGCCCTGCACGGCAAGAAGGTGCACGGTGTAATCCCCGACGGGCGAGGTGCTGCCGCAGTGCGGGAACTGTACGAGTACCTGCTGCGAGACCACCTCCCGCGACGCTTCCCAACGATGTTCAAGCTCTCCCCCGACGGGAAAGAGTTTACGAACCTCACGACTGGCAAGGTGCTCCCTACGTCCGTACCCGTGACGGGTGACGCAGAGGAGGATGACAAGGCTGCTGAGCATGCCCTGGGTGGCCTCACCGAGACGGTGGAGGAGGACCTCTTCTTCCTTCAGAAGGTGGGGGACTCGCACCAGTGTATTGCGTTCTCGTGCTGCTTCCCCTCTGGCTTCGACCCCTCCGAGAAGCTCGGTAAGGGCCTCAGTGCCATTCACGACCCCGTGCCGAACTACGACCGCATCGGGCCTTCTATGGAGCGATTCTTCTCCAAGATGGAGGCCGGCAAACCTGTCCGTCGTCTCAACGTGAGTACGCAGCTGTGGCTTTACTCCCTTCGACCAAGCTGAGACCAGTGGTCGGTGCAGACCCACAACGAGCTGTACAACACAGGCAGCAACCATATTCACGAGGACGAGGACATCGACGCGCTGCAGGATAAGGTTGACATCGACAAGACCAACCTCCGCGTCGAGATGCAGACCTTGAGCCGCCTGCCGGAGACCAACGCACTTCTGTTTAGCTTCAAGACGTACCTCACCCCAGTAACGGACGTGAAGGCGCAGGGCAGTGGGCCGGCATTTGCAGATGCCATTGAAGGCCTCGCGAAGGGCAACGCGCCCGGCATGTGGCGTTACAAGGCTGCGATCCGATGGGGCCCGCCCGTGTGCGAGTACTTGCGGTCGTAGATGCAGGCGATGAGGTGATGAGGCGAATCAGTAGGCAAGGATACTGTACGCAGTAGGTACAAGTAGTTAGAAGGGCCATAGACCGCTTCACAGCAAGCTTTAATGAAGACGTGCACAATTGATGATGCTCTTGGACGACGGATACCATGCGGTTCCACACGGCAATTTGTGCCTCGCATCTACCGGTCCGCATCCGGGCCGAAGATGGCCGACTACCATTCCGCCAACATCTAAACACCACCTCTCCTCACTCAAACACCTCACCGATGTCCGATCTCTCCGCGCCCCTCCCAACGTATGCCGACGTGCAGTCTGCAGCCACGCGCCTAGCGGGCGTAGCACACCGCACGCCGGTCCTCACCTCCTCGACGATCGACGGCGTCCTTGGCGCCCGCCTCTACTTCAAATGCGAGAACTACCAGCGCATGGGCGCGTTCAAGTTCCGTGGCGCATACAACGCCCTCTCACAGTTCACGCCGGCGCAGCGCGCCGCCGGCGTCCTCGCCTACAGCTCGGGGAATCACGCGCAGGCGATCGCCCTCTCCGCCCGCTTACTGGGTATGCCCGCCGTTATCGTCATGCCCTCCGACGCGCCGTCCGCCAAGCTGGCCGCGACGCGCGGCTACGGCGCTGAGGTGGTGCTGTACGACCGCTTTACGGAGGACCGCGAGGCGATCTCGCGTGACCTCGCGTGCGAACGCGGCCTCACCCTCATCCCGCCATACAACCACCCGCACGTCATGGCGGGGCAGGGCACGGCGGTGGCCGAGCTCCTCGAGGAGGTGCCAGACCTCGACGTCCTTTTCGTGCCTCTCGGCGGTGGGGGGCTGCTCTCGGGTTCCTTACTTGCTGCTAAGGCGCTCGCTCCTCAGTGCGAGGTGTACGGGGTCGAGCCAGACGCGGGGAACGACTTCCAGCAGTCTTTGAGGAGCGGGAAGATCGTCAAGATCGAGACGCCAAAGACTATCGCGGATGGCGCGCAGACGCAGGCAGCAGGGGACCTCACCTTTGCTGTTGTGCGTGAGCATGTGACCGATATTCTGACGGCCACGGACGCTCAGATAGTAGACGCGCTCCGCTTCTACGCCGAGCGCATGAAGATGGTGGTTGAACCGACCGGGGCGCTGTCTCTCGCTGCCGCTCAAAATGCCGGGATCAACATCAAGGGCAAGAAGGTTGGCATCTTCATCAGCGGCGGCAACGTTGACATTGCCAAGTACGGCGAGCTGCTGAGCCGGGGGTTGTAACTCGACAGTGCTCGACTAAGTCCAGGCTCAGCCCTCTCTCCAGCTGTATTAGATCATGCATCGCCTACAGACCCCAGCGCCGCGCTACAGACGCTCGCGGAGGTACTCGACAACCTTGTCCATGGAGACCTCCTCGCCGTTGTCGGCACCCGCGGCGCGCTCAACGCCCTGTTCCTTGATGCGCACGATACCCTTCTCGAGCTCGGCAGGCGCGAGAATCGCAACGTAGCGCACTTGGTCCGTGTCGGCCTGAGACCACTGTGCCGGCGCCTTCGGCTTGGCCTTGTACATGAACTCGGCCTGTTGTCAGCTCCGCGTGCCTCCGAACTCACCCGAATACCTGCGTCCCAGAGCTTCTTCGCAAACTTCATGCGCTCCTGCAGCAACCCCCCGCCGAGCGCCATGATGTACACGTCCGTCTCCTTAGACCGGGGCTTGGACTCCTGAGCGCGGCGACGCGCCTCGAGAATGGCGTACACGCGCTCGACGCCAATCGACACGCCCACGCATGGCACCTTCTCGCGCTTAGATCCCGCCGCTTCGGCAAACATGTTGACGAGGTTGTCGTATCGCCCACCAGCCGCGATCGAGCCGACACCAACCGCGCTCTCGTCGACACCATCCTCGTTGACAGTCGCCGCCTTCTTGCCCTTCTTGTCCTTCTTGTCCACCACTGCCGGTGCCGCGGCGTCCGCCAGGGGAGGGGCCGAGAGCTCAGTGATGGCCTCGTAGATGATGCCAGTGTAGTAGTCGAGGCCGCGCGCCAGCGACATGTCGAACGACATCTTGTCGGTGATGCCGAAGCAGTCAAGGTAGTCGAAGAGGACCGCCATGTCTGCCAGACCCTCCTTGGCTGACTTGACGCCGTTAAGCGCCTCGTCTGCCTGTAGCTTGTTGAGCACCTCACGGCCCTGGCCTTGCTGTCAGCTCATGTACAGCACCATCAAACGCACCCTTCAGACCAACATACTGGCCGATACGGTCGGCGACAGCCTCGTCCAGGCCTTTCTCGACAGTCATCTCCTTCTTCACATCAGCCCACGGAAGCTTGTCGAGCTTGTCGACGGCAGACGAGATCATGCGTGTCTTCTCCTCGGGGACGCCCGCGAGCTCGAAGATACCGTCCAGGATCTTGCGGTGGTTGAGCTTGATGGTGTACTCGCCGATCTCGAGCGCGTTCAGAGCTTCACACAGAATGTACAGGATCTCGGCATCTGGAACCATCGGGTCGTACGTGCCGGCAATGTCAAAGTCGCACTGGTAGAACTCGCGCATGCGACCCTTCGACATGACGGGCTGGTCGCGGCGGTACACCTTGGCGATGTGGTAGCGTTTCATGTTGGTGAGACCGTTCATCGCGACGTAACGCGCGAAAGGGACCGTGAGGTCGTAGCGGAGTGAGCACAGCTCGCCGCCCTGGTCTTGCAGGTCGTAGATGAGCTTCGAGTCCTCGCCGTACTTGCCGGCGAGGATGTCCTTGAGCTCAAAGACAGGCGTGTCGATCGTCTCGCCGCCGTGCTTGGCGAAGATGCGCTCGAGGGTAGCAAAGATCTTCTTACGCAGAAGCGCCGCCGCCGGCTTGTGGTCGATGGTGCCCTTGGGCACCTTGAGCTGGAATCCCGAGCCGTCCTTTTTCTCCTTGGACTGCTGCGCCTTGAGAGTCTTCATCTCCTCAACCTCCTTGGATGCATCCTGCTTGGCTACCTTGAGCTGCTTGATCTTATCTTGGAGCGCCTTGATGCGCGCGTCAACGTCCGCCATATTGGGTCGCAATGTTGTAGTGTGGAGGTTGTGGTAGAGGGGTTGGGTGACTTTGGGGATGGAGCGAAGGCAAACGGCTGATCTGGCTGTCCGCACAAGCATGCGCTCTTGTCGAGTCGAGAGCGCGAGAACGTCGAGGTTGTGAGAGTTGCAGAATCTGACTCGTTGAGTATCCGCATCTCGCCGTCATCACCATCCAAAAAGTCGGAGAGCTGGGACTGAACGAATTTGCTTCCGTCTTCAGCTCATCCGTCAAAAGTGTCTGCGCGCCACCAGTGGTGCTCTGCTGTCATTACTCTCTATCGCCACAACAATGGCGGCTCTCAGGACAGACATTGTGAGTTGGCAAGCGTTGCGGAGCTGACGGAAGCGCAAGACGTTCCCCGGAACGGACGAGGTGGTCGTCGATTACATCGCCGGACTGGTGGACGATGTGGACGAGGACGTGGACGACATTGTCGACCAGACGCGCGGGATGCTTCAAGCGGGCCCATCGAGCAGCGACAACAAGGCGCTGAACGACTTTATGGACCGTCTTGTGCAGTACCTCGACTCCCAGAGTTCCAAGCGCGTCCGCAAGGCCGCAACCGCGACCAAGCTGGCGAGCTCGGTGCAGATGCGCTCGCAGCAGATGTCGGCTACCATCGCGATGAGCGGGCGCGTCGATCTTGACTCGGTCAACAAGGGCCAGGCGTCGCGTGTGGACCTCACCAAGCTCGCTAAGGCCGAGGCCAAGCTCAAGGCCAAGCTTGAGAAGCGCAGCAAGCGCTCGCTGTACGAGGGCTCAAAGCTCATCGACAAGATGCAGCAGCAGCAGAGCTACGAGGAGATGTTCATGAAGGTCAACCCGCTCGACCTGTCCGGCGCAGCGAAGGGCAAGTCCAAGGATATCCACCTCACGAACATCGACGTCAGCTTCGCCTCCAACCGTATCCTCAGCGGCGCGACGCTCAACATGGCGTACGGACGGCGTTACGGTCTCATCGGTCGTAACGGTGTGGGTAAGTCGACGCTGCTGCGGCACATCGCACTTCGTGAGGTGGCGATTCCGACGCACATTTCCATCTTGTATGTGGAGCAAGAGATCATTGGCGACGACACCAAGGCCATCGACTCAGTGCTCAAGGCCGACGTTTGGCGCCACAAGCTCATCACGGATGAGAAGGAGATCAATGCCAAGCTCGAGAACATGGAGAAGAACCCCGTGCCAAGTGACGCGCCAGAGGGAGACAAGATTGCGGCTGAGCGGGAGAAGGACGAGCTCGCTGCCCGTCTCGGCGAGATTCAGCAGAACCTTATTGACATGGAGGCCGACACTGGCCCCGCTCGTGCCGCCCACCTCCTCGCCGGTCTCGGTTTCTCCGAAGCCGACCAGCAGAAGCCCACGCGCTCTTTCTCCGGTGGTTGGCGTATGCGTCTCGCCCTCGCCCGTGCGCTGTTCGTCAAACCAGACCTTCTCATGCTCGACGAGCCGTCCAACATGTTGGATCTCAACGCCATCGCATGGTTGGAAGACTACCTTCAGACATGGCCCGGTACTATCCTCGTCGTCTCGCACGACCGCTCGTTCCTCGACGCCGTCGCGACCGACATTGTGCACCAGCACTCGCAGCGTCTTGACTACTACAAGGGTAACTTCTCACAGTTCCACGCAACCAAGACGGACCGCGCGCTCCAGCAGAAGAAGGAGTACGAGGCCCAGCTTGCGTACCGCCAGCACCTGCAGGCGTACATCGACCGATGGCGCTACAACGCCAACCGTGCACCTCAGGCTCAGTCGCGTATCAAGATCCTGGAGAAGCTCCCCGAACTCGAGCCGCCCGAGGAGGAGGACCAGAGCGAGAAGTTCAAGTTCCCAGAGCCAGAGAAGATCTCGCCACCATTGCTACAGCTCGACGAGGCCGAGTTCGGATACACGCCGGACAAGCAGATTCTCAAGGGCGTCAACTTCGACGTGCAGATGGACAGCCGTATCGCCGTCATTGGCCCGAACGGTGCGGGCAAGTCGACGCTCATCAAGCTTCTCACTGGTGTGATCCAGCCCAACAAGGGCTCGCAGAACATCAACTCGCGTGTACGCATCGGTTACTTCACCCAGCACCACATGGACCAGCTCGACGTCACCCTGTCGCCTGTTGCGTTCCTGCAGCAGAAGTTCCCTGGCCAGACGGAGCAAGAGTACCGCGCGCACTTGGGTGCCTTCGGCATTACGGGTCTGACGGGTTTGCAGAAGATGGAGACGCTGTCAGGTGGTCAGAAGTCGCGTGTCGCCTTCGCCGTGCTTGCGTTTACGCGCCCACACATCCTCCTTCTCGACGAGCCGACCAACCACCTCGACGCAGAGGGTCTCGACGGTCTTGCGGCCGCCGTCAACGCGTTCAAGGGCGGATGCATTATCATCTCGCACGACTCGACGTTCATTCACACCGTCGCCGCACAGCTGTATGTGTGCGCCAACGGCCGCGTCGACAAGTTCAATGGCGACGTCACGGACTACAAGCGCCTCATCGTCGAGGAGATCAAGCACAAGAACAGCCCATAGTTTGCTGCATATGCGTGATGACATGAATCTAACGGCGATACAGTGGCGCCTCTACGTCGCTTTCGTCGCTGCTGGTCTCGTCAGAACTCTCCTCGTCCTCCTTAAACTCCTCAGGGTCGTACTCCGGAACAAAGTCGCGGCGCGGCTGCGCCGCGACGCCAATCTCGAGTACCGTCTCCTCTTCACTCTCCGTCTCTTCCTCACTGCCCTCATCTGATCCCTCTGAGTTGAGGAAATCGTCCAGGTCGCGGAACTTGGCGCGCGTTGTGTGAGGCACAGAACTGGCGGGCGAGCTCTCGAGTGGGGTAACTGGCGTTGACCGACGGGGCACAGCCAGCGCTGCGAGATTTGCGGCGGCAGCGGAGGGTTGAGAGCCAAAGTTTGGATGCGAGCTGAGGTTGGGCTGCGAACCGAAGGAGCGCGGGGGCGAGGATGGCTTGGGCCGCTCATACTCTGACTCGCGCAGAGATGCATCTGTCGGGTCGTCTGTCCACTCCGGGAGCGGCGCATACCCGCCAAGCTTGTGGTGAGCAACGCGGCTCATCGAGCCAACCTCCAGTTCGCTCGCTGCTGTCAGCCTGTGCACAAACGAGCAACGTACGCTCAGCCACGATGTCCTGGGTCACTTCCCGCTTCCCAAGGAGAACCACGCGCGCCTGTTCGCTGCGCAGTGTGACCCCACCGACATCCTCGTCCACACCCTCGCCCTCGACCTCCCGCACCCCGCGCAGAAGGGCTGCGAGGAAGCGCGCGCGGTCGCGCACATCATAGTCCGCATCCCACCGCGCAAGGGTGAAGAGGTACTGGCAGAAGAGGTCGAGCTTAGGTGCGTTGGGTGAGAGCACGATCAATTTGGCCGCGAGCGTCAGAATTTGCAGCTTCGCCGGCGCTTCCTCGCCCGTGAACCCCTTGAAACCTTTGCGCAGTATGTCTGGTACCCAAGGTGCCACGCCGTCCCACTTCAGCCCCAGAGTGTTGTCTGACCCGTCATCAGCCGCGTACTGCCCCACGAGCCAGAACACGCTCGCGCGAGCCGAGGCATTGGTGATGTTGTCGAGCTGGCGAGCGAGGCGCGCGACGAGTCGTTCTGGCGACGTTATGCCCTGCAGTATCACACCCTTTAATACGATAACCGCCTGCGCAACGAGGGCGCCTGCTGTAAGTGCAGCACATGCTGAGGTATGTAGACTCACTTCTCGTGCTTTTCAGTAGGCGCATGAGAGAACGCAGCCCCGTCTCGGCGACCGCTGGCTGCGATCTCACGCAGTGTCCGATCGCACGCACGGCTTCTTCGGCCACGCCGTCGGCGGGCAGCGCGGTGTATTGCTTAAACTCGCGAATAGCGGTCGTTGCGTTCTCCTCACCGACCATTGAAACCATAGCCCTAAGCTTGGCGGACATGACTGGCCCAGGGTCAGCTGTATGCAGGAAGAAGTGGCCGAAGCGGCTGGTGAAGAGCCACGGACGCTCTTCAGCCATGCTGGCGATGACGTCCCAAGTCACGACTGAGATCTCGGTCCCGCTGACCGTGTCTGCACCACTGGTCCCCGCAAGGCGGAGGAGTGGCGCGACAATGATCTCTTGGCCGACAGACGAGTGCCCAGGCGGCGCGAGGTTGTAGTACATCTTTGCGGCGGCGATAACAACAGCGCCATTGCGACTCCGCAGCAGCGGTTTGCTGAGGTCGAGCAGCATCGCAAGATCGATGTCGAGACCAGCGAACTCGTCGTCCGACTCCTTTCCGTTCGCCTGCCCGCTCGCTTCCGGCTTCTCGAGCATCGTGCGCGCGTACCGCATCAACACATCCAGTGCCACGACTTGTCCCCACTCGTCTGCATCGCCCAGCAACCGGCAGATGTGCCGGTAGTATGGGTGCAGAAGATCCAAGCGGTCTGGGCAGATCTCAGTGAAGGCCGTCAAAGTCGCGCCGAGCGTGAGCGGTGACGGTGAGGCGAGAAGCGTTTGCAGCAAAGGAAGGAGCTCGGGCTGCGTGCTGGCGTCCATTCTCCTGTCAGCTCTGCCATGTTGCACACTCACTCGTAGACCTTAGCGAGGCCGCCCGCAACCGTCTTGCGCACCCATGGATTCCGGTCGTTCACGAGCTTCTTGAGCCCTAGGGTAACGATGCCTGTCGTCAGCGTCCGAGGTAGCATCCACGTACCTTGGATGACGGGCAGACGCATGGACGTGAGCACGCGCAATGACATGGACCGAATGAGCGGAGACGGGTCGCTCAAATCCTTCTGAAATGTGTTTATGGAGAGCAACAGCAGGTCCGAATTTGTCGCCGCATAGCGCAAGAGGTAGATGTAGACAAGCTTGCGGATTTCGATCGAGCTCGCGACGACCTGCTTGACAACCTGGGCGAAGAAGGCTTCCATGTTGCGCCCCTTGGACATGGCAGCAATGATGCGCTTCATGCCCTCGAGACGCTCACTCTCAGCGCGGCTCTCGAGCAGCTTGGAGACCTCGACTACTTTGTCCTCGCTGACGTCGAAGTAGCCAGCCGCTCCGGAACCGCTCCCACCCGCGAGGAGGGAGAGGTCCCGAGTCGTTTCGTGGAAGTTTTCCTTGATCCTCTGCCCAAGGCGGTTAATCATGGTGGGCGAGAGGTGGTGAAGAGTGCGAGATCCCAAGTTGACGATGTCATGATCCAGCGACATGCGCTTCGCCGGATCGCCGGAATGATTACGGTTACATAGTCGTATGTCTCATTACGAACCGCCATTAGCGGAGGCAAACTTAGCACACACATTCCAAGATGTTACTCGTTGAGATCGACGACGTACGATTGTTGTGGTCTTCCTTGTCAGTCGCTCTTTCGCTTTTAATCCACTTTACAAGCACAACCTTAGCAAGACGCTGCTCGAGAGCTTCTCGGGCGTCTTCTGGACCAGTCACTTTCCTTCCGTGGCTGCCCATTTCGCGGGCGCACGCCTAGCTCAGCAAGATGGACTTGAGCAACGTGCCGTCCGCCTTCCCCCCAGCCCAGGAAGCCGTCGATTCCAACGCCATGGATGTTGACGCGCCGGCTGAGCCCTCCAACGCTGTTGCAAATGACGGCAATGCAGATGCCAGCGGCTCGCAGGCGAATGGCACTGGGTCCCCGTTGCAGCGCCTGCATTTGTCACGGCCGACACCACCGCTCGTAAATGTGGCCAACCCCAACCTCACCCTCTTCTTTGAAGATCCCGACAACGACAGCGACAGTGTTGTCGAGAAGGGGCGTATGGTGCGCACTGGCTACATCTTCGACCCCCTCATGATGCTCCACTGCGCCGACGGGTATACACCGACGGACGACATTCACGACTTGGGCGACGGTCATCCGGAGGAGCCGATGCGTATCAAGCGTATCTTCAACCGTCTCAAGCAGCAGGGACTGATTCGACGGATGAAGCGGCTAGACTTTGTGGAAGCACAGCGCGAGCAAATCCGCCTCGTTCACTCTGATGATCACTGGATGAAAGTGCAGGGGACTGAGAGTGAGCTACTAATCGACTGGGCGGTACTCACCTCAGCATTCACGGATGAATATATCCAGGAGACGAAGAGTTACTACGATCATTTGTCGCTCTACGTGTGTCGAGAAACAGGTCATTGCGCGCGCCTCTCGTGTGGTGGTGTCATTCAGGCTTGCCGCTCAGTCTGCGAGGGTGAGGTGCGGAACGCCTTCGCCATTGTGCGCCCGCCGGGCCACCACGCTGAACCGACGGAGCACATGGGCTTCTGTTTCTTCAACAATGTTGCCGTCGCGACGCGCGAAGTGCAGCGTCAGGGCTTGGCGAGGAAGGTCCTCATTCTCGACTGGGACGTACACCATGGCAACGGCACGCAGCGCGCATTTTGGGACGACCCGGATGTCCTGTACATCTCCATTCACCGTCACGATGGTGGCAGGTTCTACCCCTCCAGCGACTTCGGAGCGCTTGACATGGTTGGCGAAGGCGCGGGCGAGGGCAAGTCCGTCAACATTCCCTGGCCTGGCCCAGGCTTTGGCGATGGTGACTACATTTACGCCTTCCAGAAAATTGTGATGCCTATCGCGTATGAGTTTGCGCCAGACCTTGTAATCAGTGAGGTGCCAGGCCCAGAGACCATATCTAACGAATAGTTTCTGCCGGGTTCGATGCGGCAGACGGGGATCAGCTGGGCTGCTGTAACGTCACGCCCGCTGGGTACGGCCACATGACTCACATGCTGTGCGCACTCGCCGGAGGGAAGGTCGTCGTCGCTTTGGAAGTGAGGAGCACAGTTTGCCGACGCTGACGCGCAAGGGAGGGTATAATCTTCGTGCCATCTCTGACTCCTCTTTAGCCGTCGCCCAGGTTTTACTCGGCGAGACTCCTGCGGAGATCGGTGTCGTGCAGGCATCCGAGCTGGCCACTGAGGTCATGTACGAGGTTGCCAAAGTTCAGTCAAAATACTGGAAAAACATCAACGCGGCATCATTGGCACCACCAGAAATTGGCAAAGAGGAGGGCAACTTCGTAACATCTGTACCCGACCTCCTCAAGCAGCATCGGCTCCAGCACATGTACACTAAGCACAAGCTATTTCCTATCCCGCTTGCCAACACGGACCTCGACGACGCGTTTAGCAACCAAGTCCTTGTCAATATGGAGTTGTACGATTCCGAGCCCCGCACTCTGGTCATCTTCGCGCACGACTTCGGCAATTTGCGAGTGGAGACGGAAGGCGTGGCATCGATCGATGTCAATCTTGCCAACAGCTACCTGCTCGACACGTCGGACGTGATTGTGGACTGGGTACGCGGCAAGGGGTGGAATATTCTCGACATCAACGTGCTGCGCACTCTTCGGCTGCAGTTCGCAAAAGGACCTCGTATGGTGTCGAACAGCGGGGACAAGATGGATGGCCAGCTAATGCGCTACCTGTGGGATAACTACGTGGAGTGAGCGACATCTTTCCTGTGGCCAGAGGAAAGCTAACCGATAGATTGTCGGAGGCCCAGAACATTGTGCTCATCGGGCATGGCACAGCGTGCGGGGCAATCATGGAACTCGTCAATCACAGGGGTGAGCAGCTGAGCTGACTTCATTCATCTAACGGCAGATGTGCAGTCGAAGGTCAAGGCAATCGTGCAGGTCGCTGGCATGCACTCGATTGTGCGCCCAGATCCGACAAACGAGGGTCGTCGCGTGTGGTTTAGAGACGTTTGTCAAATCTACTTGCCGCACATCCACCCACTGCTTGGGGAAGAGCGCCTGCACCGACGTATCGGTGGACAGTTGAGGACAGTGCGAAAATCCAAGGTCGTCGAAGTCTTGGTCTCAGCGCTACCTGAGATCATGGAGTTTGTGGAGAGCAAGCTGGGTGCGTCTGAGGCGAATGGGCTTGCGCCAAAATTGGACGCGTAGATAGACAGGGGCATGTTGTATGGGATGCATCTGGCAGAGGCGTTTTGCGCAAGAACCACGTCGTTTCATGCAAACGCCCAAAGATGCCGGAGGTGGAGGTGTTGCGTCACCACTTCTCCGAGTGCTGTCTTGACACGTCCACCTTGCCCTCCACCTCTACTCCTCGAACAGCAATGAGCTACAAGACTGGTAAGCTGCTCAAGCTCATGTCTTAGCTGACAGAAGGAAAGCTGTACCCATGCAATCCTGCCACTGCGCGCGGCGAAAGCACCAAGCTTAGCGCAGACCCCAAGGGCGAGAAGATTGTGTACACGAATGGTCGCGCCGTGATCGTGAGTACCCACGAGATTCGGTGAGCTCATGTAAGATCCGCGATCTTAACAACCCTTCGAGCGCGCACGCATATACCCGTGAGTAACGGCTGCACAGCGCCCCTGCTTGGTGGTTTTTGCCATCGGGACGTGGTGTTTTGCCCTCTCGACTCCGAAGACTGTACTAATCGAGCAGAGCATACTCAGACGGCGACTGTCGCCCGTTTCTCCCCTTCAGGATTCTACATCGCCTCGGGTGATGTGGCCGGCAACGTGCGCGTGTGGGACACGACCAACCCGGCCGAGAACATCCTCAAGATCGCTGCCCGTCCCATCGCTGGCCGCATCAATGATCTGGCATGGGACTCGGAGAGCAAGCGCCTCATCGTTGGTGGCGAGGGCAAGGACAAGTTCGGTGCCGCCTTCTTCGTCGACTCGGGTAGCTCTTGCGGTGAGATCACTGGGCACTCGAAGGTGAGCACTGCGCCTGCGCCTGCGCAGCCGCACAGCCCCCCATTGCACTCTCAGTTATCCGACAGTGCTTCCATCCCGCACACACACTAACTCCAGCCCATCACCTCCCTTAGCATTCGTCAGCAGCGACCGTTCCGCGCAGTCAGCGGCTCGGACGACAACTCGATCGTGTTCCACACCGCTGTGCCGTTCAAATACGACCGGATCATTCAGACGCACACCAGATTTGTGCGCGACGTGGGCTTTTCCCCCAACGGTGACGTGTTCGCGTCCGTTGGCTCGGACGGCAAGCTCTTCCTTTACGATGGCAAGACTGGCGAGACCAAAACCGAAGCGGATGCTCCCGATGCCTCGCGCAGTCTGGTGAGTTTGGCTCCCTTCTTGTCCGCTGACAGCAGATGGCTCTGTCGTGGGCTCCTGACTCGTCGCACCTGGTTACTGCTGGCGCGGACGGAGTTGTGGCAATTTGGGACGCGTCTGCAGCACAGGTCAAGCAGACATGGTCTGTCGGATCGGCCGTCGAGGCTCAGCAGAATGGTGTCGTGTGGGCTAACCCCAACACCATTGCCAGTGTGTCGCTGAGCGGCACGCTGAACGTGTTTGACGTGCGTGAAGGCAAGACGTGGCGCAAGCTCTACGGGCCAACCAAGGCCATCACGTCGAGCGCACTGGCGCCCAGCGGCAACTCGCAGACGTTCTACACTGGCTCGTTCGACGGGACGGTCAAAAGCTTTGCGCTGGGCGCCTCGCTTGGCGAGCGTGAGGGCGAGTGCTCCGACGTGGAGGGTGCGGGCCACACTGCTCTTGTCGCGGCGATGGCGTCCGATGGCGCTGGTAAAGTCTGGACAGCTGGGTGGGACGACAAGGTTTCAACCATCTCAGGCCAGCAGTTCGCCTCTAGCTCCGTGCCGACCAAGGCGCAGCCGGCCGGCGTTGCGGCGACGCCCCAGGCCGTGTATATCGCTTCGCCAGCTGGCCTCGAGATCTCGACTGGCGGCTCTGCTTCCGTCGTTGGCGCCGCGTGCACCGCTGTCGCGGCCCATGGCGACCTTGTTGCCACAGGCTCGGGGAAGAAAGTGACGATCTCGCGCGCCTCCGGCTCGTCGCTTAGCGAGGTTGCGTCCTTCGAGGACAACAAGGGTGACGTGCTCTCGCTCGCATTCTCGCCTGACGGCGGGCTCCTCGCCGCCGGCGATGCCGCCGGACGCATTGTCCTCATCGACGCGAAGGCCAATAAAGTCCTCGTCACCAGCCGGTGGACATTTCACACTGGCCGCGTTGCAAGCCTCGCATTCTCGCCCTCGGGCAAGCGCCTCGCATCTGGCGGTGCCGACGAGAGCATCTACGTCTGGAACCCCGAAAAGGTGCTGCGCAACGTAGCTATCAAGAACGCCCACCCAGGGGGTGTCAGCGGCGTGGCCTGGGAGGACGAGACGCGTGTCGTCAGCGCCGGCGCTGACGGGTGCGTGCGCAACTGGGAGGTGCCCGCCTAGAGGTGAAGTGTAGATTGAAGGCGTAGATGGGGGTAACATATGCATGTCTTGCAGTCTAATGCAATCTACTAGTGTCATACTCTACAACAAGCCCTGGCGCTTGAGATCCTCGTACGTCTTCTTGTCGTAGACGTTGCCCTCGTCGTCTTCAAACTCCTCCGCCTTGTCCATGGCACTGAGCTCGGCGCGGCCCTCGGCCTTGAGCTTCTCCGCGAGGGCAAGGGCGTCGGCGATCTTAGTGATCTCGTGGAAGTGGCGTGTGTTGGGAAGGCCAAGCGCGCGCATTCCGAAGGCGTGTCGGCTCTCCTGGAAGTGTCGGTCAAACGCCTTGCGACCCATATACACGTGGTCCGAGCAGATCTCGCACTTGAACTCGACGCCGAGACCGTGCAGCTTGTACAGCCAGAACGGGATGGGTTTACCGTCCCAACCAAGCGGAAGGTTGAGGGGGTTGTAGACACGTGCGTCATCCTCATCGTCCTCCTCCTCTCCTGGTGGAGGGAGCACGATGGGCGGTGCCTCCTCCGTGTCATCGAGCTCGGCCTCGCGCTCACGCGCCGTCAACGCCGCGCGCCGCTCCACTTCTCCGCGGGAAGCGGTGATCTTCTCTGGGATCGGTGGGAACACGAGGAGCGCGCACACAAGCCACGTGAGGCGCGCCGCAGGCCGCAGCTTATCCCTCGTGGTCTCCTGCGTTGAGGAGGAGGCGGGCGCATTGCCCTGCTCGACCTTTACGCCAGCCGCCTCCTTCTTTTTGTGCTTCGCCGAGGAGAGGTGCGCGTCGTACACCGTCTGCTTAGCGTACGACTTTGCACAGTAGGGACACCAGATCCCACCACTCCCTGTGGACTCCGCCTTCTTCCCCTCGTCCCACCCCTTGACCTCGCCGGCAGCCCAAGCCTTGTCGAAGGCCTCCTCCTCCTCCTTCAGCTTCTTCTCTATGTCGATCAGCGGCAGTGCCCGCTCGAAGAACGACGTGAGGTACGAGTAGAGCGTCTGGACGTACCTGTTGTTAGCTCCTTCACGATCGTCGTGGGCTCACTGCAAGTACGCTGCGTGGCTCTTTTCCCGCACATCCAGCGTGCGCTCAACTCGGCCCGACTTGAGCATGTCAAGGTAGCCGATGTACGAAAGACGCGTTGAGCCCTTGAGGTTGAGGAACTGCGCGTGCGCCTCGTACAGGTCGAGATGGCGGCCGTACACCTCCTCACCGCTAAACACCGAGTCGAGGGGATCGATGATGACGGGCTCCTCTTCGCCTTCAACCTCAATGGTCTGCAACCCGTCCGAGTTCACCATTTCGTCGATCGCGGTGATGAGCGCGCGCGCGTTCAGCCCCTGGTTCTTGCGGTGAAAGTCCTTGACCTTCTCAAAGCGGGTGTAGAATTCGGCGAGCTCGTCGACACCTTCACCTGGGGGCGGCGCGGAAAGCGCGGCAAGCTCAGCAGGCCGCAATCCAGGCGCGTCCTCGTATAGCACCGCCAGGTTGTGCCGCAGCTCGCCGAGGCGCGCGAGGATCTCAGCCGCCTTGCGGTCTCTTCGTGTCAGGTTGCGTTGCTGCTGTTAGCTCCGCCGCGAGGGGTACTCACCCCGATAGGCTGCTGCATAAGCACGTCCGCGAGCGCCTGCTCATACCGCTCGATCTCCTCGTGGCATGCGCGCTGCGTCTCGATGACCGAGTCCATGGTGGGATGAGTGGTTGTTGTTGCGGTATTCAGCGGCGGACGCTGAAAGAATCGGTGGAGGTCTGTCGCCATGCCACGCGAGCGGAGATTCGGGATTAGTTGCCACCCAGCATTGCGAGTTTCAGAGTGCACGTCGTTGAGTGAAGTCTCGCATCCATCGCCACCAACAACAACAATAACAACTTCCAAAATGGCGGTAAGCAGCTCGCCTGGCAGATCCGACGCGGTACTGACACGCGTGCGCGCTGTGCAGCTCAATGCGTGAGTGGCAGGCTGATGGGAGAATGAGCTTACGGATAGCGGAGATGACAAGCTCGTGTTCGAGTCGTCCGAATCAGTCACTGTCGTACGTACCTCAAGCTGCCGAGGCGGGCAGCGCAGTCGAGAGGGGTGAGAGCGTGTATTGACACTGCGCTTTTGCTCCTCTCGAATACAGGCCCCTACTTGTGAGTTGCGCACTACATCTTGCGCCGGAGACATTTGCTGACGCCGAACTACAGTTGAAGCACTCAACCTCCGTGAAGACCTTCTCCGTGGCGTTTACGCATACAGTGAGGCTGAACGCTGCTTTCAGAACTGATGAAAGACTTCGAGAAGCCCTCGGCAATCCAGCAGCGCGCGATCATCCCCATCATCCGCGGACGCGATGTGATCGCTCAGGCCCAGTCTGGTACCGGTAAGACGGCGACTTTCGCGATCTCGGCGCTCCAGTCGCTCGACTTGAACATCCGCGAGACGCAGGTCCTCGTTCTTTCGCCCACACGTGAATTGGCCGTGCAGATTCAGACCGTTGTCCTCGCCCTCGGCGACTACATGAACGTCTCATGCCACGCCTGCATTGGTGGAACTAGCGTCGGCGAGGACATTCGCAAGCTCGAGGCTGGGCAGCAGGTCGTCAGCGGCACGCCGGGTCGTGTGTTCGACATGATCCGCCGCCGCAATCTCCGCACCAAGGACATCAAGATGCTTATCCTTGACGAGTCAGACGAGTTGCTCAACAAGGGTTTCAAGGACCAGATTTACGACATCTACCGCTACCTCCCGCCTGCGACGCAGGTCGTCATTGTCTCGGCGACGCTCCCTCACGACGTGCTCGAGATGACGACCAAGTTCATGACCGAGCCCATCCGCATCCTCGTCAAGCGTGACGAGCTGACCCTCGAGGGCATCAAGCAGTTCTTCGTCGCTGTGGAGAAGGAGGACTGGAAGTTTGACACGCTCTGCGACCTCTACGACACGTGAGCTCGCTGCACAGTTCCTCGTGACTAACCTCCAGCCTCACCATTACACAGGCGGTCATCTTCTGCAACACGCGTCGCAAGGTCGACTGGCTGACCGAGAAGATGCGCGAGGCCAACTTCACTGTGTCATCGATGCACGGCGAGATGGTGCAGAAGGAACGCGATGCCATTATGGCTGAATTCCGCGGCGGCCAGTCGCGCGTGCTCATCACCACAGACGTGTGGGCGCGTGGTATCGACGTGCAGCAGGTTTCGCTTGTTATCAACTACGACCTGCCGTCGAGCCGTGAGAACTACCTTCACCGTATCGGTCGTTCTGGCCGCTTCGGGCGCAAGGGTGTCGCCATCAACTTTGTCACTGTCGAGGACGTGCGCATCCTGCGAGACATCGAGCAGTACTACTCGACGCGTGAGTTCACCCATCCCGCACGGGACACGCTAACAGACAGAGATCGACGAGATGCCCGCGCAGGTGCAGGAGTTGGTGTGATTGTAGACTGTCTGGTATGTACTCTTAGACCGTGTACCGCTCCGCTTGAGAGCAGAGTATGAGACAATGCGCAGTGGAGGCCCATGTTTCCGCTCGAGACTGGCCGACAAAGCCCGACTGGATCAGTAACTGGATCAGTCGGTCGAGCGCGCGGAGACACCTTGTCCCGCCCCGCTCTCGTTGCGCAGGCCGCAGTGCGAGAAGTGCCTGGGCCCTGCAGGTCTGCCGAACACGACGATCTTGCATGTTGCGTTAGATCAGCCCGCCAGCCAATCAAATGACGAAGCGGGGATTGCAATTGATCTTGATCTTGATCTTGATCCCGCAGGCCATGCAGGCCATTCAGCTGAGCTGCGTGGCTGACGACAGCTGAGTGGGCTGTGGGCAGTGGGCTGACGACAACACACGCACACGCACACGCACCCCGCCCGAGGCCAGCGGGCCAGCGGGTCGGTGTCTCTCAGAGCCAAGATACCGGGGCCTGGCGCTGGAGCAGTGATGGCGGCATGTTTGTGGCACCGCCCTTGTGGCTGACAGCGTGCCGATCGAGCCGGACCTGGCCGGATGAGGCAGTCTCGCCAACCAATATGCCCCCGGCAAACCATCATATCATCCTTCTTCCCCACCATGTCGTCGCTCCATGCCACCGCGCCACCACCTGCCGTTACATGCAAAACATGGTTCAGATCCATCGCACAGTGCATTAGGTACCACGACACTAACGAAGGCTGCATCGATAACTATGGGCGCCAAGCGCCGGGCTACAAAGGAGAGCGAAAACGAAGATGGCGAAGTAAGAAGAGGGACGGCGAAGACGTGGGAAGGGGCTGTCGCTCTACAATGATGGTACACACACTGAAGGCCCGGATACCGATCCCAGCAAGGTCATAGGACGCTTACTTGGCGGCGGCGGTGGCCTTGGCCTTGGTAGCAGCCTTCTTCGGTGCGGCAGCCTTCTTCGCCGGGGCGGCCTTAGCCTTGGCTGGACGTCAGCTTCAATTTCTTTGCGACAGCTCGAGGTGGCTGCACTCACCAGCAGGGGCCTTCTTCGGTGCCGACGTCTTCTTCGCAGCTGGAGCCTTCTTGGTTGCGGAAGCGGTAGAGGTCTTCTTCGCAGCTGCGGGCTTGGGTGCAGAGGGCTTCTTGGTGGTGGTAGACACAGCCTTCTTCTTAGGTGCAGCGGCCTTCTTGGGGGCTACATTCTCCTTGCCAGTGGACGTGGCAGCAGGCGCAGCAGGGGCCTTCTTGGGCTGGATGTTAGCACCGCCAATATGATCAAACGCACCTTGGCAGCGAGCTTGACCTTGCCGCCGATGCCCTTGGGAAGGACGAGGACACCAGTGTCGGCACCACGCTTGATCGCGTTCGAAAGGTTGTTTACGTTCGCAGCGGAAGAGAGGTCAAGCTTGTACTGAGTGGCAAGGTACTTCTTGATCGTAGGCCGCGACACGCCAGAGCGGGCGTCCTCCGGGTTGGCACGAATGCATTCCTGTCCGTTAGTGGTGCCGAACGAGGCGGGCGGGCGGAGTGGCATGATCAAGCGACAAGCTTGGACGGGGGCAAAATCACCCGAATCGGCAATTCGAGGCGGGGCCGCCCTCCAGCCATGCATATACGCGGCGAGAGTGAGGCTCGACATGCATGTGGATGGCCGACCCATCCACCGCTATACCGATTCTCGCGGTGGTACGAGGCGTGGTGCGTGCGGGAAGTTGGCGGGGGTTGGGTTGACTCAACTGGCCAACCGCGAGCGAGGGCGTGCAGCGGGCAGTGTGAGAGCCGTGGTGACGCCGCCACCTGCCCGCCTTGACATGGCCACGTATGCACCTCGCGGAGGTAGCCCGACGTCGAACATGCACACAGTTGCCCGCTGTTGCATCTCAGAACGCGCTGTTGGCTTTGGGTCGTTCACACAAAGCAGACCCAATTGAAGTGGAGCGTGGGACTCAACCCTTCCCGGTGGCGTGGGCGATAGACGAGGACAACCTACCTGGATCATCGCCAGGAAAGTGGGGTGAGCAGCTGGCTTGCGGGGCGCGGCGGCCTTCTTCGCTGTGGTGGTGGCGACCATTGTGAACGGGCTGGGCAGAATCGGTGGGGGTGCTACGAGGTCAAAGATCAGGTCGTCAAGGAGGCATTGGGCACGGCGGCGGCGACCAAGCGGGAAGAGGCGTCAGCTCCGTGCACTGCATGCTTTGGGGGTCTCGCGGGGTCGCCGAGAGGCGATACCCAGCGAGTGGCGAGGGCTACTCACGAGGTCAAGGTGGAAGTTAACGCAAGTCGAGGATTGTTGGGCGAGTGGGGGGAAGAAGAGGAGATGATGGATGAGGGTCGCTTGTATATGTGAGGCGACGGGGGGGTCATGCCAAACATCCGACACCCCGATCATCTTCAATCCTTCATAGCACGCCAACCACATCACTTGAGGTCTTCATCTTTGGGATACAGATCAATGCATATGTTCTTCATGACCTCGCCATCAAATAAAGTGCATGCATGAAGTTCATGCTGGTAGATCATCGGATCAGTGTGAAGGTTGATCCTGGCACGTGATCCTGTGGTCCCGATTTTCGTCAGAGCCTGCTCGTCCACAAACCGGGCGTCCACGCCATCCAGCTTCAGCCTCAGCATCATTCAGTGTTGGGGTCGCTCCGCACAACCTCTTTGCTCACAACACCACCAAAACTGGAATGCATGACCTTCGCTGGCGGTGGTGGAGAGGCGATTCCTCTCTCGGGGTTATAACGCCGCGGCGTTGTCCTCTGCTCATCCGCCTTCAAGGTTAGCTCTATCACCGAGCGCCATGCACAACACCGTACGCGTCCAACGCGGGCTCGGTGGTGGTGCAAGCACCTTGTCCGCGACATCTGCGCACCAACTCGCGTCCGACGCGTGATGCGTGCCAACCGTACGCGATATTACAAGGGTTGGCAGGTCGGCTGGTTTTGCCCCACTGTAGGGCCGCCCGGTGTCCCGGAGCTGGTCGGACGGCAGGTGGACATGTACGCGCAGAAATAAGCACTCCGAGGGGCAATTGTGCAGACCAAAAATGCAGTGGCACAGTCTTGAGGCTCTGCGAGTAGTGTAGCGCAAGATATGGGATGAAACGCGGGTCAACCAATCTGGGGGCTGGATAAGTGGCATATCTGTTCGGCCGGTGGCCATTAGCGCCAGTCCTGACGTCCATATATAGCTGCTTTTGGTGAAATCAGCCAGCAATACCAGTGATACACCTCCCACATACAGCCTCAACTGTTCTGTGCCGCACATGCAGGTGTGGTTGTGGCAGTCTGGCGGGCTGAAGGTGTGGAGACTGGGTTTATTGGGGCCTTGGATGGACATGAAAGTGGAGGCGCGGGTGGAGGTGTAAACAACCAGACACGCGGCTTTGATTCCGTCATCTGTGCACATATAACTGCACCAACATTGCCACAAGAACGGTGACCGTTACCGAAACGTCAGCGCTGCGAGGGATGAGTGTTAGATCGAGTCCGTGTGTGGTGTGGCCTGGCATGTCTCGTAGCTCCAGAAAGTGAGTTGCAACCATGCTAGCACGTCAACACACTTCCGTAGTCGGAGGTGACTGCCCCACTTCATGAGCTGCCGAGTTCATCAATTCGGCTAGCGCCAATTTTCGCTGACGTGTGCATCTATTGAATTTCGCACTCATCGGTTGTCTCCACTCAGGTGTAACCACACGTCATCGAAGTCACAGTCCATGTCATCCAGCACCTCCGTTGAGCTGTTGATCCTTCGAGCTCCTACTCTTCCCCGCTGTCGACAGGTAGGAAGACTTGCTCATATCTCCATTGCATCGAGGAAGTGTTGGATTTGCAAGTTGGCCCAGCAGCAATTTGATTATTGCGAAGGCCGCCCGCCCATGGCAGACGATCGCTCAATCCGCGTGCGCCGACTCGCGCGGGGTGCCAGCGTCTCGTCGTCAGTGAACTCGACGCTAGTAAACTCCGGGAAGGTGCCACTCTCAGGAATGGCGGAAACTCCGCCGGTGTTGGGCTCACTCGACTGATGAAATTGGTTGTGGCTGTCAGCACGCGGACCGTCGTGGTCGTTATTGCCGCTGCCACTCGTTGAGCCCCGGCCCGTCTTGCGGGCTGCAATTTGCTGCAGAGCATCGTCGTGCCGGTTGGAACCGTCGATGGTCCTCAGGTCTATGTCTTGGCCCGTTGTCCATAGCGTGAGAGTTCGGATCGGGCCGACGTAGTGGCGCCGGCCTAGGGTCAGAGTTGAGCCGGAGGCGCAAACGTACCGTACAGGAACCACGTCGCGAGCATGACCACCAGCATGCCACCGAAAACCATGGGGAGGTAGGACAGGACCGCCTTGCTCGCGTCTTGGGTCAACGCTGCCTATATATGCGCACTCACCGCCATCGAAGAACTCAGCGCTGCCGTTGGATACAGTCCCGGGCATGCTTCCTTGAACTGTGCCCAGAGCGAGCCAGAGGATGGTGATCCACGCGCATGGGCGGCTGAGCCTTCCCAGCGAGAATGTCTCGCGCCCAATAAGGCTCAGGTCAAGGCGTGATAAAACATAAAGAATCAGTGGTATGATCTTGAGATCAGCGGGTCCAGCGCAGGACTCACGTAGAGGAAGTTGACGAAATAATAATTGAACGTCTGCAGTAGGCCATTGTAGTGCGTCTTGTTTACGAGCCAGCACATTGTGCTGAGAAGCAGAGAGGCTACAAGGGCCACCATAGCCACCCATGGTTCCTTACGCTTGTCGGTCTTGACAAGAAGCCTAGAAAGGGGAATGGCGCGATCGCGGGCGAGGGCGAAAATGAATCGCGAGGTGGCGACTACTGACGCGAGGACTTGAGTAATCGCAAGGAGCGAACTGATTATTCCCAGCGCACCTCCGATACCTTGCTCCGACCCCAATATAGCTCCCATCGGGACCTGGAGTTAGCGGCGAGCATAACGAAGTCGGCCTACAAGAGGGGAGAGCATATAGTCGCCTTGTGCCCAGGGAGTGACGACGACAATGTAGAGTGTGACAATCAAGTAGATATTGATGTAGTGGAACAGGCAAGTGTACCAGAGCACGCGAGGGACTGTCCGGGATGGGTCGCGTGTCTCCTCCGCCATGCTAGTGTCAGCGTAGCTTGCGCTGAAACTTACTGGGCTGGAGTGTCGACGGCCATGACAGCCAGCGGGAGCGCCATGAACGTCATGCGGGTCATGGAGAAGGGCAACATTGCCTTTCGGGGGAAACCCCGGTTCAGACGGCGGATATCAGCTTTAGCGCTGGGTGATGAACGAAGTTTTGCACCGCAGGCAATGATCAGAGCGTACACAACAACCATCATTGCGATGTTGAAGGCGCCAGCGAAGACCCAAAATGAACTCTTGCGCGTGGCACGAATAACCCACAGCAGTGCCACAAGGCAGATAATCGCAATGTAAAACACGGGCTCCCACCAGTCCTTTGGGTCGGTCGGAACGTAGCCTATACCGTCGACTTCGGTCTTTGGTGTTTTTGGGTCCGCCGAGTAGTAGATGATGGTGAGGCTGGATGTGACGCCGAAAAGGTACGACACAATCTTGCCGAGGTGCATGGCGAGCGTAAACCCCCCACCAGCCAGCCCCAGTATCGCTCACCGCCGAGACCGTGGCGGGCGCACTGCCACGCCCAGGTGGCCATGCCACCAGCCACGGGGAAGCTGGAGACGAGCTCTGCGAACACTCCGATCAGGCAGAGGTAGAGGCACGCGACGAGAGGAAACCCGATGATCTGTATCAGTACGGCATGTGCAAAACCTACGAAGACTGGTGGACCTTCGTGCGCATACAGCGAAACGAATTTTACAGACTCGTAAATGAATGATAGGTGGCAGATGTTCATGCCGCAGCTGCTCCAGAACCCAAGAGGCCGGCCGAGTGTGACGTCGTATCCGAGCATCCGCAGGCGCTCCTCGTCGGAAAGATGTTCATTAGGACGCAGTTCATCGACGCTCGGCTGGGTCGCGTACCCGTCGCCCTCATGGACCTTGATTCCGTTGACCCCGAGTTTTCCGCCAGCGCTAGTGGCGCTGCCCGAGTTATCCGCGTTCGAGTTGGCCAACATTGTACTGAAGAAGGCGTATGAGTGTTGTTGGGGGATGAGCCTCATCGACATTGTGGTGGGGCGTCTTAAGCACTTCCTCGACATATATGTCTTATGTCTAATCTTTTAGCATGCCCGGTGCTTGTGACGTTGCTTTGTGGATAGCACGACAAGGTGTGACCATCTGTAGCCTTGAAACGCCACGAAACACGGCACAGTGCCGTGGCACGGTACCACGGGCTCGAGCACCTGGGGAACGCTGCCAATTGACTCTCATAATCATCCGTCCCTTCACAATAGATCAATTCCCACAATCCTACTAGCCTCCGATCACACACACGACGCGCTGAGGCCCGCTGACATGTGCTGAAACTGTGATTGCCCCCCACCTTGGCCTTGGATCCGGCCAAGGTATCGGATTGACCGCTGAGAACGGGGGTGGAGACCCCCATTGATATTGATAGGAGAGCCCAGCAAGTGAGCTTCTGCGTTGGGTTGAAGGCACAGCACAGTCACAGAGGTTTAGAACATGAATCTGCAGGTATTGGCACGTCAAACAGGTACCCCAAGGAACAAGCAGGCACATGGTCGCGGCCTTCACCCGTGGTTCCCCATCTCGGGTCATGGCTAAGGAGTGGGTGGACCCTCTTCCTGGATACTCTACAGCAAAGCAAACAAGCGAAGGTGTTACAATGACCTCGGGACTTGTCTGAATGACTTGGGAGCCTTGCATCTTCTTGTCAGGCTGCCCTCATCAAACTGGGACACCCGTGCCTGGCTCCAGGCGAACCGCGATACAGGAACTGGGCAAGGCTGCATTAATCACCTGCCCCGAGGACAATTTTCGGCTTGACGATGACAGGAAGGAGGCGCTGACGGAGGCCGAGACATCGGGGCAGACGGCGAGGGGATGGGGCTGAGTCCAGCGGGTGTGGCAGTAATCGCCACACTCCCAAGCGCACTCTGAGGGTACACACACGTCAAGTCCTCCACATTCCTTATGGCTTTGAGCGATCTTCTAATGTCGCAGGCACGGCATATTTTGAGATTTGGTTTTTTTACTTCCGCTATTTCACTCAAGTTAGATACCTCCACATTTGCCGAGCTCCGCTCAACAGTCCTCGATCGACGACCATCATCGACTTGTTTCCATAACTCATTCATCTCCACCTACCGCAATGTTCAACCGCGGTGCACCCAAGCAGCTCACCGCAAACCGCGCGACGTCGAGTACGCGCTGCCAAGTGAGTCACAATGCCATTCTTTCCCTACTCGGCGATGTCGTCGGCTCAATGCTGGCGAGGGCGTGCAGGTTGCGGTGGAGTCGTCAACGGATCCTGCGCGGTACTTGCTATTTTATCTATGGCTCTTAGCCTGCTCACCATTTATTTGCTTCCCAAACATTTGCCCCATCTGCCCCTTTGCTCCACATGCCGTGGTTTGTTGACTCCGCTAATCCCAGAAATGCCTCAAGACCGGCCACTTCACTTACGAGTGCACCGGATCGCGTCCCTACGTTGCCCGTCCTTCGCGGACGAAACAGCTGCGCACTGGTGCCGGTCTCCCAGCCGGTGGGGGGCGCGACCAACCCAGCGTGGAGCTGCCGGACGAGTTCCGGTCCCGTGACGGCCTGGCCGACCGGATCTTGAAGGCGAAGCAGGAGGAGCGGGCCCGACTGCGGGCGCTGGAGGAGCGTGAGGCGCGGCGCGCCGCAAAGCGTGCCAAGAGAAGGTGAGGCTTGCATGGGAGAGCCAATGCTGACGCCAGACGCCGAAGTCCCAGCGACAGCGAGAGCGACGAGGAGCCCCGCCGTCGTCGTCGGTACACCTCAGAGAGCGACAGTGAGCCCAGCCGCGGCCGGAGCGTGTCCCGCACTCCGCCTATCCACCGGCGCTCGGCGAGCCCATCGCGTCCAAGGGAGGAGCGTACCCCGCGCGGCCGATACCCTTCTGACGACGAGGAGCCGACACGGGCTTCGCAGGAGAAGTCACCGCGCCGCCGGGGTTCCCGTTCTCCCCCCGTTCGTCGTCGTGACTCCCCTACTCCTCCGCCGCGTCGTCTGAACTCGCCTCTTGCTCGTTCTCGCGACTCCCCCTCCCCACCTCCGCGCCGGCGCGATTCCCTTCCTCCTTCCCCTCGCAGGCGTGAATCTCTTTCACCCCCACCTCGTCGGCGATACTCTGACTCGCGCTCTCCCTCCCCTCGCGCAAGGCATGACTCTCACGATTGATTGAGCCAAGCGCAATCATTCCCAGTACCTGCAATTTCCGGACGACCCGTGTGGCGACCTCACCTGTGCACATGCCGCTCCGGAAGAATGCCATTGCCGGGGCCATGTTTACGGTACAAGTCGACTGCGTTATTTACATTGATGTACACTACTGCTCTGCTCTACTAGAAACTAGAATTATTCAGCCTGTATAAGCGCGCCCCCTCTCAGAACCCACCGGCCCACGCGTCCGGCGGTGTAACATCGCCCTCCTGCTTGGAGAGGTCAACCGAGTGCGCGGTGAGCGCGACCTCGAGGGGCAGAGGAGGGGTCACTTCGTTGTAGAACTTCAGGAGGGCGCTGCGGTCCGCGCAGAAAGCCATGAAATCTAAGCGCAGAGCCTTCGCTTGCTCCTGTTTGCTCGCCATGGGCGTGATGCCCTGGTCGCCCTGCGCGGACTGGCTCCGGCCCCTCGTCGGGGCGGAGATGAAGGGTCGATTGTCAACCCACAGGAATCCTTCCTCTTTGCCGAGGCACTGCACGAGCGCGAGACCGGACCGGTGCACAAACTGCGAGTACTCGAACTTGGTTTTGGAGCGGTACGCGTAGTCGGCCTCTATCGTCTCGGGGTACCGATCGCTGGCCTCAACATCGAGGACGAAGCCGAACTTCTGCGTGAGGATCGCATACTCGAAAAACTGGGCGCATTGCGCCGGGCCTGTACTCTCGGCCAACCGCAGATGCAGGTCCGGGTAGATGGGTGGTGCAAGAGCGAGGCGGATCTGTAATGGCGCGCGGAAGGCACATTTTGAGCTGACGTCCTTGATCTGCTCGACAGGCGCCTCGACGAAGCGTAGGCCGTACCGCTCCGCCAGAGTGGAGCACTTGAAGCGTAGGTCGTCCAGCAAGCCGGCAGTCACACCAAGCCAGTTAAGCTCGAAGTGGAACGCGTTACGACTGTTGTGGATGATGTCCGCATGGAGCATGGCCACCTCGGCCCGGTCTGACTTGCGGTGGGGATCCAAGTCAATGACTATGCTCTGGGACATCTTGACCTTCTTCTTTTTGGCCGGTTTGTCCGTAAGCTTCAAAGAAGCGCGCGCCACCGGGGACGTGCCGGGGCCACTGGGCGCATCAGGCGCGCGAGGAACGGGCGCCTTGCTGAACCAGCTCTTGGCTGCGCGGCCCTTGACGTCCTTGTCGTACTGCGAACTCAAACGATAGAAGAACATCGTGTCCTGGAACGTATGCGTGCCATTCACGTGCTCAAATAGGCCTTTCTCCAGCAGCGACTGGCCCCACTCGACCGCCTGTTCGCGCGTCTGCACGTCCGAGAACGACGCAATCAGCCATTGGCAGAATTGATCGCCCGTGAACGAGTCCTCGTGCACCTTGACTGTTGTCAGCTGTGGTCTGTTGTGTGACTCACAGCCCCAGTATCGATCGCGAATAATCAATCCGTTATTGGGACGGTTCATCATGTCTGCGAGTGCAGGCAGTGTCATGCCCTCGAGAGTGTGGCCGGTCTCGATCTTCTCCTTGCCACTCGTCAAACGCTCCAGTTCTCCCAACAGTCCCTCATCGAGCACACAAGTGGACGGGTCAAAAGTCGTCGCGAGGAGCCGGAGAGGCGTCGGCTTCTCGCCCGGTCCCTTCCACTGGTACTTGCCCATGAGCTCGAGCAGTTTGACCGCGCCGGTTATCAGGATCTCGCTTGTGTTGTACTCCTCACCCTGACTGCCTCTGGGCATCAGCCCAGCGACAGAGGTTGGCTCGCGCCCCGAGGGGATCAAGAGATAGCGCGCCCGCCAGAAGCGTAAGTTCGACTGCAGGCGGTCCTCCTCTCCCGCGATGAGGCGGTCGAGGTAGTTGAAGTTGAGCTTGGCATCGATGTTGGGATACCGGAACATGGCCGTGGCCTCCTCGAACCCGGCGTGCTGGTATGGCCAGACGAGGGCTTTGTAGGCGTGCGGCCTCGTCGAGTGTCGGATCTTGCGTACGAAGCGCTGAACTGTGACGCTCTGCTTCTGGGGGTCGAATGTGAGGCGATGGATATGGTTCGACCAGGAAAGGTAAATTGCACCGTTAGCGTCCTTGAGCACCTCGGAGGCCCCGCCCACGCGGAGACCCGCCGTCGTGCTGTCCGCCAACAACAAATTCTTGAAGGCAAGACTTGTTGCGCTCTGTGCCTCTTCCGTGAGCACAGTGTTGTGAGGGAGGACGATAAACTGGAAATTCTGCGAGAGGCGCTGACTGGCCATCTCACGCATCACAGCCAGCGGAAGATTCATTGCCGCGGCATCAGTGCGAATCAGGAACGACACCTGGTCCGGGAAACAGGCAATGTCGTAGCTGTGCGCCTCGTAATACGTCGATATCTCCTCAGGGGTGGGCATGAAGTCGGTCGTGAGGGGCAAACACGCTGGCGCGCACAAGCTGCGCCACTTCACGACGTGCTGCTTGCCGGCGCTCATCCGTGGGCGAACGTGCTGCCACCGCCGCCCGTGCCCCCCTTCGATGCCACCATCAACGAAACGCTCGCGAGGGTTGCATGGGTTGATGGTGCGGTGTTGGCCTGTACGACCGAAGGCTGCGTTCGTCTTGTTCCGCCACGAGTCATCCAATGATCGGCCCAAACGGAGAGAGTTGTGCATTGAGCGCGGGATGGATCGAGGCATGGAGCGGGGCACGGAGCGAGCAATGGGATGCTCATCATCAAATAGACGTCCGCCGGCGGCCGAGAGGATGGGAAGCGGCTGAGTAGGACGCTGGGGCACAGGCTTGGGTTTGGCTGGCGAGGGGGCCAGATACGGCCGCTCTCGGGGTACCGGGTCGTTGATGGGAAGCGGAGAGGGGGCGAGGGCAGGAGAGGCGGGCAGCGGAAGATTGGGCTTCTTCAGCGCCGGCGATGACGGCAGACTGCCGTTGCCAACGTCGATGCGTGATGCCGAGACATCCTGTCGCTCAACGGTTTCGGTCGCTGCGGTCGCCTTGGACGGCGACGCTCGAGAACTGAAGGAGCCGAAAAGCCACGTGCTTGCAAAGCGGGAGGCGAAGGACCCGCGGCTGCTTTGATTCTTGAGCCTCTTGGCTGGCGTACCTTTCGGCGTGGAAGCGCCGGATGGGAGCGAGATAACGCTCTGGGACGGCGACGTGTCGATGGACGTCATGCTCGCAATGCGCATCTGGCGCGCCAGCGGAGTCTGCTCGTTTGACGGTCGGCGTCGGTCTGATCGCGGTCCCGGCGTAGGCACCGGTGCGGCTCGCGCATGCGGCACGTCCGGCATGTCCTCGGCAGTAATGTCTGGGAGGGAGGTGTGGTTGTAAGGCTCCTCGACAGCAGGGGAAAGACGCTTGGACAACAAAGACTCGCGAGACTCGCGCGCAATGCGCTCCCTGCTGCCTGTCCTCGAGCCAGTGGGCCGGTTGGGTGTCGATCCTTTGCTCTCGTCCCTGTGCAGCTTGCTAGACTGGTAACTCGTTCCCAAGGAGGTGCTGACACCGGAGCGTGTTGTGCTTGGCGGAGAGAGAGCTTCTTTGCCCCACTCAAGTTTGCCGCTTGAGAAGAGGCTCGCATCGTACTCGTCGTGCATGATCCGCCGGTCCTCCGGTGTGAGCTCCTTTTTGTCCACCGAGTGCGACTCGTCCCAGTCGAGCATGGGCACAATCACGGTTGTCAGGTTGTGGTCCAAAATGCCTAGCATCTGGATCTCGTACATCTTGCAACGGGGGACGAAGCGGTCTCTGCGGAATGGCTTGTCGTGCGTCTTGCTGTAGTATGAGCAGTACACCCAGAATGCGAGCGAGTAGCATTCCGCCATGTCGCGGTCCGACACCTGAGGTGCGTCGTAATACAGGGGATCGGGGGTGGCAGGCTTGTTCTTGATGATCTCGCCGCCATCGTCCATTGTTCGCTTGGGCCGCTCGCTCATGTAACTAAACAGCGGCACGGAGTGCAGCGGCATCTTGGTCATGCACACAAGATCGAGGGCTATTCCGTGGTCGATCATGCGCTCCGTTGTCATTCGGAGAAGATTCTTGTCTACCGAGAAATGCCCGGTGCCCGGCGTGAGGATCATAAGTGATAAACCGGTACGCGACAAGTCGCGGTCAATGTAGTGCTCGTCATATGGGTTGAGGGCCAGATTGATAGCCTCAAGGATCGGCGCCTCAAACGCATAGCTCCACCAACCTATCACTCGCTTGCACTCGCCGTCGTGGCCCTTGCCTGCCATCTGGCCGAGGTTGAACTCGAGAAACACCTCTCGCTCCGCCCGCTGGATAGCGCGCTTGACCTCTGGCAATGCCGTAAGCCAGTCGGAACGGCGCTCGAAGTCCATCACCACGCGGTAGAAATCCTTGCACCATCGCCCGCGGAAGTCCTTCATGAGCCCAAGGCAGGCTTCGTTCTTCTCCATGTACTTGACGTCCTCATCATCGTAGAACGCGCGGGCAAACAGCACCAGTGTCACGAGGTGGGATGCACCTATAGCAGTCCACCGCTGGAACAGCTCGGGAAGGAAGCCTGGACGGTCAGCCCATGACGCCCTCGGATTCCCCCAACGTACCATGCAGGATCTTCTCATAATATTGCTCGCCGTCCTCGTCAAACTCGTACGTCTCTTGGCAAATAGAAATGAAGATGTATGTCTGCGCACTCTTGGATCGATAGATCGTCTTCGTCTTGGATGTGACGATACCGCTTGAGTACCGGTGACGACCACGCCAGATTCCCTGGATATCGGCGCGCACCGCACCGCCAGCAAGCGTCACCTTCTCGCCCACGTGCACGGTCGTATTCTCGAGGCTCATGCCAAGTCGCCACATGTCCGCACGTCCAACATACTGCGAGAAGTGGAGCTCGATGAAGTCAATGTTAGCGCTGGCAGGGTCCGAGATTTTGAGCACTTCGACGTCCTGCCGATGTTGGAGGCGGTACGCGTTGGCGACAGAGTTCGGCACCAGGATCTGATTGAGGGGAACGGAAGGCATGTCCTCGCGGACCTGGAAGACATATCCGTCGCGCCCTTTGTTTGGCTTGACGCCCTCCACGGCTTCTCCATCCCCGGTGCGCAGTGGTGGACCTGCACGCGGTGCTCCGCCGGGGACTCGTCGAATCTCGAGGTAATCGCCGGCCTTCACTGGCCAAGGCAAACTCGCGTAGCTGAATTGAATTCGTGATGAAGCAAGGTTGGCCGCGGGGGCGGGCAACAGGCTGTTGTTCTGAGCAGCAGCTGCGGCCACGCTGACGTTCGGCGTGTACGTGTACAGGCTAAGCGTGGTGCGGTCTGCGGTGCTCGACAGCCCCACTGGCGGCCCGGCCACGCTACTCCGCCTCGATGTCTCAGGACTCGGGTCGCTGGGAAGCTTGCGAGTCGCCGTCAGCGGTGTGTGCGCTATTCCGCGCGAGTGGATGTGTGTCTCCCCAAAGTGGGATGTCTTGAAGCTGCTTCCACCCCGCCGCCGAGGGGAGAGGGGGGAAGGTGGCATATCGACACGGATGGGGTTGACCATCGTCGACGAGCGCACGCGCTGCGTACGTCGAGAGTCAGGCGGTTTGGCTGCGTAAGCGGACAGAAGGAGGGCGAGAGCCAGCTGGGAGAGAGGGATGGTCTCCTGCTTGCCAAGCTGGTTGATGCGAGCGGGACACTCACAAGTCATTCCATCGCCTATGTTGAGGTTACATATTGACCTCGCGGCGGTTGATGGACAGGAACGTCATGTGCATCGATTTGGTTCCGCAGCACCCTTATCTGCCATCCTATGACTACTGGTGCGAGGCGAGGCTGTTTTCCTCCTTTTCATCCTCCTTCTTGGCTCACATGGGCTATGCGGCCTGCCCTCCGGCTTCTCAGATGCAGCAGCCCCTCAGCCCTCCTCGCTAGGCTGGCGCGCAATCCCGAGCTTTCGGCTGCGGACGCGAAGGCCGAGCTTCGATGGATGCGGGCTGCCAAGGGGGACTTGGAAGACATGGTTGAGCGGCGCGCTCGCGGCGAGCCGCTCCAGTACATTCTCGGTAAGTCATTTCACGCAATCATGACATCCTTGCTCCCACGCATGAACCGCCTTTTTCATGGTCTGATAACAGGCGACACCGACTTTGGCCCCTTGACGCTTCTCTGTCGCCCCCCTGTCCTCATTCCACGTCCCGAGACGGCATATATCGTCGAGCATCTCGCGTCTCTCCTGCCTTCCCGCCCACTACGTGTACTAGACTTGTGCACGGGGAGCGGATGCATTCCGCTGCTCCTCGCTCATTTGCGGGCAGACCTCACAGCCGTGGGAGTCGACGTGTCACCTGATGCCGTCTCTTTGGCTAAGGAGAATATCGCGGCCATGGGCATGGAGGGGAGGGTAAGAACGGTGCAGGCGGACATACTCGCGCCCGATTTCTTGCAGAGAATCGAGAAAGAGGTGGGACCGGTCGATCTGGTGACGGCCAATCCCCCGTACATCCCGCAGGCCGAGTACGATGCTCTCCCGCCCTCTGTGCGAGCGTACGAGGACAGGGGTGCCCTCCTTGCGGGAGGGGAGGGCGGCACGGCGTTCTACGCCCACATCGCAGCCATCGCTCCATCCATGTTGAGGGAGGGTCCGGGGATAAAGATTGCGGTCGAAATTGGCGCTGGACAGGGACAGACTGTGGCTTCTCTCTTGCCCGGTCATACCGAAGTCGTGCAAGATCAGTATGGGCGCGACCGCATGGTCACGGCTGTGTTTTAGGTATCCGTCCTGCTCAATGGCTGGGGGGCTGGGTACTGACGCAATGTACTAACGTTTCCATCAGCGCTTGCGCGACCCGAGCTTAGACACGTCGGCAGTCTTCTTTCCCACTGCAGATGTCACAGCTATCGGAAGAACATTCCTACCTCGCAGTGCACTCCCTTCGCCTCAGATACGTCTGTGGCCGAGGTGGGGCGCACACGCTCACAGTCTGGTCCACAAGACTGTTCGAGCATCGCGAGAATGGTACATTTACCTCTCAGTAGTACATACATGCATGAAAATACGGGCCCTCTTCACTCACTCTGCATTACCTTTTGCCGATTTCCTCTTTCCTCGCCGCAGCGAGTAGTGCCCATTAAATGCGATACGTATAGCCAAGAACCGCACGTCCAAATCTGGATGTGAAGCAGCTTCTTTACACACGCTCCCCACAGCATCCTGAAAGCCGACGCCGCAGATGTCGATTCGTTGGCGGATGTCTTGCAGCTTCTTACGCGACGCTTCGCCTTCAGATTCGGCCACGCGTGCGTCGTCCGCGTTCAACCCACGCTCCGCACCCCTGATGCGGTCTAGCCGCGTTGCCTCTCCCAGGCTCCACTTAAACAGTTCCTCCATTGAGGCCGTGAAAGCCAGGATGTGGCCGAGCGCGGTCCTGACGAGATTAAGCAGAGTGTCCTCCTTGCGTGGGCCGAGGAGAAGGATTTTGCGCACCACCCGATCCAAATACGTCCGATGCGCGAAGATGAGCGCGTCCAAGTCGCCGTCTCGTCTGTCTGTTGTCTTTCGTAGGGCGGCCCACGAGCATTCAATCACCTCGAGTTGGCAGAACGCCTGCATGTTGCGCAGGAAGTGAACCATTTCTGCTTGAAGTCGGCGGGACATATGCCAAATTCCATCTACGGAGGGGAGGCTTTCGAATTGCCGGCTGGAGAATGTCGCGCGCTTCCAGCCTTTCGTGAGTGCTGTCTCCACACGCTTCAAGAGCCACAGGTGATTGAAAAGGCGCCCATACCCCTCCATTGCACGTGTGTCGAGAACCGCGTTAAGAGGCGCCTCGACCCGATACTCGAGCATGAAGCATTCCCAGCCAATTTCGCCGCGGTTGTAATGTTTTACGCGCGCGTCAAGGCGACGCAGCACGTCCGGTGAATCAAACTGGGCTGATGAGCCGCGGATCGCGCTCTCCAGGTCGGACGTCAGATGGTGTCGATACAGCGAGATCGCGGGACGGTCCAGGCGCAACGTCATGGAGTCCATCAGGAGGTCGACAAAGTCGCCCGCGCCCAGCATAAGGTACCTTTTGAGCGCCGTCAAGTGGTCCATAAGGTGGTATTTGTCGTAGAAGGTCTCAAGGAGGTGCTTACTCGCCTTGGAGTAAGCCACATCGATGGAATGCTCCAGCCCGTTCAAGTCAGAGTACTTAAGCGCGCTAGAGCCTGAGCCGGCCTGCTCTGCTACCCAGTCCGAGTCATAGCAATGGTAGCGAGTGAAGTTGAGAGAGCGGCCCGTAGAAAATATCTGCTGTCAGCTCTCCCCGTGAAATCCAGTTACCTTCTTGCCAAAGTCCTCGTTGATGAAGCCGGGCATCATGGCCTTGACGAAAATGTATCTCTTCTCCCAGACCTGGTGCGCATCACTTGTGTTCCCGTCGGAGTCCAGACCCTCCTCAAAGCCCAAGTCGGTGGTGAATGCGTTCACGTCGTTGCTCGTGATTTCCGGGTTAAGCTGGACAAAAAATTCGTTGAAAGGGTCGTGTAGTTCGCCTGAGATAATCCAGCGTTGGAGTGTCGAGAAGAAGGGCTTGGACACCTCCTCCAAGATTTGGTCTGTGAACCTGCGCACGAAGGGATCGCCATGCGCTGTGTGCTTGTGAATTTTGGATACCAGAGCGCCACCATGTGTGCTACGCGCGTCACTGACAACGCTGTCCATGAGGCGGAGTTTGAGGCGCATGTCCTCCGTCCACAGCCCCAATCGAATGAGAGTTAGGCCAGATTCTGCAGGGGTGCTCTCGTCGCCTCGGTTCATCTGCGACTCCAGCACCGCCAGCAGACGGTGGTACTCGCTCAGCTCGTGATGAAGAAAGTGACAAAGACTCTGCCCATCAGTGACATACATCGACAACCCGACTCACCTGCACGACCATGCCACTGCGTGAGCTCGGCCCAGCAGCCTGATGCTCCTGAACAAAGCTTGTGATCTGGCGGTACAAGACGCCCAGCTCAGACAGCTGCACAAGGATGTTCCTCGTCGGCTTAGCGATGTATCCTTCCTATCATTAGCTTTGGCCTGTAGACAGCGAAGCCAAGGTGACTCACCCTCGCCTCATCTGCAACTATGTCAATCCCCAAAACTTGCGGCTCAACGTCAGTCGGGATGGTGACGCCATTGGCGCCGAGGGGAAAGCCAGTACCGTTCCCTTCCCTCCCTCGCTCGGTGAGATAGGGATTCAGTTCAGGTGGCGGTGCCACAGCGAAGCGAACGTATCGGCCATCGATACCCTGCAGCAAGTACAATGCGTCACGGAGCAGCAGGGCCTCAGGAAAAGGTTTGCGGGCGCGCTCGGTGCGCCATTCGCGAAGGAGGGCAGCCTTGCTCCGTGCTGGCTTGGATGGCGAGGCGGCGGGGCGCGATGGTTCACCTGACGGCGCGGCGGCTCGTGGTGGGGCAGGAGCTCCGAATCCACGGGAGTCGACTCGATTGTGTGATCGGCGCGGAGAGGCAAAGGTAGATTCAGATGATCGGTTCAGAGCGGACAAAGCCACGAGGAACTGGAGTTGCTTGCTGGGCGCGGAAAGGGTACCCTGGAGTCAGCCGCAAGAATGGCTGAAGAGATGAGATGGGCGTTCATCGCGACGCACATTCCGCTCTATCGCACTCCACAGCGCGTTAAATCGCAGCGCGTCGCTGCTCTTAGGCAGCAGTCGACGTGCGGCATCGGGAAGTGCCCCTACGCCAAGGGGAACGGAGGATGGCAGGCGACTGGCGTTAGCATCAGCCGGCTTGTATCTCATACCTCGTGAGGATGGCTTCTGCATACTCGACGAGCTCATTTACGCGTTCCTGTCGTTGTCGTCCAGGAAGCTGGCTCAGTCCGGGCAGGACTGAGTAGACGAGACTCTCGAGAGGGCTTCCTCTCTCCATGGGTGTAAGAATGAGTGATCGCGACAAGACGCGTGAACGCGCCTGTTTGGTTGTGGATGGTGACGCGTGAGACACGTGGGGCTCACGTGATCTCCCCTGTGCGGAGGGCCAAGTTTCTGAATTCGGAGAAGGGCGCTTATGCAACCAACATCATCATAATCCAACGCCATGGGCAAGTCAGGCAAACCTAACAAGGAGCGCAGCGGCGCGGCGCCAAGAGGAGGAAGTGGACGTGGGCGGGCTCGTGGGCGCGGACGCGGCGCTGCGCGCGGGAGGATGACAAGGAGTGGGCCACGGGATGTGCAGGTGGTTGTGCAGGGTTCGTTGTGGCCACCCCATTAAACTGACAGCAGATGATTCCGACGACGACGAGGAAGAGGAGGACGGCTCTGAGGAAGTGTCTGGGGAGGAAAGTGAAGAGGAGTATTCCAATGAGGACTCCGAAGGCGAATCCGGCGGCAATGACGACGACGACTCCGATGAGGAGGAGCAGAAGGAAGTGCGCATTGCTGTCCCCGTCGCGATGTGGGACTTTGATCATTGCGATCCGAAGCGCTGCTCGGGCAAGAAGCTGGCGCGGCATGGGCTCTGCACCGCAATGCGGGTGGGGCAGCGCTTCCGCGGGGTAGTGTTGACGTACGTCCTAACCCGAAACCATTCAACTGACGCCAGGCCGAAAGGCAAGAAGCCGATCGCGCCCTGCGACGATGAGGTGGTTATGATCTCTGGGCTAGCGGTGGTCGAGTGCTCGTGGGCGCGGCTTGACGAGGTGCCATTCAACAAGATCAAAGGGCCGCACGAACGACTGCTGCCCTATTTGATTGCAACGAACCCGGTCAATTACGGCAAGCCATGGCGTCTCAACTGCGTAGAAGCGCTCGCGGCTGGCTTCTACATCACGGGCCACCCCGACTGGGCCGAGGCTCTTCTTGCCAAGTTCAGCTGGGGTCATGCGTTCTTCAAGATGAACGGTCACCTCATCGCGCGCTATCGGACATGCAAGACGCACGAGGAGGTTGCCGAGATGCAGGAGGTCATCCAGCGGGAGCTACAAGAGGAACGCGATCGGCAGAAGGCAGAGAAGATTGCGAACGCCGACGCCGACCTGCTCCGTGCTAATCCTAATCACGTTGGGGAGGGGTGGGAGGAGGAAAGTGAAGAGGAGGAGATCGAGCCGCCAAGGACAGATAAATTCGGCAACATTATCGAGGACGAGGTGGACAAGTTCGGCAACACCGTAGGCGGAGCCGTTGATGAGAAGTCCAACTCGGACGAGGAGCGAGACGACGTCGAGCAACTGGTGGCTGGTGTGAGAGCATTGTGAGCTATGCGATGTACATGCATGATGAGGAGGTCACTCCACTATTATGTCTCATGGCTGTGGTGACGCAATCTACATTTGCGTGTGCGCGCCTAAGCGGCTGTTGATGACCCATTCTGAACGCCGCGCATCGGTGGTGTAACGCCGGCAGCAGCCCACGCCTCAGGCTTTACTTTCCATGCCGAATCCTTACTTTTCCCCTCCCGAACAGCCACCTCACGGATCTTGGCCTCAATGGCGGCCTTGGTCGTCACTTTGTCGAAACGAATCTTGAGATGCGAGACGAGGTCTGTCATGATACGAGTATTGCCGTCAACAATGCGCAGGAACTCGGGCAGGAGCTTCTCCGGAAACGCGACCTTCGGGGTTCGGCCCTTGGGAGTGATTTTATTCGCAGAGGAAGACGCATCACCCAACGGCATCGACGGCAGGGGACGGGCAGGCGCATAGTGAGGCGTGTTGGTCGGTTGTGCGGACAAGAGACACCGTACGCGCAGCTGGTTGCCCACAGCCGTGTCGCTGAATGTGGTCTTGTACTGAGGCTGCACATCGCTCGACTGGTACTTGAACGGGTCGATGGACGAGGGTGTGTCTACTGTCAGCTTGGGATTGACCAACAACCCCACCGTTGAGCAGCTGGATGCGGTACTCGTCGTGTCCTTCAGCTGTCTCCGCGATAACATTCTCCCAGATCGGCCCTGTCCAGGTAGGTGTGAGCTTCGTAATGCGCTTAACGGGCACACGCTTTTTGGGAGAGGCTGGGTGAGTCGGGTCCGTCAAAGCGGTGTCTGCGTCCGCTCCGTTGAAGATGGGGTCCTCCGTATTGTCAAGCCAGTCATCAAACTCGCCCTCGTCCTCAGGCGGCACGTCGTCGTCTCCATCCTCAACTGGCTCGTCCACGTCGTCGCCACCCTCTTCCTCGTCCTCCTGCCAGTCATCCCCAGAGTCGTAGGAGTAGTCAAAAACGGGATCCTGAGCGAAAGGAGTTCGAGGTCCCACGGCCAGTGATCTCTTCGAGAAAGTGCCCACATAGGGCGGACGGGCCTGCTGGTCAAAGGCAAGCGTTTTCCACGGGAATTTGCGCTTATTTGTAAGCTCGTCCAGCACGGCTCGCGGTTCCTCGGCCCTCTGATACTCCGCCCACATCTCCGCCACAGAACCATACATCGGCTCTGACTTGAGGCCCTGTCCGCGTGCGGATCGTGGATTGCGGCGGCTCTGCTTATGGCGCTCGAGGTGGTCTCGGAGGAAATCTCTCAGTCAGATGTGATACTAGGGTAACTCACCATTCCTGGTCCAGGTCGCAACGTCGGTATGAGATTCAATTGAGGAGGAAAGACACGATTGGAAGCGGTTGATCGGCGCCCAGTGCACGTTCGCCCGCTGAGCTACAGGCGGGAATGCCCGCTCGAAGTCCGAAAGCTCCTTTTCTGGCGAGTCAGCTTCCCGCGCGTCTCCCTCCTGCGCAGACAGTGCGCTTGAACTCACTCGACGGCCCAGCTTCAGGAGCCTTGGCCGGCGACTTCGGAGGCGGCGGCGCCTTCTTGAAAAAATTGGAGAACATGCTCGCCTGCTTCGTCTTGACTTCCGCCTTCTTCTGCTCGGCACGCTCCTTCTCCCTTGGACATCAGCACTAGTCATTCGCTCAGACGTACGCCTTTTGCTCCTCACGGACTTGCCGCTTTTCCTCAAGCTCCTTCTTTTTCTCTTCTAACTCCTTTCGTTTCTCTTCTCGCTGTACCTCCTTCGCCTCCAGCTCTTTGCGTTTCTCCTCCTTCTTGATCTGCTTCTCTTCCTTGCGCTGCTTCACCTCTTCCTTCTGCAAATTAGCGCCCCGTCCAACTCCGGACAGTCACGGCCAGCCTTCTACTTACCTCGGCTGAAGTCAACTTCTTACCACGCCCTGATGGAGACGCGCTGCGATCTCTGGACGAAGTTGCTGAGGTCTCGCGTGTGGCACGATTTAGGCTACCAGAAGTCGATGCGGGGAAGGTGGACGGGCCAGCGGCAGGCGTGGCGACGAGAAGCTTGACTTCTTTGCCCTCCTTCTCGCCCCTCAACCAGTCGTTCCTCTCAATGCTGTCCATAGAGGCAAGCATGCGCTCGACTTCTTCACGTGCCCGCTCCCTTTCAGCGCGGCGCGCCTTCAGCTCAAGAACACGGTCAGCGGGGAAGTACTTGTCAAGGTCGTTGACCTCCCAGCAGCGGATCTGCATGCGCGTGGGAACTCGGAGGCCACTGAAATCAGAGGGTCGGAATCCGTATTGCTTGAAAGAGAACAGCTTCTCGACCAGCGGCGTAAGAAGCTCATTTCGTAAAGTGTCTAAGACATCAGTGACCATTACACGGTAGACTCACCTCTCGATTCCCCCTTCACAAGTTCCGCCTTGATGCTCTTCACCAGGCTGCTGACGGTGATCGCTGATTGCTCGTGTCCCGCCATGGCGACCAAATCGTGGAACTCATCCGGAATAGAAGTAAGCGGCGTCCCCGCCTCCTCGGCATCGAGCAGCCATCCTTCGAAGTTAAGGAGACCTGAGAGTGAGTCCACTGAACCGCAGTTGGCACCAGCACACTCACGTCGGCGCGGAAGGCTGCGCTGGTACGGATCCTGGGAGAGATGAATTGTGAAAGATTTGACCTCGAGGCCGTCTGCGGTTAGCGCGCACGATAACCACGCCGCCATCACGAACCGCTAAGCTTGGGCCTCTTGTCCATGTCATGTCCTATTTCGTCCTGGGCTGTTCCATCAGTGTGTGGCGCGAGATTGAACCCACCGTCCGCCTTGCGCTTGCTGCTTCCTGTCAAGCCTCCTGGTGGTGGTGGTGGGGAGCTGGGGGAGTCCGAGACTGGGCTCAACATGGAAAGATCGATCACGTTCATGTTGGACCCAAGCTTCGTCGATCGTCAACGCGTCGCGCGTTGAGTGCTTGCGCGTGTGGAGGGTCTAGGGTGGGGAGTGGAGAGCGACGGGAATGTTGATGGAGGATTGAAATGAAAAGACAGGAAGAAGAAGGAGAGCTCAGTGGCCAGTGGCGAGGAGTGCGGGGAGTGAGAGAGTGAGTCGCGTCAACCGCAGTGGGATGCGATTTGTGTGGTTCGCCGCGGACCACGAACGGCGCGCGACATGGGGGACAGACGCGTCGAGCCAATATGCGGAATCAAATTTCTCCACCTAATGGCGCCTGGTTTTCATGTCCCGAATCGTTTGAGAGAGGTCACATGCAATCGTGTCCTCCTTCGTACCTACGCACCAGAAGCGCAGAGCGCTTCAAGACAAAGTGCCAAAAATTCAGACTACTTCACGACAGCATGCAAGGATGGCCATTGCTATCGTTAGCGAAAGGCAGTTGGATCATTGGATTTCTCGCGGCCTCTCGGGAGCCTGTGATGCCACATCACTCTAAGCTCGCGTGGTTAACGTGAGCTGAAATAAGTTTTCAGAGTTGATTGAATTGTGTCATGTATTATACTCATTAGTTTACATGTGTGGTAGCATTTTTAGCGGATCCTAATTTCATTAGTAGGAACGACGTCAGAGGCAGTGAGCTCCAGCCCCACCGACCTCCGTGCCCATGTCCTAGCAACCCGGCGACGGCTCAGCGATACAGCTCTCAATCTCCTCCGGTCCTCCCTTCCATCACCTCAGCCCGCTGTCCGCGGTTTAGATCTTCTCTCGCGCATCTGCTATCCAATCCTCAGATTCAGACCGTATCGAGCTGTTCACCCAGCAAGCTACGACTCGCCCGATCGTCCGCAGGACAGCCCTCGTACAACCGCTCCTCCCATCATCCTCATATCCCCCATCGCTCCTCTCCTTCCCCTCCCTACCTCGAGCATCTACGCACCATCAGTCACTCATCTCCTGAGTGAAGTGCAAGTTGCGCGGCTATCCAGGTAGTTGTTTCAATCCAGCACTGGAACGCTACTGGCTTCACTTGTGCGCCAGTCCCGAATTGCCGTTGGCCTGACCTGCAACGCTGAGGTGTCTTCTCGCCGCGGCACCCCCACTTGCTCTCATCCTCCATCGCAGGGACGGGGAACGCGCCCCATCCCGTCTTCGTGGCCTCAACTCTGTCACAGCCCGACACCGACGTCGGCCCACTGTCATTATATCAATATCCCTCGAGCGTCACTGGTGCATCGGGAGAAGCTCCGAGGCGTGTTGCCACTGGCCCCCACCAAGATACGCCTACGATTGTGACGGCAGATACAAGTGTGAGTTGTGTGTTGGCCGCGCAGGTTCCACCCGCTCTGCCTCCCTTTTCTGTCCTTCACTCTCTCTTCTTTCTTCGCTCAACACCTTCCACGCGTCACCTCCACCCCAAACGCTGCAGTGCATGCTCTTTCCCCTCCTCTCTACGCGCTCCACGCAACCGACACCATCCACTACGCCCATACTCTTCCCCGATCCCTCCGTCGTCCCTCCCTAATCGCACTCGCGCACTCCCGCTCCATCCCAGACCGCCCATCGCTGACACCCCGCTCTCCCCCTCCCCCCTTCTTCTCTACGCTTTATTCTGATCCTCCCCTTATTCTTTCCGATTTCACGCCCACGAATCTCCTGGAATCTACCTTCTGCCATTGTCTGGACGCGGCGAAATGCAGCGAGGGACTGTTCGCCGCAGGTCTGTAAGCGATACTGAAGACTCTGCCCAACGCCCTTCTCAACGCCATCGCACGTCGGACACTGTTCCTCACACGTCCACCCCCTTCCCTTCATCCTTCACCACGACCCGTACAACCGAGGCCGCCTCACGCACCATGGGGCCCCCTGTGTCATCGAACGGCACAAGCAATGGTGTCTCTGATGGCTCTCCCTCTGCCCTCGCAGTCAACGGTGGTCCCTACAACCTCACTCCGTCAATCATTGAGCAAGTCCAGTCATACCGCCCCAGTGGCAATCTGGCCTACGCCGATGACAAGGATTGGTCCGCCACTCAAGATGCCGACTTCATGAGGGCGGACAGTTCGGTGGCAAATATCGTTGATTCGTCACGGGCTCGGGCCCTGCAGCGCAGTCAACCACTCGGGCGCCGCATGCCAATCGACCGTGAGGAGCTTGTCCGACTCATGCTCCAAGGCCTTCATGACATGGGATACCAGTGGGTTTCCTCACGTCATTTGAAGCTGACGAGATAGTCAAGCAGGAGAGGTTCTCGCCAAAGAATCAGGCTACACGCTCGCAACCCGCGCGGCGCGTGACTTTGAGGCCGCCATTTTGGGAGGGCGATGGGCTGAAGCCACCGCCCTCCTTCCAGCTGTGGGCATCGCCCCCGCCCCGGAGACCTCCGTCAACACATCTGAACCTGAGTCATCGCGCAACAGCATCTCTTCGAGCAAGACGAAGGCCACAACTCACGAGCACCCCATTGATCGCGCAAAGTACCTCATCGCGCGGCAGAAGTACCTCGAGTTCCTTGAAGCCGGGCATCAGAAGAAAGCGCTTTACGTGCTGAGAAATGAACTCGCGGCGTGTGCCGCTGACTCCTCCTCACTGCACGATCTCTCTGGGTGAGTCGCGAGCTTAGCGTCAACGACGAGTCAGCTGACACTTTAAGGTATATGATGTGTTCAGTAAACGATGACCTCTACGAACGAGCCAAGTGGGATGGTGCAGCTGGCATTTCGCGTCGACAGCTGCTCGAACGTCTCCAGGAAGACATTTCACCCAAGATCATGGTACCACAGCGGCGCTTGGCCACTCTGCTCGATCAAGCTCGACAGCACCAGCAGTTAACCTGCCTCTTCCACGACGACAACGAGCCCATATCTCTATACACCGACCACGTTTGCAGCAGCGGCTCGTTCCCATCGGTGACAACACATGTCCTCATGGACCACAAAGACGAAGTCTGGAGGATCGAGTGGAGCCCGGACGGCTACATGCTAGCGTCGGCAAGCAAGGATAAGACGGTCGTCATCTGGCAGCTCAAACCGCCCTCGGCGGAAAACGGTCAGCAGTATTCAATCAGCTTTTTACACCACCTCAAGGGCCATCGCGGGGCTGTTGACGCGATGGCTTGGTCACCCGACAGCCAGACCCTTGTGACTGCCTCGGACGAGCAGATCTTCATCTGGGACGTTAAGCAGGGTCGGCGGTCGGACGTGACACTCGAGGACACTCCCCACAAGGACGAAATTAGCGCAGTGCAGTGGCTTCCAGACGGGTCGCAGTTCGTCGTATGTTCTCTGGACCCCAGGGTCGTGTTCTATGACCGCTCAGGAACCATCACCCGCAATTGGAGCCTGGGAAACATGCAATTACGCGACTTTGCCATCACGCCCGACTGCTCTCGCATCGTTGCGGCCACGACCTGGCTCCGCCGCGTTCCTGTTCAGAATCAATTAACGCAGTCTAGCTCGCAGCGTCCAGAGGTGGACGTCACGCGTGCACGCCGCAATGACGACTCATTTGAGTATGGCAACATGGACCGCGGCGTTGTGGTCATCCGAATCGATAACCATGAGGTCATCGACTTCACCTCTGACACGAAGCAGGTCGATGTCACGAGTGTCAAGCTTTCGCATGATGGCAAGAGCGTACTCGTCAGCTGCATGCCCGACGAGTTACAGCTGTACTCTCTAGAGGGAAGACTGCAGCTCACTCGCACGTTCGTTGGGCATGTCCATGCACGGTTCCAGATGAAGAGCTGCTTCGGTGCGCCCAGAGACCGCTTCGTGCTCAGCGGAAGTGAGGGTAAGTTGACAGATTGAGCAGCAGTTGACGTCCAGATGGTTACGTGTATGTGTGGCAGAATAATAATACGACCCCCATTGAGGTCCTCTCAGGCCACACCGCGTCCGTCAACGCCGTTGCGTGGAACCCGATCCTCAGCCGCAAGCTCTTCGCGTCATGTAGTGACGACGGTACCATGTAAGATTGAAATGGCAAGTGGGAACTGACAGCGCAGCCGCATTTGGCAGCCGCCTCTGCCCGAGGGTGGGGCAACGGCCCCTTCAGATGGGGATGTTGGTATGGAGCTGTAGGCTGGCAGAGCGCACGTCATCACATGCATGTATTCTATGTTGTCAAGCGCTCGGCTGCGATCGGCGGCGCAACGTCAGGCCACGCACTGACAGGTACAGAGTGAACCGCCGGAAATTTTGCCCCCGCTTGGTGCCCCGCAAGTACCAGAGATTTTTGTGATGGCCACCAACATCTGCCAGTTTGACTCCTCTTAAACAACTCCGGCACGATCGACATCATGGCGTCTAACGTGCTACCCCTGTTCTGGGACTTGGCGTCATCTTCTCGTGAAAAGCGTTTGGGAGCGAGCGCCGACCTTGTCGCGGCTGCCCAGACATTCCAAGCAACCTACTCCGCACCCGAGAAGGCATCCGGAGACGAGGACGAAGACGACGACGATGAGGGCGATGACGGATCCGAATCGGGTATGGAGGTGGACGGAGACGATGAAGAAGAAGGGCCAAGCGCTGTTGACCCAGTTCTTGCCGCCAAGCTCGATGCAGCGCTGGCACGCAATAACGCTCCGGACGTGGTATACTGCATCAAGCGACTGGTCCGCGGATTGGGTTCGTCGCGTGAGCACAGCCGACTCGGCTTTGCTGTTGCCCTGACTGAAGTAAGCTAGTTCAAGGATATGGCTGACAACAGTTGCTTGCGCGCTCTCAGAACGTGACCGCAGCGCAAGTGCTTTCGCTCCTTCTGCGCGCGTCGCAGTGGAGCAAGGGGATGAAGGGGAGTGACGAGCGCGACATGATGTTTGCGCGCCTCTTCGGTGTAATGGCTGTCGTAGACTCAGGGCTGCTCTTCGCGCCATCTGCGACCCTTGACGACTTCTCGACAGTGCTCGAGAGCCTGCTGGCACTCGCAGACTCCAAGGCGTGGCTCGCCGAGGCTGCAGGCTGGGGACTGCTTCGGGCAGCCGAGGGGCTTCTCGCCGCCAGTGTCGAGTGGAAGGATGAGGCGCTCGAGCGCCTCACGGAGCGCGTGTACGCGGACCGCGCATGGTCGCCAGAAAAGGTTGCGCTCACACTCGCGCTGCAGCGGGGCGCACCGGATCTCGACTGGAAGGCGCTGCTCTCACCAACATTCAAGTCAACGCCGCTCCTTACGTCGCCGAACCTCGTTACTCTCGGTCGCATGCTTAAAGAGGGCGGCGAGGACGACGCACGCGCGGGCACGTACCAGCCCAAGCTGCACTTCGTGTGGGATGGCATCTTCGCTGAGTACTTCACGCACTCGGCGACAGGGATTGCGCCATTCGCCGAGCTGTTCCGCACCGTCGTTGATGAAGCACTCTTCGCCAACACCTCCTCCGCTGAGCGCAAATACTGGGGCTTCCAGGTGTTTGAGCGTGCTCTCCCCCTGCTGCCGGCGGACAACGTCCCCCTCGTCTTCACGCCCAACTTTATGCGCTCGTGGATGAACAACCTCTCTTCCACCGACCGCCACCTCCACAAAGCGGCTGTCCAGGTCGCTCGCAAAGTGAACGAGCACGTCAAGGCTGACCCAACCGCCGGTTTCACGCTCCTCTCTCAACTCGTTGGCAAGCACGGCCGCCCTGACTTTGACCGCGTCACGAAGACCAAGACGGTTGAGGGGATCATGAGCTCGCTCTCGGTCGACGGCGTTGAGAAGTACGTCGGGTACCTCGAGAATGTTCTCGTTAGCGAGGACGAGGGCGGCCTCGATGAGCGCCGCACCTGGGCGCTGGACCAGATGCTTGCCCTCGCGCGCAACGGCGCCGTGCCCCGCGCGGACAGCTGGATTACGCGCGTGCTGGAAGCGCTCCTCGTGCACGGATTTTTCCTGATTCGCAAGGCCGACAAGCGCTCGAAGATCGTCGCCCTCCGCGCCATGCCCAAGCCTCCCCTCTCGGACGTCGTCGCGGCGACCGCGCGCGCGCGCTTCTTCTCCGTCCTTGTTGAGGTCACCGCTCACAAGGAGGATGGGAAGGAGGGCACCGACAGCACGGGCAAGTTGTGGCTTACGCGTGCGCTCGACACAATGGCGACTCTCGAGAAGAGCTCGGCCGTCGAGCTCGTCACGGACGCCGACGACGAGATCAAGAAGATCCGCTCTGATGCTCTCGCGGCTCTTGCGCCGCTCGGTGACGAGCCGGCCGCGCGTGGTGCGCGTATTCTGGTCTCCTTCCTCGTCCTACAGACGTATGACGAGGCTGAGGACGCGCTCGACATGCTGGACGAGGCCGTGGGCGCTGTCCGCGCTCTGTTCCCCGCCAAGAAGCGCGGACGCAAAAAGGCCGAGCCTGTGGACGAGGACGCTCCGCCTCCCGTTGACGCCCTACTCGATGTCCTCGTTGCACTACTGGACAAGGGGAGTGCCGACCTCCGCACTCTCGCGAACCAGGTGTTCGGCATGCTTGTGCCCGCCATGACGGCGAGTGCTGTGGAGCATCTTGTGGCTCAGCTCGAGCAGTCGGGCGCGGCGGCTGCTGAGGGCGAGGATGACGACGAAGATGACGACGAGGAGCACGAACACGGCCCCGACTGCGACCACTCTGATGATGAGGACGAGGAGGAGTCGGATGACGAATCGGTCGCATCTGACGACACCGATGCCAACGCTGAGGTCGACCCCGAGTTCCGCCGCCGCGTGGCTGAGGCGCTCAAGGTGTCTGGCGTGCTTGACGAGAAGGAGGAGGGCGGTGAGGACGACAGCGACGACGAGAGCGTGTGGGACGACGAGCAGATGATGAAGGTCGATGAGCAGCTGGCCGCCGTGTTCAAGCAGCAAGCGAGCAGCAAGAAGGCGGACCTGAAGCACGCGGCGACCGAGGCGCTGCACTTCAAGAACCGGGTGCTCGACTTCTTTGACGTCTTCCTGCGCCGGCCGACACCGTTGGCACTCGCGCTCCTCCTGCCTCTGCTGCACGTGGTGCGCGGTGGGGGCGAGCTCGGCAACAAGGCCGCGGGCATTCTGCGCACGCGGCTGAAGAGCACTCTTTCTGCCTCGAGCGACGAGGCTGAGCTCGAGCGCGCAGGCAAGATCCTCTCCGAGATCCACTCTTTAGCGCGCCGCGCCCCCACCGCCGAGTTCTCGGGTCTCTGCAGCGCTGCGTCTCTCTTCGCCGCGCGTGTGGCGCCCGCCCAGGCGCTCGAGGAGTACAAGGCTACGCTGGCCGACTTCGTGACACGCAAGCACTCCGGCGTTCACCCTCCATTCCTGCAGGATTACGCCCGCCGGAACGCGGGCAAGGCATGGCCGCTCGCGAGCGAGATTATAACTCTCCTCAAGGACGGCAAGGCCGCGAACGCATATCGCCACGCCCAGTCATATGCGCTGCTCGGCGCGCTGCTCTCGCAAGCACCCGCATTGGTCAAGGCTGGCGAGATCACAGCAGCCGACGCCGAGGCGGTGGTCAAGGGCTCGATGAGCGACGTGTATACTGTGCTCGAGGCGGCGGCTGAGGGCGGCGAATGGAAGGCCGACCGGCTCAAGGACGCGGCCAAGTTCGCGCTCGTTGTCGCGCGCTCCGCGCGCGCTCTGGACATTGGGGACGCGTGTGATGCCCCACGTCTCGCGACAGTCCTCGAGAGCGTCAAGGCTGGACGGACAAAGGACATGAAGGGCGTGCATGCGCTTCTGCAGCAGCTAGGGGCTGTGCTGTCGAAGAAGGAGGGCAAGAGCAAGGAGGGGAAGGGGAAGGGGAAGAAGGCGGACGGGGCAAAGGCTGAGGTGAACGGTGCAGCGCAGGTGGAGGAGCCAAAACCTGTCACGGGCAAGCGGAAGGCAGTGAAGGAGAAACCGGCCAAGGGCAAGAAGAAGGCCAAGGCTGAGTAGGGCAGGGGGTTCATAGACATGCATTCGGTACATTAGTTGGATTTGTCGGAGGAGCGGACTCTTTGTGGGTTGCCGGGACGAGATGAAAGGTGACAGCTCGGGTAGGCGATATCTGGAGGTAGCACTTGTACGCAGAGTGGCATCACCATGCCGCCTTCGCACAACTGAAATCAATGTCTAACGGTCTGAGCGACGCGCACTGGGCGTAGCGTACTCACTCGTGGCTCTCGAGTGCACGCACCGGAAATCCGGCAGTACGGCTCTGGATCGAACTCCTGCCCTAAGCGCACTGAAAAACCAACTCCCCGTGTGCCCACTTGCTCTCTTCCGAGTTCTTGCGTTTCCACGTCCCGAGCATTGCTAGAGGAGACAGCAAAAGAGAGGCCTTTGCCCGATCCCTGTGCGACTTGAACACACGACCGTCAGGAAGCTCCTTGGAGCGGGTTATTCCACGTTGGAATCTGACACTCTACCAACTGAGTTAAGGGATCCTGCAGATCGCCGCCTCCTTCTCGCTCATTGCCTCGAGTTCTTGCGTTTCTACATCACGAAAACCTAGCAAGGTCAGAAGGCAGCAAAAGAGAGGCTGTTGCCCGATCCCTGTGCGACTTGAACACACGACCGTCAGGAAGCTCCTTGGAGCGGATTATTCCACATTGGAAT